TAAGCAAATATAATTCTTCATCCTCTGAACTTTTCTGACATGATGTTTATTTAAAGGGTTTGGAAAAAGTCTCCAAACTGTCCTTTTAGATGTAGGAGAAACCTGTGTGTTTGCTTGGAATTGACTTCTGGGAAGATATCTGTATGCTTACACCTGGGAAGAAATATTAGTGGTCTCATCCCACAGAGGACGGACGATGTGCTTCTGTGCGAAATAAGAGATTATCTCCTAATGATTCTTTCTCAAGTGATGTTGTGAGGTACTGCTTCTGTAGTCCTATTCTTCTGAAGAGCCATTAAAGATTACAGATTACTGCTTTTCTTATACAGAACAAATCAAATGTCTTGGCCAAAATGGTTGCTGTCTCTGCTCTTTTGACAAAACTGCTTACGTTTGAGAAAGAGCATTGCAACTCCTCCTGGTTCCCTTCGCTTCCCTTGTTCACGCAGTTTGAAAATTACTGCCATCTTAAAAAAAGGAGGATGTGACAGGAATGCATGATTAAAGGAGGAAGAGAGATGGGACTGGAGAAGGTTAGAGCTATAGAGTGTAAAAGGAGACAATTCTTGTCTTTGACACATGCTCTTTGCTAGTGTCAGGTTCCCGAATGTCACCTTTGCCTGCTGTTTTCAATACCTGGGAATGCCCACCAACGTGGTGTGGGTGTTGCTCCCTCCATGGGAAGAGTGGTGGTGTGCTGCTGCCATGATGACTCCTAGCTCTTCTGGTCGTTGTTTAGGGAGGTTTTATTTCTGGGCCACATGTGTATGTCTGTATGGTCCATGTGATGGCATGGCTGTTTCTTCAGCTAACTTTTAATAAAAATGAGAAAATGTCAAAAAAACCCATCAAAAGAACTAAGGTTGCTAATACAGAAATTTGAAAGCCGAGAAATTTCAGAATTCAGATTTGAGGTGAAGCCTTAATTTACTGCAAATGTATATAGAGGTGATTTTTTTTCTAAATTCAATAGTTCTCAGCTTAGAGCCCAAAAATATTTTCCAGTCGAATAGTGTCAGTTGGAGTGGAGTGTATTCAGGCCTGCTTCCTTTGGGCTTTGCTCTGTTAGTTCCAGTCTGTGGGCCCCACTGAGTAGAGTGTGAGCACTGGGGGGCTGTGGAGAGCTGACCGATAGTAGTATTTTAGTTACATGATAATGGTTTTATCTTATTCATGTTATCTCATGACATCTGCCTCTTTCAGTACATTATTTCAAATTTATTTTTCAGCGGAATCAAATTTGAAAAATTACTTTTCTGTAGGGCTTACTTGTAGCAGAAATTGGAAGATTAGTAGAGATTGAGAAAGAAATAAGATTTCTCCTGGTTAAAGGCATTTGAATTCCAGAATGGTTGAGGCTGGAAGGGACCTCTGGAGGTCATCCTGTCCAAATTCCCGGCTCAAGCAGGGTCACCTAGAACAGGTTGCCCAGCACCGTGTCCAGCTGGCTTTTGAATATGTCCAAGGATGGCAACTCCACAGTCTTTCAGGGCAGCCCATGCCAGTGCTGGGCAGAAAGCTGCAGTGCAAGCCCTATCTCCGCTTGCAGCTGTCTTGCACAGCTCTTAGGCTTTGCTAGGCTCCCTGCTCATCCTGTGCATAGGATGGTTAGAATTTAAATGATGATGATACAGTATTTTATTTTCTTTTCACTGGTCAGTACATGGTCAATAAAGAGAAGCTAACAGTGTATTAATTTATATGTTTTTTTATTTTGGTAGCAACTGAGCACTTGACAGGCATGTGCTCTGGTAAAGGAGTGAGTGAGCAGAGGGAAGGTGGGGACTACTCAAAGCATTAATCAAAGCATTTACTGATTTTCAGTATGTGTTCATGAGGGGACTAAGCTATCATTGGACAGTCAGTCTTAACTTAGGGGTGTGCTTTATTTGGAAGCTTCTGTATTTCTGATAGTTTTGTCTGTAATTTTATACAGTTGAATATAGTATGCTAAGAAGATTTTGATGGAAGGAATAAATTACTTCTCCTAGGAGGCACAGAGGGAATAGGATAGGTCTGAAGTTTAGCCTGGTGCAGCTTTTAGAAATAAGAAAAAGAATATTGTTGTTTCTCTTGTGAATATAATGGATATTTCTGGGGTGATGTGTTAGGCTGAGGATATAATTTAGTGAGTTTACCAGAACGCAGCCAGACTGCTTGAGAGAGTTCTCTTTCTTCCCTTCTTCCCTCTTGTTCTCTACTTTCTGTCCTCCCTTCTCTGGACAACATTTAAATAGAATTAAAAGCTTTGCACAGGAATGCTTGAAATGCTTGTGAGTTAGGCTGTGTGAGAACCCATTCTACACTTCTGGCAGATTTTCAGGAAAGTTTAGCCCTGTGTTTCTTAAAGCTATTATGTGCTCTGTTCCAACAACACAGAAGCTAAACTTACACCATCTCTTGGGAACACATTTTACAAAGAAGAGCTACAGACTGGGATTCTCCTGTGCTTTAGAAAGAGAGCGTGCCATGGGGTCACATCCCACACATCCCCATTTGGACAAACAGAGTAACCAAATTGGATGGGGAACTTGCTAAAGCTGTAGTGCAGTATAGGTAAGCTACAGGAGGAAGGATGGTTAAGGAGGAACATTGAATTACAGAGTTTAATTATGATGGGAATAATTCACTTCCGCTCATCTTAAATCAGACATAAAGCATAGACATATGTGATCAAGGAACTCAGATTTCAGTTACCTTTTACAATTTGATATCTTTCTGAGAACCGCCAGCTAAGTGTGGTATTTTTCTTTTTCAAGTGTTGTTATGCAAGTATTTGATAAATCGGGATTTAACTTTTCAGTTGCTTTTTATAATTTGGTGTCTTTATGCCCTAGGTAAGCATAATTTTTAATAAAAAATTTGTTGCTATGTAGTTGAAAAATTTGAACAACGTAATTAAAATAAAAAGACAGTCAGCTAATTTCTTTCCTTTTCCTTTTGTTCCTTAACACTGGGAATATCTGAAAATAAATACATGCCTATATATTTGAGTGCATGTATGTATGTGTATACAGAATGTGTATGGATTACATGCATGTGTATGGTAAAGTTTTTATGACCTATATGGTGATCAAGGTGGTGCTTACTGCTCAAGTAATAAATCTCTTCTTGATCAAGAATTTTTGTTAGAATTGGAATTTAAATAAGTGGTTCCCTTTGCTTCATGGATAAATGTTCATTTTCAGATACTGAAGGATGGGTTGAATGTTTTGTGATTCAAGAAATCTGATTAGACTGATCAACCTGCACTTATAAAATGAGGATATTTTAGGATGGTTTTAGGACAAATTTGTTCTCCTGCTTGACTACATTGTGCATGGCTTCTCTTTTCCATCGCTGTCTGCCATGCATTTTCTTCCATAACTTTGAGTTCGTGGATCACCATGATAAAGGAAGTAAGGGACTACCTAAGGGTAGTGCTAAGGAAGATGGATGGCCAAAATACTAGTAGGAGCCTCAAGCTAAAACTAAACATACTAGAAGTGTAATGTATCTTATTGAAGTCATAAAGCAAGTGTTTAGAGTGACTACGATGTGGAACGAATCACCTTTAACAGATTAGTTTTGAGAAATGGCTGTTAATCTAGGCTGTTGCAATGTGGTAGCTCATTTCTATTTCTCCTGTTTAGATTTTGCACGTAGGCAGGTTTTTTTGTGCTCATCTGTATTAGGTAGACATACAGTTTTTCAGAAAACAAGTACGCAATTTCTACATAATGTTTGCAGATCTGGCTTTCAGAGTACTGGGACTGCAGCACTTGGAATGCAGGTGTTCTAGATAAATTTCTTTTTTTTTGGAAAACTGCTCTAATCTAGGTAGTAAACTAGGGAGCTGTAGCCATAGATCTGTTATTTAATCCCTCATTGCTGTCAATTTTGGGAGCAATCCACTGATCGATGTAGGTTTCATTTTAAGTCAGAAATTGGGATTTTTTTTGTCATTTACATAAGATCATGTGCATTTTCATCCTTTAAAAAAGTTGAATAGTCTACTTTGAGACTTCTCTCAATCTGAATTCTCTGGTGGTTGCTTTGCTCTTTCTCTGCTTGCTAGCCTAGAGGAAATTTCCCTTAGAGCTATTTGGGAAGTTACATATGTGTGTGGGGTTTTTTTCTTGCAAAACGAAATTTTTGGGCATAAATCCAGTTTGTGTATGAAAGGAGATTGTCTTTAGGAGCCTTAGTGGGTGAACTTGTTATCTGATTTGCAATGGGGATAACCAAAATAAATAACGGGAATAATGTGAAAGAAAGAATATTTAGACTTGAAGGACAGGAATGGAACAATTGGACAGAATGTTCAGAGAACTAGAGTAGCTGCAAGTAAAATTAGGGACTTAAATTAAGAAAACGAAGAACCTCAAGTCAAACCACAGGTACTTTTATTAATGGTCTTATAGATATGAAATTGCGTTTTAGTCTGGTTTCCCAAGGACATTAAGCTTATATAATCAGTTGAGCCTTTTTCTCCCTCAGTAACTATTGAACCTTGATGACCAGTTTCAACAAGATTTTACTGAAGGGTAACAGTTGCAAAGACTATTAAGTTGCTGCCCATTTTGTGACTATCAAGTGGGCTAGGGAATGAATCCCAAACTTATTTCCCAGCTAAGACAGGGATACCCACTGCTGCTGCTCTTTCCATTTGTCGGCAGCTGAACAGACATCCAGATTTGTGTATTGGCTGGCTTGTTGGCAAGCAAGTTGTTGAAAATTAATTAGTGTATGGGTTGCTCTAGAGTAGCATAGCACTTGCCAGCTCTTGCCTCAGAGTGTTTAGTAGAAGACTTCAAGGGAACAGAGGTTACTGTGGTGGGTACTGAAAGGAAAATATCAGAGAAATTCTTGGGAAACCATGGTTTCTTGGATTTTATTGCTTACAGAACTGACTTCTGATGTGGAAGAGAATTCTGTATTCACAGTAGAAGTGCTTAATCTTATTTTCTTTATATTTATTCATTCATTTATGTTTATCCATGGGTGTACTTCTCTTGCAGTGGTGTGATGAAAGGTTCAACTTCCAAGCTACATTTTTACAGTGCTTGGCAAAACATGTGCCAAATATTTACTCAGCTGAAATGGACCCCTTGCTGGAGAAACAAGAAGAAATGGTCCAGGCAGCAATATTATACCCCCTGGAATGTTATTTGTTTGGGGAAGACCCAGATATATTCCTGGAAAAACTGCAACAGAGTGGAACCTCCCAGCTCTGTGGGAAGGTGTTCAAAGGAGGGGAGACAACATACTCTTGCAGGTAAGAGTGAAGGATATGTTATCATGAATGTTCCCAGGTGAGATAATGCTGAAAAGTGGTTTAATAAAATTAGTTGTTCATTGCTTGTGCCATGGTAGGCCTTTGCTTAACTGGCAGTGGCATTTGTTTCACATTTCAAACCACTTTAGAGTGAGGAAAATTGCATATGAAAAGCAGGTTCTGCCAGAGAAATGGGGAAAGAAATAGGATACTAAAGGTACCAAAAGTATTTGGTTAAAAATATTGGATGATAGGATGTTAGTATGGGGTCTGTACCTGAATTAAGGGAAAAAAAAACATAAAAATCTGTGTGCTGTACAGTACTCACCCTTTCAAAATCTGAAACAGAATCCAGTGTTTCTGAGCATTATCAGTCTTTTGCTTAAGCAATAGCTGTGTGACCAATGGTAATTTTTCACCTTCTTTCTCATTCTGGACTATATTAAAGATGGCATCCCATTGATTTGATATAATGTATTTGATAAATTAATACACATATTAGTTGATATGAAAAATATGAATAATAATATATTAATATAAAAAATCCAGATATCTTTGTGGTGGATGTAAAGATTTCAGCTGTGGTGGCAGTTCATTAATATTAATATGATGTTATTGTCATAGTTCATTGTAGTTTTGGGGTTTTTTTAAAAGCCTAGAAAATGTGATCAGAAATACCAAAAGGATATTGTTATGTGATCAGAAATACCAAAAGGATATTATTAAGGATGAAGAATATTATGGCTAAAAATGCAGCCTTTAGAATTAGAAAAAAATATACAATTTAGAAAACAAGCCCTTAGAATTTAGGAAATGTCAGAATGAAAGCTCTCTGTAAACTTTATGAATTATACTGTAAGGTTTTAATCCATCAAATACTTTTCAGCTTTTTCTTGGAACAAGTTAGTGTTACATGTGAAAAGAGAATGGTCTTTGAAGAAGTTCTTATGTGTTTGCTAGGAACTGTATAGTGAATGCAGCATTGGATTGTACAAAGGAAAAGGATGATCAAGGCAGTTTGGTGCTGCTGTAACAGGAATAACTCTGTTCTTACCTTTGCAGAGTTATTTTATGATAGCAGGCAAAAAGACAAAGCTATGTATCTCAGAGTTGGTCTCTTTTTTTTTTTTTTGAGTTCCTGTCTTGCAAAAATGTTGTGGTAGTTATACAAAATACTGTACTCTACTACTGCAACTGAAGCTAAATATATGTTTGCTTTAGGCTTCTAAAATGCTAAAAATAATAGATACTCTGAAATATTAAAATCTAAATGTCTTGAACTGGGCATTCAAATCTAGCAGGCATTTCTGGCTTAATTTTTCTTTAACTCACCTTGCAGTAGATTTATGGTAATAAATGAACGTTAGTGAAGTATTAAATTATTGTAATGATGATTATCATCTAAAGATTTGAAAAGAAATTAATTCTGTAATCAGAATTTCCATTCTATTTTAGTTGTATAGTGAAAGAGGCTTGAACTAGATGTTGAACAATAGCATGTTTCTTACAGAATCTGATAAAACAAGTTTGAGTACATGGTTCAAGCCTAACAAGACTGGCTTTCATCTTATTTCTGTGACATGGAGTAGTCAATGTTTTTACAATTTTAATTTCTTGTTAATCTCTTTTTTTTTTTTTTTTTTTTTTTTTTTTCAGAGCAGCATTTTCTTTTGTGCATGAAAATTTGATGTGTTTGTTTTAGAAAGTTTCCCAGTTACCATTTTTGTTGCAGAGACTGTGCAGTTGATCCCACTTGCGTACTCTGTATGGACTGCTTCCAGAACAGCATTCACAAGAACCACCGGTACAAGGTAGAAAAATCTTCTATTAAGAGATTGTACTTCTAGCTTTAGAGAAGATTTTTTTTAAGGATATAATGAACTGCACATAAACCATTAATAATTGCAATTAAAAAAAAAAAATCTGGGATTTACTATTTAGTTAATTATCTTTCATGTTTCTAAAGACGTAGAGCCTCTTTTAAGAACACTAACTTTCTAATTCAAGAACCAAAGGGTGAGGGAGTGTTTACAAATGCATACATCGTTTTTCTTTTTGGCAGTATCACAGAAGTGTATGTCAGAGCAAAAAGCTGTTACTGAAAATGACAGTCCTGTCCTGAGTGCCAGTCAGTACTGTTTGGAAATTTGGAATGAGTGTGTGTATACAAGGGCCTTTACTTCAGCACTTATATCACTGATGGAGTCTTTACATTTCCACTGTTCCTCCATTTAGATTTGCATAAAGTACTTTGTGCTTAGTGTGGACTATGTCAAAGTTAAAACAAATGTTAAGCATCCATTTTTTATTGAGGAGTTTGTTCTAGAACTGGAGCATATCTTTCTGATACCCTTTTGATTCTCTTTGAGGCAAGTCTATGTTATCTTTGAGAGATTCCCATGCTTTAATTGAAGAAGGATCTTTTCAATAATTCTTGGCTAACTCACTGCCTAAACTGTCATTCACTCTTTCCTTCCCAGGCCCTGTTTTTTGCTTGCCCTCTTCAGTGAGGACTCTAATTTCAACAGCCTTGGAAGCAGAAATACTAAACAATATACTAAGTGCCATTTTTAAAGCTGGTCTCACTCTGCTGCAATAGGCAAGAAAATGTACAGAAACATTATGTATTCAATTTAATTATCTTTTACAACCAAAAAGTGGGCTAGATTTTCTTTGCAACTATTCCTTCTACTGATTGACATGACATCCATTGAAGAGATTTGTCTTATTTGTATTATCAGTTGGTCATAAAACCACTTTAAGTGAGTATGTATCAATGAGAGACAGTTTGGAAGAAGGTCCTAGCAATCTTAAAATTAACTGGGACTAAAACGCAATATTCTGCCCCACTGTATAAGTCTGTGTATAACTGATCTGAAAATGTATTGTAAATATTGATTCAAAGATGTACAAAACTACTTGGATAATGCAAATGTAACTTCCCTATACACACGCATGCATACAGAGTTTACAGAGGTAAGATGAAAACCAAGGAAAATATATAATAGTGACTACAGGGCAATTTGGAATCACAGCTGGGCTGAGAAGCTGTATTTCAGGCAAAACATGAAGCATGGAAATAGTAGTCAGATGGGAGCAGTTCTGCTGCATTTCCATTTTAAAGATGCCATCTGAAGAATACAGATTATGGTCTTTTTAGATACATAGAATAATTTAGGTTGGAAGGGACCTAAGGAGGTCACCTAGTCCAACCTGCTTGAAGCACGTCTAATTAGATCAGGTTATTTTAAAATGTTTCAAGTAAATAACAAATTTTTGAATGTCTTCTTATTGGGTCACTTAGTGTTTTTATAATTATTTTAGGATTGGGGATATAGAATAATCTAAGGATAATTATTTTTGTCTGAGTTGTGTCTGAACTCTGTGCCAGAATGAAGGGTCAGAATTTGTACTTTTCTGAAAGTATAATTCAAAGTTACATTTGCAAGAATGTGTTTAGATTCTGATTATATCTTATTTTCTTTGGTTAGAAGTGGAGGTACTACTAAATGTCTGTTTAATATACAGATATTCTTGTTCAGATTATTTTCAAACTTTACCAAGTAATTTGTAAAGAAAGTATTAAGCACCTTTGCTATAATTTTGGTAATAAACCCAGAAATTATTATTTTTGCCATTTATGAAGCATTTATTCATCAGTCAGGATTTTTCACCTACTTTCTAGTTAAATTTAAGATTTGCATACTTTTTTTGCAGCAGCAACTGTATTTCCTCCTTTGTTTTCTGCTCAAAAAGTTTACATTCTTTCCCCTTGCTCCCCTGATAAATCTCCTTTTATCTAAAAAAAAGGAAAAGATTTTGTGATAAGTCCATTGGTTATGCAGTGACTTGTACTTGTGTTTGACTTAATGCATGTTTCTATTTTTCTCTTGCTTTTTGTGTGCATATTTCGTGACTGAAAACCATGTTTTTACAGATGCATAGCTCCACTGGAGGTGGATTTTGTGACTGTGGGGATACAGAGGCATGGAAGGCTGGACCGCTGTGTACTAAACATGAGCCTGGAGCATCAGGTTCTGCAAAAGAAGTAAGCATATTGCTTAAAGTGAAAACAAATATTTTAAATGTTGCCTTTTTAACAAAAGTATGTATATTGTATAATTTGTGTAGCGGATCCAATTGAGTTGAGTCAGGATTTCCTTGGTCAAGGTGTTTGTTGGGGTCAAACATACATTTTGGACATCCTTTGTCTCCAAACAAAAGGCAAAACCAATAGAACAGTTCCATCTACCTGTCTTGTGTATTTCTGTCTTTAAAATTGCAGTCTCTTGTTCTTTTCTTTGCTATATATATTACTCAGTTTTTATTTACAAATAATTGGTTTCCCAGTGGTTAATAAATGTATAGATATACTACTTGATTTTTAATAGTATTTTCTCTTTTCCACCTTACTGCATTACTGAACAATTCTTTTTTTTTGTCACTTCTGGTCTGTGATCTGTCACTAGGACTGAAGTAAGTCCCTATGCTTTAAAACCAACTTCTTACACTAGGATGTCTCATGCTTATTGTACTTCATAAAGCAGCATATTAATGGGAAACATACCATCTTATAAGTAGTTCTCAAAGAATGTAGGCAAATCAGTTGCTTCAGGTAAAATTGTTTTTCCAGAGCCCTACATTCTGAGAAAATGAGGTCAAAAAAATCTTAGCATTTGTCATTGCAGGTAGACCCCTAATTCCTCCTAGTTTTGTAGTGAAAGTACCGTTCCTTATCATCTGGCAAAAAGTCAAATGGTAAAGGAATAAAAAGCACTGGTCTTAAGAAAAATGAGACAAAATTTTCCTTCACTTGTTCATCCTCCAAAAAAACATGAATCTCAGAGGATTTCGGATGTAAAAATAGTTGAAGCTCCAAGAAAGGGTCATCTGATTACCACTTGTAGCTTGTCACTGTTAATGTTCATCTGCTTCTACTTCAATAAAGTCTGTTCTGCTGTGCAGTACTTACCTTGAGTACTGAGCCACTTGATATATGTGTGGCTGATAGTACGTGTTACTTAGGAAAACCTGTAATCAGAAGAGCCAAATTGTCTCCTCAGTGTTAGAATATCCCAAAATAGCTACGGTACGGTTAATTTTACTTTCTGTCACCATTACTACATATGTGTTTAATGCTTTTTCCAGCACGTTCTAGAGGTGTTTCCAGAAAAAGAAACTAACACAGTTCCTCTTTGAAAAGTACTCATTTTTGTCCTTGTGTTCTGAAGGAAAACAGGATTTTTTTTGCAATGCTAGATTCCTGGTACTGTTGATAAAGACATATGGGAAGGTAGAACACTCGTGTTTAGTGAAGTAGCCACCTTTGGATACTATGGAAAATTGATGTTACCAGATGCTCAGTATCAGATTTCTAGCCGAGTGCTGAGAGGTCCTTATCATATCATGAAGAGAATGTAACAATGGTCTTAAGAAAAAATGTTCAGGCCTCAGTTGGGAATTAAGCGTTCTTCCATTTGAAAATTGTATCCAGCCAAAGCATCTCCATTGCTCCTAAGTGATATTACTTATGCCTCAGGTGACCAGTTTGTCTTACAGACAGTAGCTAACATATATTAAGGATTTTTTCTGTGATGGCTTACAGAAAAAGTTACACAGATATCTGGATGTATGTGGACCTGTGAGGCACATTAAGAACTTTAATAAAGAGCTCCTAAACAAAATAGGCTGTATCCCCCAGCTTTAAAATTTAGGTCTCTCTGCGAGATCTTCTAACAATTGTTTCAGCACTTTACTTCTGAGAATAATAGTATTTTTTTTGTTCCAGCATCCCTGATGAGTCCCTAAAACCTGTTTCTCTGCAAGGTATAGATTTTGGTATTTGCATCTGTGACAGACCTGGTAGTTGCATCTGTGACAGGATAATCTGCTTTTTACCTCTCTTTCCTTTAGGAAAGCTTTTTTAAAACCATAAAATAATCAAAAAATAAATGTTAGGAAAAACACCAAAGCCTTTATCAATTTTACCAAAAGGCTGTTTCGCTCTTGTTCAAATCACACTGTCCAAATTTTCTGGGCTTTTTTTTCAAAACCATATTCAGACAAATCTTGAGAGGAAACTGCATGCATTGAGGGCCCACAGCATTTTATTTCTGTTTGGATGAAGATGAGCTGCTCAGAATATTCTTCAAATCATTTTTATCTGATGGAGATAAGATTAAAAGATAGATCATATATGTAATGACAGCAGCTAACACAGTATCTTTTTGTTTTAAACTTTACTGAGAACTATAATCATACCTGTGTTGATAAGGAAACAGGGAATCTCCCATTCTTCTTCCGGTAATACTTCTCATCCAGTCTCCAATAAGGTCCCCGGTGTGCAGTGAATTTGTCTGATCATCACTTCTGTCATGGAGTTGTGCAAGTCCAAAGCTATGTTACAACTGCCGTCACATAAACTGGAACATATTCATACGAGTGCTACCTGAGAGTTGTGAATGATAGAAAACATATAATTAGACAATTATTTGAATTTGAAGAAGTATAAGTTACTTTCATAATAGTTCTTTGTTGTCAATGTATGTAGTCATTATGCAGTCAGTATATGTAGACTCTCTAGTAAAAGGGCAGAAGTACAACCACTACAATAATGAAATGCGTCAGTATATTAATATATACTATGTGTAACTATTTGATTGCATTGCATGACTGTCTTGGTTTTTTAATAAAAGACTTGTCCATCAGGGACTTATAATGATGAAGAGGCTCAACGATGTTTGGATTACCTCATCATTTGCTCTCTGTTTTGAGAATCAAGGACATTCATAATGTAGGAATTTCCTCAGCATATATTCTCAGTTTATTAAATGAGTTCCAAAGCACATTTGGAACAGACAGCTTGTATATTTCTTTTCCAGCATGTTTTCTGATACTATAGAACTTTATCACATGCTTGTCAAACAAAAAGCACTGTTCTCTGGATAATCCTGACCAGTATTCCTTTAATTCCAGTTTAATAAACCAGTATTCCTAAATGCAGAGGATATATCATGCTAGGGTGTTTATAAACTTACTCTGATCAGGTAGGAGCAAGTAAGAAGAGGGATATGTTTGCAGTATGTTTGTCTGCTATGCAGAACTTGGTAAAAATATGCTTATGAACTGGCTGCTATTTTTAAAAGGTAGATTAAGTTTAGAGTTTGATCTACAGAATGACCTCCTTTTAAAAATAAGCCTTCAGTAGAGGACAGGTTTCAATCTACAACATTAAAGATAAGCACCAGAGTTTTTAACAGTTCTGAGGTAGAGGTGAACATTAGTAAAATACAGTATCCGTACAAAAATCGAAATGTAACCCTAGGTTTTTTTTTTTTTTTTTTAAATAATACATTTTATAGTGAGGAGATATTTACAAAACTTTTTGGTATGTATGTAATATGGGCCTCAAAAGCGATCCTTCATTTTAGAATCCCCACTCCAGGCTTTTAGGAGTCATCTGTTCCCTATTGATTCCAAGTTAATATCTTCACTATGCCAGAAATGTAAAAACCTTTTTGCCTAAATATATCCTTAAAACCAGATAACTTTAAGAAGTTGTGTCTGAGATGCGGTAAAAACACTTCCTAGTCACGCTTGTTTAAAAATTACTATCAATTTTTTTGTTTTAAACTTTGATATCTGAACATGCTTTGTTCATTCTTCTACTTTTTTTTTTTTTTTTTTTTTTTGAAGCTTTACCTGAAGCTTAAATAATTACACATTTTTGGGCATAGTTCTGAAGCAATTTTATTTTCACCCTTTCTGTTTGTTTACATTAGGTGAATCTTAATTTAATTTTACTCTGACTTCTGTTAATGTGGATAACACTGGAGGTGGCATTGCATCATTTAACTTGTCACTATTTGTATGAATGCAATACACATTTTTCATCATTTATAAATACTTTGATGTGGTTTCCTTCGATTTCTTCTACAGTCTGAAGGAGAGCAGCACGTCTTACTCCAAGGTTCTTGTTTGGAGTATCTTGGTGCACAGCTCTGCATTTTCCTACAGCCCTATCATTTTTGTTTAACATATGCTAATGCTTATAAAGCCAAATTCTTAAGTAATACTGGAAAAAAAATTAGTATATTTACAATTCAGTTCAATTAGATTATTCTTAGCACTATGATTTTTTTCATTCTGCTCCAAACTTTAAGGTGATGATAGCTTTGTCAGTCTTGGAAAAAAAAATAATTACCCCAGACATTTATGTTCTTAATTACCAAGATCTACCACGAGCTTATCCAAAATTAAGTATGTACACACAGTGATATTTATAGACTATGATTTCACTGGCAGACATTTTAGATTTTATGTTTGACTCGAGATTATTCTCCTAATGGTTGTCAAGTCAAAAAACTGTTGTTCAGAGCTTTGGAAGTAATTGGTCATGTCAATGCAACTTTATTTCTCTTCTGCTACATTTTTAGCTTTTCCATCACATGGATGCAATATAATTTTACTTGTTTGTTTGTTCATTTGTTTGTTTTTTAAATCTGCTTCATAAATGGATGTGACTGTAGCTGATTTAATAATTTTTCAAACCTCTGATTCTTAGGTATATTAAACACATTACCCTTTCTGTTCTTTTATATTTAACATATGTCAGATTGCATATTGCAGAGGTCAATGCCCTTTGTACTTTGGGATTAGAAATCACATGAGAAAAGCTTTATTCTTGGAAAGCATCTTCATTTCTCATCCTTTCTTATTCTGGCAAACACATACATATTCGGATTTTTTGTAGGAAGCTTGGGTGATCATAAAATTACAGGAAACTTTGTGTAAATAGTCTAGAAAATATCAGCCTCTGTTTCTGTGTCATATTTGTATATGAATTTACTGGATTTGGTTGTGTTAACATTATGTACCATTTATATATGCATATGTTGAAGTGAAGGTGGATGTGGAAAAGGTCATCAGGGCCTTTGGATTAAAGCCCTCTTTTCACACAATGTCATTGCAATGTATCTATGTCTTGTACCTGAATATTGATTGCTTCATCCTTAAGTGCAGATTTAGCAGTGATTTTCTTTGCTTATAACCTTGATTTCTCTCCTGCTTAAATGTTTGTGGAGAGAATTAATAATGTTATATGATGTAGATAATTCACTTACTGAGCTTTATGTGGGCGGATATGTCAGTTCAGAAGGATATTTTGAATGATTTCTAGGTCTGGGAAAGAACAGAGTTAGGTTTCCTTGGATGATTCTGTTCAAGGCACGTCATAAATGTTTGACAGAATACACATGTAGAAGAGCAAGCAATACAAGGGAATAATTTTGGTCTGGACTGCAAACTTTTAATATATTCAGGTGTACGGAAAGCTGTTAACCATCTTTTTTTAAACTGAAGTTTCCTAACACTTCTGGTGAGGCCTTTCGTAGTCTAGTCCTAGATGAAAACAGGATGTGTAAAAAAGTGTAGGTGAAACTGTTGGAATACTACGCAGAGCCCTTGAGATGAAATAATTTTGAAGAGAAGAAATTAGGTGAGATTAATTTGCTGGTAAATAATGAAAAAGCTATTTTTCTGAAACAAAGGTCATGAGGTATTCTTTTTTAATTTAAAAAATTTCTTACCTATTAATATTATCTCTTGGTTTACAGAATTCTGAATGTCAGTTGAATGAAGAAATTATGGAGCACTCTAGGAGGGTTTTTCCCTCCGTGATAAAATATATTGTAGATATGCTTATATGGGAAGAAGAGAAGGAACTGCCTCCGGAGCTCACAATTAGGTAGGAGTATTTTCAACTTTCTCTTCAAGGCATTAGAAACTTGGATAATAATTTTGCCTGTGGTATTCTTACACTCATGCAAACATCTTTGTGCCAAAATCCCTGTAAACAGCCCTGTAGCATGTTGACCTACAGTTATATAAAGTTTTTGATACTGCGTGGGAAGTATCCCATCAGCCGCGGAGGGGAGCTGCTCCGGAGCTGGCCTGATCCTCAGTGGAGCAGCAGATCTTGGTGCACTAGGAGTTTTCCTGAGGCAGGGAAATCACCAGGGCAGGGGAAGAACCCACCAGGAACCGGCAGCTCTCATGGGTTGTGCTGGCTGAGGCCTGGGCACTGCCAGAGCACCTGCGACCACCCGCACACCCATAAAAAGCAACCTAGGGGAGCGCGAGCGACCAGGAGTGTTGCAAACAGAGGGGGAAAATGGAGTGTGACATGACAGTTTGTGTGGCAGGGCATGCAGGAAGGGCACAGTCACCTTACCAGCTCAATAGATGAGTTCCATTGGTGGTCTTAGGAGTTTAGCTATGGTATCCACCTAGAGGAAAGCTACGGCCTCTGAACTCACCAGAATAGATGTGGCAACCCAGACAGAGCTGCCATGGAAACACGCAGCCATCCAGGTCTCATGCTGCAGAAGGTGCTAGAGCCCATCACTGGTGATGGATGGCAGTAGTGAGAACAGCGGTGTGAGGTGTGACCAGGTGGACAGTCTGCTCAGCCTGAAGGCAGAGCTACAGGAGGAAGCAAAAAGGTTAAGAAGCATCAGGGAGTCTGAGAAAGAGATAGACTGGTGGAACCATGCTCTGTTCTCCCTGAGACAGAAATAAGAACAGCCACCAGGAAAAAAAACAAAAAAAAAAAAAAAAAACCAAACCAAAACAAAACAAAAAACAAACAAACAAAAAAAAAAAAAAACAAAAACAAAAACAAAACAAAACCACAAGATCAGGGGGATCCTGTATCCTCCCTCTGCCAGGCTGAAGGCAGTAGCTTAAAGGAAAGGAGTGAATGGAGGTAAGTCTATGCTCAGGGCAGCAGGCAAAAGCCCTCCTTGTCCACCTTGCTTCCCAGAGTGCCTCTGTACAATAGGCCTGAAGCTCTGGATGTGGAAGGCCAGTCAATGGATGATGTGAATTATGGTCTGTCTACACCAGAAAGGCCTACCCCCTGTATCACAGTCACCTCCACGAGGAAGAAAAGATGGGTTATAGTTGTAGGCAACTCCCTTCTGAAGGGAACAGAGGGTCCAATATGTCAAACATAGCCTCCTCTTAGGGATGTCTGCTGCCTCCCTGGGGCCTGGGTTAAGGACATCAGTAGGAAACTTCCTAGCTTGGTATGGCCCTCAGACAATTACCCATTACTGCTATCCCATGTGGGTGGCAGTGAAGCCACAACACGTAGTTCAAGGGCAAGCAAAAGAGGCTTCAGGGCCTCAGGATGGTTGGTAAGGGAATCTGGAGGTTTTTTTTTCCTCTCTCCTTCCAGTTGTGGGCAGTGACACTGGAAGAAACAGACAGGCCCAGTCTATTCATACATGGCTCCATGTCTGGTATCACTGCCACAGTTTGGGGTTTTTCAGTAACATATTGGCAACAGTTTTAAACTGAAAGAGGGTAGACTTAGACTAGATACAAGGAAGAAATTTTGTACAGTGAGGGTGGTGAAACACTGAAACAGGTTGCCCAGAGAGGTGATAGGTGTCCCGTCCCTGGAAGTGTTCAAGGCTGGGTTGACAGTTCTTTGAGCAACCTGTTCTGGTGGAAGATGTCCCTGCTCATTGCAGGGCTGGGGGTTGGGACTGGATGACCTTTAAAGGTTCTTTCTAACCCAAACTCTTCTATGATTCTGTGAAAATGCAAAAGACTGTTGTGTGCCACGTTAAAAAGAGAAATGGGATCATAAAACAGCAAAGAGAGGAAATAATGAATAATTGTATAACTTAAAATCTCTTTTGTACTCGGTACATGGTTTCTGTGGCTTTTTCTGGTAGAGATGGTGAGGGGAGTGTGTCTTTGATATGAATAACATGCTAAATTCTATTTTGTATTTTACATTCCTCTCAGGGTATCAAGCTGTTGCTCGTATTGGATAGGACACTATTTACAATTTTATTTTTATTTGTATGATGATAAGCTGGCTTTTTCCCAGCAGAGAGAAGGTGGACAGCTACTACTGTGTCCTTTTCAATGATGAACACCATTCTTACGATCATGTCATTTATAGCCTACAAAGGGCACTTGGCTGCGAGCTCGGTGAAGCCCAGTTGCATACTACTGCCATAGATAAAGAGGTTAGTGCATTCTGGATATGGGAGAAGGTAACTTTTTAATTATTAAGAAGTGCTACTGTAGTCCCTTGATCATAGAATCTTTGTTTCTGGGATGCTAGAGCTTGAGGAGAGAGAAAGGCATGTTGCAGAGTAACTGTTAATCAGCACTTACCTCAAAAAAGTTTTTAAATAGTATCAATTTTTTTTGTCAGGAAAAAACCCCAATTTCTTGAGAAAGGGAAGAGCTGATTTATCTGAAGTTGCTCCTTTCATGCTTTGCGTATTTTCATATTTTTTTCTTCTTATCTGAGATTAATACTTCATTTTAATAATACTTGCCTGAAAAATATACAAGTCCACATTATGCATGTTCAGTTATCTTTAATCAGAAACGTATCTTACATTTTACAAGAATTAGTGCTTGTTCTGGCTCAGACTTCATTTGAAAATCTTAAAAAATTAAGCAAATGAAGCCAAGAAGAATTCCTGAAGCAATGTGAGTGAACCAGGTAATTTTACAACTTCATTTGTCAAGCTAATATTCCGTGTAAAGACCTTACACTCAGTAATTTAAATTTGTTTTTCCACATGGGGAGGGAGAAAAAAGCATGATCAGTATTTGAATTATGTTAATTGCAACCATATTTTTTTACCTTGCAAAAGTACAAAACTTATGTGCTCGCACACAGAGAAACTTTGTAGCCATATATGTATTTGTTATGTATTTACTTCTAAAATACCTTCCTAATATTAGAACCCTTATTTAATCTGTCATAACTGTGTTTTCTTTTTGTGTTTCTCTTTGTTCAGGTAATGAAAATTTAGTTGTATTTAGTTAGTAGTGTCAGTCTTATAAAGTTACAAGTCTTGTCCTGCAGTTGCAGGTTTAGTAAAATATGTATCTTCAGGCATGCTTATAGAGCAACTTTTAAAGGTTTCCATTATAAAGGTTCCTTTTGATGGAAACCTAATTTTTAGATCTAGAGTTGATCAGATGCTTCATTTTACAAAGCACCTGCTACAACACAGGACTATGTTACATTAATTATAACAGTTCCAGAGCATACAGCTACTTTTTCTCTTCTTATATGAAAATCTGCTGTGTGAAGAACTTGTTTTGGAAGCCCATACCTCTGCTTTCCTTTGAGTGGAATTTGAGGCCTAAGCTGGACCTGTTCTTGGCTTTACTGAAAGAGCTATCAAACCCACATTTATAATATACCCTGCTATTTCGTGTACAGAGGGAAGAAATAGTAGGAAGGATTGTAGAAAAGCAATTAAGGATGAGAGTATTTTGTGCTAGGAAGAAAGTTGATGTGGTTTATATTTGAAGTATTCTGCAGAAATCCCTCTCACCTGTTTTAATGTGTATGTGAATTTTCCTTATCTAATAATATTGAGATACCAAGACTACTTTGTTCTGTTGTTACTTAAATTAAAATAGCTTTTTTCCTAAAGGTAGTTGTGTTAATTTTGATTTGCTTCTAGATGTCTAAAAGCACCATGAGTGGTGTTAGTCCGCATTTCACATAGAAAAAACAGCAAGGATCAGGCTTGTGATATTTCGGTTTTGTTTCACATTGGCCTTATGCTCAATATTTCTTTAAACAGGGTCGTAGAGCTGTTAAGGCAGGACATTACACCTCTTGTCAGGAAGCAAAAGAAGAAATCAAGGTAACTTCCAAGAATATTTTTCTCATTTAAAAACCAAACAAATCAGCCTCATCATTATTAATAGTAGAGACTTATTTTTCTGCTGTACAGTCTTTAACGTAGTACTTCAGTGTTTTTATAACCTGTCTGTGAACTCTTTGAAATTGAATTTATCCCACCACATTTAACATAGATTATCCTATCTATCTATCTGTAATCTATCCATCCATCCTCAAAAATTAAACAACTGATTTATTTTTTTGGCTTGGGAGAGGTAATGGGTGGTGAAGACAAATACAAAAATTCATGTTATCTTTATTTTATATCTGCTAATATTTACCTGACTCCTAGAGGCATTCTGAAAATGTTTCTCAACGACCACTTCATGTGGAGGTTCTGCATGCTGATGTTATGGCTCACCAGAAGTTCGCCTTGCGTCTTGGTTCTTGGCTGAACAAACTCATGAGCTATTCAAGTAAGCATAACTTATTTTTGTTATGATAATCCCATGTCATTATTTGAATGTCTAAGTCTATAAAAAAATGTCTTTGCTGGTGTTATATATGATATTCCCTTATTAAAATACTTCCACATTCTTTCTAATTAGTAAAGAAATAATACAGTAGTATGGGTGCTGATGTCCATCAGTATGATTTTGAATAGCAGTACTTTCCTGTTCCTTTTTGCTAAAATAAATGTCTTTCCCTACTTGAGCTCTCTCTGTTCTAGAAGTTTTATTATCCTTAGTTTTACCATCACATGCCCTCTTTCAATGAATTCTTTGCTTAAAAGCTGCTCTTCCCAGTGCTGGTACAAAGCTGTAGAACATCTCCATCAGTGAAAGCATACATCCTCTGCTTGAATTAATTCCTGTTTCAGATTTAACAGTGTAGTAAAAAAACCAAAAGCTTTAATTTAAAAATTTGTCCAGTAGTGGAAAGTCTATTTTAAACTTTCAAACATTGTTCTGGTGTTTGATGATGCTCATGGTATTAAACAAGACTTCTGAATCAATCTAATTTTAATTTCTGTTACTGCGTTTTGTCATACCTGTGCTTTGCCAGACTAAAGCCATTATAAAATTTCTTTTCACTGTACAAATATGCATAGGTCAAGCTCTACTCACTCCTTATCCTCCTTCTTGATAGGGTAAATCTGTTTGTCTGCTTTAGCCTCTCTTGTAAGCCTGGGTCATAAAGTGACTTTCTTAACATTTTTTTCGGAGCACTTTCATAGAATCATACAATGGTTTGGGTTGGAAGGGAACCTATAGATGATCTAGGGAATTCTTTTTATGGATCTGCTTTGCAAAGGTGTCTAAATGCTTTTCATTTTAAAATAGTTTTCTGCATTGCTGGATTTATTAAATTAAAGTAGGTAAGAACAATAATAAGAAATTAGTAAGGGATTAGTATGTGAGAGTATGTTCACTGAGAAAAAGTGTTGTTAAAAAATAATTCATACTTAAGTGCCTTTTTAATTTTTTTAAAGAATAGAATTCTCTAATTCTCATTCTGTTGGCTCGTATCATTTAATTATCGAAGCATTCTTGTACAAATTAATTGTTTTATCCCTCTAGGTGACTTTCGCCAGATCTTTTGTCAAATATGTCTCGAAGAAGCTGGATCTGAAAAGCCATGCTTCATAAGCAAGTTGATGCTATGGGATGCAAAACTGCATAAAGGTTTGTGTATCCATGTTGCTGTAACTGAAGAGGCAAATTAATCATGTGTGTAACAAATGTGTAAAAGTAAATTAAGTGCGATGCAGCTGGATTTATATTTCATTATTTTTTTTATATTATTGTTTTTATACAGCCTTTGTTTTTATGTCTGAGATAATAGATAGTTTGGGTATATATTTGCCTCCTAAATTTTTCCTGCTTTGTATATTTTGAAGAATCTTATCACAAGATGTGGCTTGACTATGAGTGTCATGATGGTTACCCTGTGTTTTAAATACATACCAATAAATGTCAAAAATAGAAAAAAATATATTAACTTTGTTAATATAATTTGTAACCATTTCAAGGCTTTTAATGGTTTTTAATTAGAATTTAATAATATGTACTTCTTTTCCACAAAAAGCTGCATCTTAGTACATTAAAGTGACGTGCATTGTATTGGCTCTTCGCAGGGGCAAGAAAGGTTCTTCATGAACTTATCTTCAGTAGTTTTTTCATGGAAATGGAATACAAAAAACTTTTTGCTGTGGAATTTGTGAAGGTAAATGATTATTTGTTTTTTTTGTGGGTTTTTTTATGCTATGAGTTTTTACCAGCTTTATAAAGCTTCCCCCAAACCTCGAAATTGTTTCAATATAAATAAAAAATTTTCAACAAGCAGAACTTGAACACCTAGCTCAGCTTTTATAGACTGCATTAATTCCAATGTCATTGTTTTGTTCCTTATAATTATGTAAGTATATACGCTCATTTTGAAAGCTGTATTTTTAGTATTCTGTGTATCTTTAGAAATGGCAAATGAACTGCAACTGGTCTTTCTTGAAAAAAGTTAGATAGAATAGTTAAGAAATATACAAAAGATAAAACCAAGTGGGGTTTTTTTGGGAGGTGAGATTTCTTAATCCTGATAAAGGTGACTGACACTTCATGGTTTTCTTTGGACTGAAACAAAGCAAACAAAGACTTACACTATTTCTAGTGTAAGTTACACTATTTATGGACTGTACACATCTTTTCTAGACAGCTGTTGAATAACTATCCATGCAGTTCACTGCAGGAGGAAGACTTGTTTTATAATAATGTCTTTATTGATCCTTTTTTCAGATATTTAATTTACTTTCTTGTGGAAGATTGGTTCTAGAATTAAAAATATCTTGGTTTCCATCTGCCAGAAGAGTTAAATTTGTGCTTATCTATAGTATTAAGGCACTGGGGCACATATTTGATTGCTTTGGTACATTGAGGTCATTGTGCTGTTTTTGTAGTTTGAACTGCTTCTATCAGAAAGGAAGGACATTGAGATGCAATTGCAAATAAAAAAGTAACCACTTCTAATTAACACTTGTTTTATTTATTTAACTTCCCCAATATTTTCTTTGCCTAGTATTACAAGGCATTGCAAAAAGAATACATCAGTGATGATCATGATAGAGTTCTCTCTGTGACAGCACTCTCAGTTCAGATGTTCACCGTACCTACTCTGGTATGTATAGCTTGTCTCTGCTAGAAATGTAAAATAAATTTGAGAATTGCTAGCAGTACCACCTTTTCAGACTGCTGTACTCGGCAGAGAGTACATCGCTGAGTTGAAAATGAATGATTTTGAGATTTGTTAAGGCCAATATGAAAGGAGATTGACTTTATTTGAAAATCACAGAAGATAGAGGGAATGCAAATAAGTGGAAATTTTAGGCAGCATAGTTCTCGGCATTAACTTTCTGTATTCATTTACTGTTCATATTTACCTTCTTATCTAAGTTTAAAAACTTGGGAAAAGGGGGGAAAAAAAATGTTTTAATGTCTTTTTGTGGGAGTGAAAGGTGGAGGTTTTTGTGTTAAGTCCTGAGGGGGAAGATTGTACCTGTAGGTTTTAAAGGTTATATATTTCTTGCCTCAAATACTAATGTAAAAGTCCTTTTCTACATGATCTTTCTAGAAAAAAATAGCATGTGTGTTACTTTGAAGGTGTCAGAGTGAACAAACATGCTAAATTAATAGAAATTGTGTTCATAAATAATAAATACTATGGGAATTTTTGTAGCTTGGACTCTTTACAAATGCTTAAAATAATTTCTACTCAAAAAGACTGGATTCAAGGGAAAAATTATTTTTACAGTTCTCTTCACCAAAAATAAGAAGAAAAATGTTTCATTTTCTTCTTGCAGGCCCGACATCTTATTGAAGAACAAAATGTAATCACCACCATTACAGAGACACTCCTAGAAGTGCTTCCAGAGTACCTAGACAAAAATGACAAGTTCAACTTCCAAGGTTACAGTCAGGACAAACTGAACCGGGTATATGCAGTAATATATGACCTCAGGTAAGTGTGAAGCTGAGAAGCTAGAGCAATTCTTAGAAAATTGGCATTAGGATGAGGTGTTTCAATTCAGGAATCTCATGATAAAACTGCTTTAAAAACAAACCCAAAACCAAACCCCTCAAAAAACACACATGAAACTGAAATGTTTTATCTTTCAGTAGAAACTTAAGATTTTCAAATATCAAAATTATATTTTATAAAGACAATTTTTGATATTTTCACTAATATAATTTCTTATAGCAGTTGCATTAATAAAATATATCTACTGTAAGACAGTATGAGAAAATTGGTTTATATTAATTATCATTCTGGGAAAGCTGTGTAATCCTCACCTACATATCATTTTCCACTCTTATAGGTCCCAAATTGCTCTAATAAACTGCATAATGTAAAAGCAAACCTCCCCAAATACCTTGGAATTAAAAAATCTGTTAATTTCAAATGATGGAGTTGCACCCAGCAACTCTAGTGCTTGGTGAAAATTTTAAGAGGAGTTTGAGATGGGGAGGGTGATGTATTGTGATGATGCAGTTGATTATTTTAATACAAAGAACACTTTGAATACAAACATAAGCGGAAGTCTGAGCAGAAGATGATGATGTTTTCTTTGGGGACAGGTATGTCTTAGTCAGCAAGCCTACCTTATGGACAGACCGTCTGAGGGAGCGTTTTTTAGAAGGATTTGTTTCTTTCCTAAGGATTCTAACTTGCATGCAGGTACAACACATTTAAAGAATTTCTATCTAATATGCTGTTATAAAGATATTACAGGCTTTTGTTCTTGTTTTTGTCCATAGCAATACTGTGGATATAAACATGTAGTTAAGATGGTAAATTCTTCAATCCTTGTCTTGGGTGGGCGAAAAAGTAATGTTTACTTTATAGAAGTGATATTTATCAATTTTAGTTACACATATCTGAACAACCTGTATTTTACCATTTGCTTGTGGGATTTTGTGTTGTTTTAAGCCTGTGATCACTGATTTAGCTTGAGTATTTTGCGGCATCTCCATTTCAGGGAATGGAGGAGATAAAAAGACAGATTGGTCAGCACATTGAAGTGGACCCTGACTGGGAAGCAGCTATTGCAATACAGATGCAGCTCAAGAACATCCTTTTGATGTTCCAGGAGTGGTGTGCCTGTGATGTAAGTATATCAATTGTCTGGGATTCTTACATCTCTGCCTTTTGTGAATATTCCTGAGAGGTTTTTAAATAATAGCTTTTTTAAAAAGCTCACTATTGTTCAATACAGAACTCCACAAATAAGGAGTCTGGAAGAATTAATCTGTGGTGTGAGAGAGAAGGGATATCAGAAGAAATATAATCTTCTAGCTGACAAAGCTGCACAGGGTGTCAGACAAATTGTGAAGAGAAAATACTTTTAATAATTCAAGATTTTGAGAATTAGGTTTGTGGTATCACTGTCAAGTTTGAAGGTTTTGAAGTACACGGTGTTAATTTTTAATTGCAAAAGTGGACTGCAAAGACTTTGCACTAATTGGGTAATAGCACTGTAAGTAGTCTTAATTAGTGATGGAGCTCATCCCTGTGCTAGGGGAAGGGAGGAAATGGCACGATTTGTAAACTTGAAGATATTTTGGAGTGGGTTTGTTTTCATTTTTTTTTTTTTTTTTCAGTAGGAAGAACTACAGTAGTTCAGGAGCTTCTTGATCTAATTTGGGGTGCAAACCATGCAAGATATTTAAACATCGCAGTTTAAATAAGCACACAGACTTTAGAGCATTTGACAGAGAAGCTTTTTTGAACAGAAGCATATTCTCAGTTAGCTTTAGTGGGTGTTCCACTGCTCCAGTCCGGTACTTCTCAATGTTAAGAAAAAGATTAGTAATTATATTGTGGGGTTTTAGTAACTGTTTATGCCATCAGAAGAAAAAAGCAATGAAGAATTTTAGTGCATATTTATGATTTTAAAATATAATGCTATGCATTTATTTTAAATTTTAGGAAGAGCTGTTGCTCAGGGCCTACAGGGAATGTCATAAAGCTGTGATGAGGTGCAGTACAAATGGCCGCTCACGGGAGAAGACAGTGTTTCACTTGTGTGGCCATACTCTGGAGAGCAGACCTTACAGAGTGTCTGCAGATCCTGTCAGCATACATTTACCACTGTCTAGGACTCTTGCTGGTAGGTGATGTGTTTTGTTTTGATTGCTATTTGAATGAGGTTTATCGTCAGTCTCTATTTCTTTATTCTAGAAGGCATTTAGATTAAGTGCTTCACAGATCAGTCACTCTCTAACTTTCTGACATTCTTATGATCAGGCAACCCTGTTCCCCAGATGTCCTAGTAAGGGAAAGGTTTCCTCAAAAAGCATTTACCGTGGAGGTCAGAAGACATTTTTTAAACAGCAGAGAGATCAAGTAAGCCGAGAAGGAAAAGTTTCATGTTTGAATGAGATCTTCAGTTTTCTCTAGACTATTTGAATTCACGTGGTTCTACTTCTACCTGTTTTGCCTCAATGAATGTTCATTATTACTGTATCTCAAATTTATTTTCCAGCCACATATATCTTAGGACTGTTAAAGTGCTCCTAAAAGACATATGTTTGCAGCATACCAGGACAGATTTCCAGTCAGAGTACAAAGGTCTACAGCAGTGGGTGATCACCGCTTTCTCTAGAATACAAATGAAATCATATGCTATTATTAAGCTGTAGATTCTTTATCACATCATTTAATACCAAGATACCATCTGTTAAGCCTTGTAAGCTTGAAATTCAGTTATTACTGACACATGATTTAAGCGTGAAGTTAAAATTTTGCTAATACTACTTAGCATCTCAATTTAAATGTTTTAATTAATTAATTAAATGAATAGATTTATTCATGAAGTAATGGATTGTTAGACTGGTAAGAACTGTTGTGATAATGTAATAGATCTTCTATCTTAAAAAAAAGTAACAAGTCTTTCCTAAATAAATTTTGACTTTTCTGTAATTCTCTGAGTTGTAGATGATTTAGCTAACATTTAGAACGGTTTGGATAAGAAACTTTACTGATTTTGATTTATTTTCTAATTTTTTTCCTATTGGTTTTGTAGGTCTTCACGTAAGATTAAGCAAGACTGGAACCATCTCAAGATTGCATGAGTTTGTTTCTCCTGTAAGATTTTTTTTTTTTTTTTTTCCTCAAACACTTCTTGTGATTTAGACTATGGGAAGGAAGAAGCCTCAAAGTAGCTTGTAGCTTTAAGGGTGTACACACATAAGTTATTTTGCAGCTGTCAGTGTGTCTTTGTCTTACACTTCTAAAGTCACTGACAGACTTATTCTCACTTAATATTTTTTCTTCTTTTTTTTTTAAAATTCTAGGAAGAATTTCAAGTGGAGCTGCTGGTAGAATATCCTTTGCGATGTCTTGTCTTGGTTGCTCAGGTTGCTGCAGAGATGTGGAGAAGGAATGGGCTCTCCCTGATAAGCCAGGTACTCCGTACAATATTTGGTTGTGAGTTGGTCCTAATGGTGTACACCAGTGTTTCTCAGTAACGCTCCCAGTGGTGGTTTTGTCCAGTGCAGAAGGAGGTCATGGGGGTCACTCCTACCCTAAATAGAAAGGTTTCTAGATGGGAGTTCAGATGACTTGGTTTGATTTCCACCTTCATTAATGACTTGCCTCCCCGTATTAGCTAAGTATTTTCATCTCTCTTATGACTGCTTCTGACTCTGTGGTGTCAGTGTTACTGATGTCTACTGTAAACTATTACCAGATCTGGTAAAGAAATCATTGCATTAGTACTGTTGCTTATAACAAAATATTAGAAGAATCTCTTAGTATATGGTAATCATTATATGCAAAAGTTAAACTATTTTAATCTTGTACTAAAATTTTGAGTGCCATATAACTGGATATAACAAACATAATAGTTGTGTGCTGTTTTGTTACAAGAGTAAAGGAAGAGTCTACCCTTAAGTACTTGTATTTTGACTGCTTTGGCTTTGCTTTTTTTTATTTTTTTTTTTTTTGGCAGAAATTGTCTGTGTTTACCTTTCACAGGACGCTGGTGAAATCAAAGTAAATATTGGTTAGCCCCCTGTAGAATTGTCTCTGAGAACTAGGGTAGGAGAAGGAGGATGTTTTGACTTGAATCTGTAGCAGCCATTAGAATTCTGTTGTCTTGGAAGGGGCCTGTAAAGAAGTACAGCATAGACTTCCTCTAGAGAGGTGAAAAACATTTTTCACTTCCATCAAAGTACGTATTTGCTTTGAAATATGGGACTTCTACTCAAAAAAGGTGCTGTACAGTTTAAAAAAGCCTCAGACATTAGTTGGTGAATATACTTCTCTGCTTAAATTTAGTTTTCTTATTTCTCAGGTATTCTATTATCAAGATGTTAAATGCAGAGAAGAGATGTATGATAAAGACATCATCATGCTCCAGGTATAATGTTCTGACTCTTTGCTTGCTTGACTCCAAATTTTCATGGTATTTCTTTTAATTTAAATAAAATTTGTATGATTTAAAAAATTTTAATTGGTAAAAAAGTATTTTTCATAATTAGTGAAGAACTGTAATAGTAACTGATGTTCATATTAGTTTGGGTTTTTTGATAGATAGGTGCATCTCTTATGGATCCAAACCAGTTCCTCCTGCTGATACTGCAGAGATACGAGCTTGCTGATGCTTTCAAAAAGATCAAGCCCACCAAAGATCAGGTAAGGGGCAAGTATTTCTGCTGATTAATTTATTTGCTTTGAGTTTATGGAACATTAATAATAGAAATTAGCTACTGTTGATAACTGAATTTTTATGACCACGCTAAAAGTCTGTCAACACAGGACCTAGTGGTTAGATAAATTCTTTTGGATTCAGAATTTGTAGAGGATTACTGTCATGGTTTAAGCCCAGCGGGCAACAAAGTACCACGTGGCTACTAGCTCACTCCTCACCGCCAGTGGGATGGGAAGGAGAAAAAGAACAAAAGGCTCAGGGGTTGAGATAAGGACAGGGAGGGCTCGCTCACCAATTATTGTCATGGGCAACAGTCAGACTCAATTTGGGAAAAAACCCCATCAATTTAATTTGAAGACCTCCACCACTACTAATTTACCATTCAAAACAGAGTAGGACAGTGAAAAATAAAACCACATCTTAAAAACACGCCTCCCACCCCTCCCTTCTTCCTGGTCTCAGCTTTGCTCCCAGTTTCTCTACCTCCTCCCCCCCAGCAGCACAGGGAGCAGGAGATTGGGGTTGGGTCAGTTGTTTCTGCTGTTCCTTCCTTCTCCGGGGGAAGACTCCTCACATTCCTCCCCTGCTCCAGTGTGGTCTCCCTCCCACAGGAGACAATCCTCCACAAACTTCTCCAGCGTGAGTCCTTCCCACAGGGCTGTAACTCTTCACCAACAGCTCCAGCCTGGGTCGCTGCCGCGGGCTGCGTTCCCCCCAGCAGCAGACTGCTCCAGTGTGGGCTTCCCTCAGCGTCACAGCCTTCTGCAGGCGCAGCCGCCTGCTCTGGCGTGGGGTCCTCCACGGGCTGCGGGTGGGCATCTGCTCCACCAGTGACCCCCGTGGGCTGCAGGGGGACAGTCTGCCCTCTCACCACGGGCTGCAGGGGGAGTCTGCTCCAGTGCACCTCCCCGCCTTCCTCCTCCTTCACTGACCTTGGTGACTGCATAGGTGTTTCCCTTACTCCCCCACTCCATTGCAGGTTCCCCTTCTTAAATACGTTATCGCAGAGGCGCGGCCACCATCACTAATTGGCTCAGCCTTGGCCAGAGGTGGGTCTGACTTGGAGCTGGGCAAGCTTTGAGAAGATTCTCACTGGGGCCACTGCTGTAGTCTGCCCCCCCGCAATCCCATCACACAAACCCAATACACTTACTCAAAATTAGCAAACAGATTTTGCCCTCTTTGACCTTTATTTCATAGGGCATTTACCAAAATCCACATAGATTACTTTTCTGTTAAGTTTCCATCTCTTAAGCCATACTATGTGTTCCTATTTTGGTTGGAAATTTCTTGGATTGTGCTACTTTTTGAAGCTTGAATTTTGATAAAACCCTTCATTTGGGATATATTTTTATCTATTGTTTCTTTTCCTGGATGTGAATCTTGTGCTTCAGTTGCAGAATAGTGTCTCTTCTACTGCACAGGCATTTTTTCCAGCTTGTTAGTTTTGAGGTTTCTTCTTACAGTACAGTGCTTCAGTGAAGTAGTGCATCTGAAGGCTTAGCTCAGTGGCATTTGGCAGATTTTCCTGCTTGTTTGTTTTTTTTTGTTTGTTTTTTTTTCCTTTTTTAAAAACTTGTTTCTGTAATTCTTGTAGGATTTGATCAAACAATGTAATGTGTTAATAGAAGAGATGCTACAGATTCTCATCTATGTTGTGGGTAAGTTTCATTTCTCTCCATTGTAGTAATGAATTATTACAGTTCGGCAAAACAGGCATGATAACTTTCTTTAACGTAGATGGTGTATGGAGAGGATACTGGAGAATGCCTGTTTTAAACAGATGGCTCAGTGACAAGTGATGGGTATTTGTCAACCGGAAGCAATAGGGGTTCAATAGTGAATTAGATAACTTTATATTCTACTTTAATAGTCAGTTATAAAGAGAAACTCCTATCAGCTCATTTTATTAGGAAACTGGGCTAAAAACCATTTTTCCTCTCAGACACTTGTGATAGGTTTCTGGCGAATGCAAACTTACACTATACTCTATATTACTGTAGTCCAGCAATAGCATTCCTTCAATGCCAAACTCAGAATTGCTTTATAACTGTCGTATTTGTCATTCTTCTTGTGATTCACTCTGGTAGGGGAAAGATATGTGCCTGGAGTGAGTAATGTGACAAAAGAAGATGTTACCATGAGAGAAATCATCCATCTGTTATGTATCGAACCAATGGCTCACAGTGCAATTACCAAGTCTTTGCCTGAAAATGTGAGTCCTGGTTTATTTACTTTTTTCCTTAATTTACTTTTTCTTGTTTTATGTCTTTTTCTTCTTTAGCTTCCAGATCTTCATATGGAAGCATTTTATTTCTGATATTAGGCTCAAATGTTGGTTTCAGAATTACAAAATAGCATGACAAAGGGTCTTACACTCTTTACTGATGTAAAGTTAAATGTCCTGGATTCAAATATGGTCTAATCTGAAAAGGCTTGTATGGGCATTGTGTTTTTTGATGAAGACGTGGAATTTTTTAGATTATTCAACTGTAGTTCTAGATTCCAGAAGAAAAGTTTTAAAATTATTTTATTTTGGCCCTGTAGGACCATGCAGTTGGATTCCATTCTGCCCTGTGTACCTTCAGTAAATTTGGTCTTGTAATTTTGATCACTTAAACTTGTGCAGATCCATTGGAAGTCAAGTATTGTGCAAGTCTATTCAAAATCACAGATTTCCCTGTCGTTCTATTCCAGCTGTTGAAAATTCGAGCAAAGGAGTGGGGGATGTGGATTAGATTTTATAGCCTGTGCAAGTCTTGAGGGCTGGCAATCAGTGCAAAAAATTTTATTGTAAGTTTTATTGTAAATTAAATAGCCTGGAATATTATCAGAAACCCATAATGGGTGATCCACATCCACTGTTTTAAGAGACTAATCCTATTTTTTTCTCCATTGAGGCTGGGTAAGGCACTGCTCTCTTTCTGGGGATTAGCTCTTAGAAATAGTTTTACATGATTATATGAAAGTATTACCGGCATTTGGTGCTTCCTTGTAACTTGTCAGTTATGAATATCTGCTTTCTGAATAACAATGGGCAAAATATAATAATGAGTTAGGGAATTGATCTAAATCTGTATGTCTATTTTTGTTACACCTAGCGTAATACTGAAGATATTTGAATTATTATATATTTATCCCAAACTAAATTTCTTACCAGGAGAACAATGAAACTGGCTTGGAGAATGTCATTGATAAAGTGGCTACATTTAAGTAAGTTCTTAATATTGTTTTATAAGTAACTTGAATGTGAAATAAGATCTCTTAGATTGTATAGGTTAAACTGCACTGCACAGTGTCTGTTCAGCTAATATTCTGCTGTCTTGAAATATGTACACTTTCAAATATGCATAGGAAAGAAAAGTATATGGAATATCCGAAGCTGCTGCTTCTCTCCTTTTGCCCCCCTCTTTCTTCACATGCAATTTGAGGAATCTCAGGCGTTTAGTATCTCAAGTCGTAGTGGGAAAATCTTCAAAAGTTCATTTTACTTCAAAGATGTTTAGGAGCCTTAACAACTGATTGTACCTCTGACAATCACCACCTAATCATTGGTTTGGGTGTTATTTAGTTGCTAACTTGCTGTAGCTTTCAGATAGGAGCTGTTTTGTTTTGTTTTTTTTAACATACCTGTATATACATGCATATATATAAGCACAAATATAGAACAATCGGTTGTAACAGTTGAGAAAAACTAGTTCAAGTGTCTTCTATATTTGTCACAAAAACGTAATTTTGATTTTTTTAGTATATCTTATTTTAAATTTCATGTGTCTCCCTTGTTTATGTTTAATCAAGGCAACTATAGGTGTACCTAGGAATTTTGCTTTGGAAATTACATGGAAGGTTCAAAAAATCTCACTGGTTGGAAAGTAGCTATTTCTATCACTTGTTTTGTACCTTGGTTAAAGTAATGGATTTTATACAATAGCATCCAATGTCTGAAATTCTAAACCATAAAGTAAGAATTTATCTGTCATATATATATATATATGTGGTGTGCTGTAATTGGTATAGACTAGAAATATTTTCCTGCTGGGTAAATTTACAGTAGTAAACAGTCTTGAAAATCAAAGACTGATAACTGTACTCACTCTATGTTCTTTATCAGTTAATGAAGCAACCATCACTATTCCACTTATTAGCATTTCCTTAGGAAATAAATTGTGTAGCTGGTTTATTTACAATCAAAGATGTGCTGAACATACATTATTAATCTGTATGTCATGAAGTGTTTATCTTTAAGGAAACCAGGTGTATCTGGGCATGGAGTTTATGAACTGAAAGATGAATGCTTGAAGGAGTTCAATATGTTCTTTTATCACTATACTAAGACCCAGCACAGCAAGGTAATCAGTGTAAGATTCACTCTCAAAGGTTAAAAAATAATACATTCTTATCAGTGTCTAAAGAATTTGCTGAATCAAAGAAATTCATGGAATCTAAAGAAACTGATTCAGAAAAGATTATGTGCGACTGACTTAAAAACTAAACTAATTAAGTTAAGATTGTTAATACAAATTGACATAGTATGATTTGCATTAGTATTTTCCCTATAGTGACTTCTCTATTAACTCTGTGAACTGTTTATGCTAAGAACAAAATATGATAAGAATTATCTTTCAACTAAAAAACCCCAAACCTTGCTTTTATATCTCTTGTTGAGGAAGCAAATATGTCCATTTATTTATCTCTACCACAAACTGAAATGCAAAATGTAAAAAGCAGTATCGTTAAACAGATTTCAGACAAGATCCTAGTTACATGACCAAGTACTGACTATGTATCTTGCCATATTTCTAGTTTAGGATTTCTCATTGTTTCATTGCATACTTTTGTAGAGATGCTGATATAACAACACTACTTTTTCTGTAGGCTGAACATACACAAAAGAAAAGAAGAAAACAAGAAAACAGAGATGAAGGTAAAAATTTGAAACTGATGACTCAACAGATGTAATAATTCAGTAGTGTATGTAGTTGTTCATATAAAATGAGCTTTGGAAATAAGTCTTGTGACTTAATCATGGATGGTTGTGTTCATATTAAATTTGTTATGATTTGTAGAAGTTATAATTAATTAGTACCTAACATTTTTTTTCCTTTTTCTAACACAAAGTTAGGAGTTTTGGAAATTTTAGTTTAATTTCCATGTAGATAGATAAACATGGCATAGTACCCATTGACAAAATTAACTTAGAGTTTTTATGAGGGAGCAACTAGGAAGCAAAAGTTTACTTTTTGTTAGTAGTTTCTTTAGCACAGTGTTGATACATGATAATGCTATGTAGAGAAGGTTGCCGCAGGAACTAGTGCTCATATCCATTCTGTAAGTAGCTTGAGACTTCAGTTTTATAAATCAGAACTTTCTTTTTTAGAAGCCGCAAATACATATAACAATAAAACCTCATATTTCTGTTGTAACACAAATATTATTTCCCTTTTGAGTTTACTTATTCAAGTCATGAGCATTGATTTGACGAAGACTTTGTAAGCTGAACAATTATGTACAATGAACAATTTAATAAAATCAACTATCATCTGCTTTTGTGAGTTGCAACAGATACAATTACTTTGCTTTTCCCAGGTTGCTTTTCCAGGTGAATACCTTAATCTTTACTTCCTACTCTAAAGCATATTTTGAATTTTGTGTACAGTCAGGGACACCACACCATTTCATACCTAAGATGGTTAAAATTAATTCTGAATAAATTTTATTTGCTTTGGGTTCCTTTCAGTTGAAAAATTGTGGAACTGAAAAAGAATAATTTGGCGTTGTTGTTCTCTTTGAAAAAAACTTAATTTCCTTCAGTTGTAAGTAGCTTGGAAGATAATGACAGATGACAAATAATGAAGGAAAAAATGAACTTTGAATTACTTCGGTTTCTTCCTCCACTGTTTATTTTATACAGTTGATAGATTTTCAGTAGTTCCTTCTTAAGTTCCCCCCTTGTTCTTTTCGCGTTAGCAACTAAAAATGTTGGCAGGGATGTTTGTTTTGTAGAACTTTTAAAAAATGGAAATATTTATATGTAAGTGGCAGAAACACACATTGATGTAATCAGACAATACAGTTCCAAAGTACAAAGATAGCTGTTCATGTGGACGTGTATTCCCCTGAGGCTACCCATTTTGTTGCAGATACTTCATGCGTATGCTTTTATGTGGCTGTGTTGTCTTTGTCAGTAACTTTTTATAAGTCATTCAGTCTAAATTGTCAAAAGATCGATGCTTTCAGAGTCACTGCATTCATAGAAGTTTTCTGAAAATAGGTAGCCAGGTACCAAAGGAAGACGTAAGGCAATGCTTCCAGGTAGAGAAGGGCTGCCGGGTTAAATGAGCTGCTGTTAGTAGATGCCAAGATTCCAGGTGGCTTCTGGATGAGATGCCACATCACACAGTTTCAGTATTAGCTCACAAAATGTACATAGCTGGAAATGATTGGAATGCCCTGTTAGCAGGAATAATTTAGAGCTGCAGCAATGTTAGTCGTGGGACACTGTCATGTGAGACTTCACACTCTGGAATATCCACGGCGTACTCTTGTTCAATCACTAGAAAACTTTATATCTAATGCAGAACAGAAACAATATGTATTTATTAATGATAAATAAATAAGGCAGTGCAAAGTATTAAGGATTTGCATTTGCAGATACAACTAGGTACTTGTGATTGATTGCTTAGCTTAGTTTGCATGTGTTTTATATAAAACTTACCAAAAGTACTTAATTTTGCTACAGATAAAAGCTGACTTAGGTGAACAATTGTGTTTGAGCATGATTTTCCTAATTTAAAGGTCCAGTTGTTATTTCATTGGAATTAGTATGTTTGTGCTCTTTGCATTTTGCATGCAATCTTTGAGATGCCAGTTGGTTAATACATTTGCACATCTCCATTTTCTAGCATTGCCACCACCTCCTCCTCCAGACTTCAGTCCTGCATTTAGCAATGTGGTGAGGATTCTGAACTGTGACGTTATGATGCACATACTGCGGACCATTCTTCAGAGAGCTGTAGAGCTGGAAACCCATTTGTGGACTGAAGCTATGATCCAAATGGTATGGTTAGCTTTGGTCTTCTTCCTGTGGTCATTCCTGTGTTGACCATGATAACTGCTTATAATAAGATCAAAATGTATAAAGATAAACTTTAACCTTAAATGATAAGGATGTACTTTCTGTCCTCAAACCTGATTTTATAAATCTTACCAGCAAAGAAAATAAAAAATTACAAATATCTCCACTGTAAAATAGAAATGTGAAACAATAGTATTAAACTGGGAATATTCTTCAGTATTTTATTTTGCTTTTTCCCCTGTGTTGCCTCATCATTGAATCCGTTTAAATATGTAATTCTCCTTACCTCATCTTTTCCTTGAAACTTCATGTGCAAGTAAGTAACCCTTTGATCATCGTAAAGAAATTGCACTTGCTTCATCTTATAAGCTGCAAAGTTTCCAAATATGTAAATGTCTTCGGGGCCTCTGTCATAAAATAATATAATTCTGTAAGTATCTAAACATTTCATTTTACTACAGTGACTTTATGCTTAAAAAAAAAAGGAATTACTGACATGGTTGAAGTTTGTTTGGTTTTTTCCCTTAATATTTGTAGGATTAGGATCTGAATTTACAGGCTGGTTGAATTAATCAGTTTTGTTAATTACAGTGCATAGACTATTTAATTGCCTTTCCTTACCTGCTAATATTTGAATTTTGAAATTAAGGAAATACTCATAGATTTGTATCAGCAAAAGGACAAGGTTTATTAATTTTAGTGCAAGTATATGCAAAAAAATTATATTGTGCATTGTTATTTCACTTTCTATGTATGATCTCTGTACTTTTCTCACTTCTGTGTTTTATCATGGTTATAATCAACATATAGTACTGAACTGTATTAAACATCCTTATTTCATATGCCAGTTTTCCAGACCTCTAACAGCGAATGAGAGTTACTATTTTTCTCTTTTATTAGGTGCTTCATCTCCTTTCTTTAGGGATACTAGAAGAGAAGCAGCAGTTACAAAAGTCTCCAGAAGAAGAAGTAACCTTTGATTTTTATCACAAAGCAACACGTATGTTTTATTTTCTTTAAAAAGGCAGAATAAATTAGGCTAACTTGATTTTGTAAGGACAAAAAATAAACCAGAAGGAAGTATTCACTGATTTTCGTCAGAAAGGATTTACTTTTTGCTATGGAATTAAAACCTGATAAAGTATTTTTCTTTAAATAAGCAAGAAGCCAGGTTTGAACTAGCTTCTTTTGTTCCCAGTTGCCAGTTATGTTGAAGAGATGTGCTTCTCTTCCTGGGAAAGAAATGGAAAAATAATACTAGTGTTAGATAACTGAAAATGGTTCTTCCTTTGGAAGAACGTTATTGAAATGGAAGCTAAGAACTCCTTCAAAAATGATAGCGAATTTAAGTGAACTGTCTCCCTCTTTTGTACTGCTGAGCCGTACAGTTATTGATTTATCTGCAAGTGAAAGTCTTCTACTATGGTAGTGATAATAGAAGCAAAACTTAGTGGCCATGAAGTGGTTTTTTTCCTTTTTGTTTACTTCTCCAAATCCCTACAGAGTACTTCCTAATTTTACATTCAAGACCTAGTGAGTGGGAGTTGGAATCTGTATTTTCTAAATAATCTTCCATATTATCTACAGTTTCTGCTTCACTGTGTAAGAATAAATTAAAAAAATCCATTATCAAGCCAAGCATAATTGTCACTTGAGAGATGAAACAGATAAGAACTGTGAAGTAACATCATATAATTATTTAGGTTGGAAAAGATCTTTAAGATTGTAGAGTCCAGAGTCCAGCTGCTAACCTAGCACTGCCAAGTCCACCACTAAACCATGTCCCGAAGCACCACATCTACACATCTTTTAAATACCTCGTACAGAAATAAATACATACGTACATAACGCTGCTGAACTGCCTTTAGTTTTTTAAAAACATTGTGTATAGAGGTGTCACTGAGTTTGAAAAACACTTGCATTTCACATTTTTTTATTTATAATTTTTTTCTTATTGTTGAGCAAGGAGAAGTATTATCACACTTACTGTGTTGATGTTGAAGAAGCTTCATGTCAACGTAGGAATACACTAAAAGTAGTTACAGTTGAGCTGTTAGTTTTTTGCCAGGTTTAGTTTTGCATAACTAGAAAAACCAAAGCCCCGTTTATACATAGGGGATGCAAAAATAATTAGTATTTTTGTAAGAAAATTTTTATAAAAATGTGCAAATTAATTTCAAATGGAAAGTTCTGCAAAAGAGATAAAGAGGATGATCTCAATTTTATAGCACGTGTGTGTTAGAGAATGGCCTAGAACATTATGAACTGTTACCAAGGTTTGAAGAGGCAAATAATTACTGTAATTATAATCGTTTTCGTAATAGAAATAAACTGGTGCACACTGAGCCATTAGCAAACTTACGTGAGCTATAAGAGCTTTACTGCTTCTCCTTGACGCAAAAGGCAGTTCTGGTTTTGTCTGTACAAATTCTGTTTTTGTCTGCTTTTGGAAGTAGCAAATATTATTGATCTACAAGGGGGAAAGATGCTACATTTAACTGGAGTAAACAGATGTAATAAAACCAGAAATGTAACTACACAGGTTGTGTTCATGTATGTGTGTTACATAAACAGTAATATTTTAAGGCATGCCCATGCCTATGCTTGTAGATACATGAAAATGTTGAGGGCTTTTTTTTCTTCCTGATGACCCATGCTTTTCTATTTTTCTCTCCTTTGTATAGGAATGGGAAGCTCAGCCTTGAATGCTGTGAATGTGTTAATGCTTCTGGAAAAAATAAAGAGAGTTCCTCAGTTAGAGGCACAGAAGGATACAGTCAGTTGGATACTGCAGGTACTCAAGGGGGAGATAAGTATAATATGATTTTAGTAATTTAGAAAGCTTTTATGAAAAATGTTATGATTCCTACATAAAACCCAGTGTTTACAGCTGCAGTGACTTCTTGAGAAGCTTAATCTGTTGGAAGATTTTTTTCCCCCCCAGAGGAGTTCGTTGCTTGAATACTGCGTTAACACTTAAAAGTCATTGTACTTTCTATTGCTGCTTTCAAGCATTGGGTGAATTTTTGCTTAGATAACTCATTCCAGGAATTATATTTTTATACATAAACTTTATTCCTCATGTTTCTGTTGCAGAGTAACAGCAAATGATATGTAAAAGTTTATTAATTGGGAAAGCATTTTAGAGGCTGCTTGTATCTGACTAATGGCTACATTGTATGTCTGACCTGTGGATTTTTTCCATCCGAGTCCCTGCCATTACCCAGTAAGAGATGGGAAAAACTTCTAGAGCTGTGACGCTTTCTGTAATGTAGGAGGCTGCTGCTTCTGCATAGCAGGAGTACTGCTGTCCTGTTCCATTTTAGGCTTTTTGTCTTTGGGGGCTTGTTGGTTTAGGTGGTAAACATCGGAGACAGTGCTCTTACAAAAGAGGGCAAGAATCCATAACAGACTTCCAAAACTATCCTCAACTACTAAAATTGGACTATCTTGGTACATTAGGGAGGCAGGTTTGAAACATTTTTTTTGAGAAGCTATTCTAAAATTCTAAGGGCAAAAGTGAAAAATGTACTTTAAAAAGTGTATTTAAATTTTAATGTATGTATAGGGTATGTAAAATAAAACTTCAAGATACTTCTTGAAGTGAAAATATCTGGATAAAGGAGTAAATTAAAATTGAAGGCTCAGTTTAAACTAAGTGGACATAGGCTGGAAAGCTTTCTGTTCCAGATGTATAGGTTTTTGCACAATTTCAGTGACGGTTTCCATGGGATGATCCACATCTCACGTACTTGAAATAAGCTAGCAGTCTCTGTCCATTCTTCTGATGTACGTACAGATGCTTTAGCTGCTTAGCAGTATTAGTGGTAGGAGACTGGAAAATTTGGAAGAATTTTACTTCATACTGAGCAGTGCTCATCGGGTTTAGGATACAGACACAGCAGTGTTGCAGGAGCACACACACAGTCTCAGTTAGATGTTCTTGTTATTTAAGGGTATAGCAGTTGGTTTCACCCATCTGAAAATCTGAAAACAACATTAAAGTAACTATCAAGAACTTTAACCCTGTTTGCAATAAGAGCCAAATTGCATTTTGTTTTTAACATCTAAGTCTCTATTCCTAGATGTTTGACACAGTGAAAAGACTGAGAGAAAAATGTAGTTTGACAACAGTAGCAGCTACATCAGGCTCAGAAGCTACAAAAGGTGATGAGGTAATAATAAAAAAATTGTTCAATGGAAGCCTTGTATTTAATATTTTGAATGGCTGTTTTCAAAATGTGAAAATGTTCCTAAATTTATTGTTACGTAAAATGATAGTTTTTTAAAAAATAAGTTCTTACATATCACCTACAAATAGGATTTAAGTTCCAAGATAAATATTTTTAAGACATTAAATTTTTGCTAAGCATATTTCGTGGGATTATCAGCAGTGGTTTTGGTTGTACTTCCAAGTTAAATGAAATAACTGAGAGGGGTGAAGAAATAATTCTGTTAATTTCTCTGTTTTTTTTATCTTTATGATTTGACTGCCTCTTTTACTATGTTGTCATTGTGCAATAGAAATACAAATCCACTTAAAATGATGTCTTGTAATTTATGTGACCTACCAAGAGGTTAATCTGCTTTGCCTTGACTGCATAAAGACATCAGGCTTAGGTGATTATTCTATATGTGTATTAGTCTCTACCTCCTCTCCTCAAAATAACTTTTGAAGGCAGTGGTCAAATGACACAGTGAAATGGAGATTTCAAAGATAACAGCAGTCACTTGGGGTCTGCTTTTTAAATTTGCAGTTCAATAGAAAAGAAGAATCCAATTACCCTTAGTGTGCAAAGACAGGCCAGTTTGCTCTTACGCATTCTGTTTGGCTCCAGCTTTCTGCCAAATAATCTCTTAGCTAGTCGTTTCATCCACAGCTCTAAATTTACCACAGCATATGCTGTGTTTCCTTTTTGAGAAAGGTGTCATATGATATCTGGTAAGGTAAGGGAACAAAATACAAAAGCCAGTAAGAAATGAGACTCTTACAGTTCCACTACTTGTGGAGCAATTTGTTGTTGTTTCATTTCCTCAAAAAGTAAATTGTGAATGGAAGCAATGTATATAATGTTGAATTTCTGCCCTAAGTAATTGAATAAGAGGAATTAGGTTCTGTTTTAATTAAGTCTACCTGTGTTTTTTGAATTCTACATTTCCAAAGCATATAAACGCTTTGTTTATAGTTTTTGAAAACATAATAGATGAGGAAATACTGGAACAACAGTAGTTTTTCAGTCTACAGTAGAGAACAATAGGGTAGAACACAACCCTCAGATGTATAAAATACTGCCACAAAAATGTAGGAACAAATCTGTTTGCTGTGTTGTCCGTAAATCGTTCAAGATAACATTTTCTTAACTTCCTTTCGGGGAGATACTGAATCCTCAGTAGGGGTTTTGCTTGTGAGGAGAATAACAAAACACTGGAGGAGGCTTGTGATATTCACCTCACTGAAGTTTCTTAAGAACAGGCAAGCACCTAAGTAAAACGGATCTGGTATTGTTGATCCTGTCTTTGGGCAAGGGGTTGTACTAGTGACCTTTTGTGGACCTCTCAAAATCTCTTTCCTCTGACTAGGTTAATGAACCTAGTCAACATTTAAGATTTTAGTTTTATCTTTTTCAAATAGCAGTTACTTTTTTTTTCTCTCCCTATATCATTAAAATATTGTCAGGGAATTTGATGTCAGTGGTTAGAATACATATAGTTGGTGAAAGATTATTCTAATTTTTTGATGTTCTCTGTAATTTCTTTATTCTCTTTTCTTGCAAGACACAGAGCAGCCAGGATAAAGAGAAAGCTGAGCGGAAGAGAAAGGCAGAAGCAGCCAGGTTACACCGTCAGAAGATAATGGCCCAGATGTCTGCACTGCAGAGGAATTTCATTGAAACCCATAAGCTCCTGTATGAAAACACACTAGAGGCACAGGGGAAGGAAGATGCCATTATGGAGGAAGAAAGGTAAGAAAAGACAGACATCCAGTGTTCTGGTGGGAAGAGTTTATCATCTGCTACATAAGTTCATTATGCTACATAAAAATTTTGAAAGTATGTTCAGGGGACAGATTGTGTCATCTCAGTCACAAATTTATATCTCTATTTACTTTTAAATTGTATTTCCTTACAGGGTTATATGTAAACTAGCATATGTGTGCTACTGTAAGAACAGTGGACTCACTTTGTAGAGCAGCATAAGATGAATGATAAGAAAATTATTTCTTTAAATGGTGGATACTTATACTACTTAACATTTGAAAAAATGTCGTTAGAAAGCTGATGAGATGACAACACTAATTTTGGAGGTGACTGTCTACCTTATCTGAAAATTTAAGTATTTAATTTGGAAAGAATTTGCAAGCCAATATACCTTAATGTTAAGTTGCAATGAAGAAAATATGCTTCTTGTAGCTCAAGTTGCTGATATCTCTGTTATTTTTTTAAAAAGCTAATTTAATACTGAAGATGGTTTGGTTTATCTTGGTTATAATTCTGTTGGTATGGATTGCTTCTGTTCTAGAGATGCATCAACAATATAGTACACCTAATACAACTCAATTTTGGTCTAATTGGGGCTGCACAAAACTAATCAGGAAAATAGATAGCTACTGGGAAAAAATGTACAGATCACTTCTGAGTGCTCTGATCCTTAATAAATCCTATTCTACAAATCATTGTTGAACTCTGGAACAAGGAATATTTTAAAAAAACATGGAAGCTTATTGTGTCACAAAGCACTGAATTAAGATAGTGGCATTCATTTTCAGTATGTTTTATTCAAAAATGGGAAACAGTTCTAATGTATCTGTAAGATTTAATCCAGTCTATATTGAATACAGCTTCCTGAATTTCCTGCTGTCTGAATCCATTTCATTGTATTATTGTATGTTAGTTGGCTTCTACTTCCTGTTTTTAAAGAATACTGTATTTTAGTGAGAATTGAGGTGTTTCTTCATTGTTTGCTCATCATTTAGTTCTGTAAAGCACTTTGGTGTAAAACCAGAAATGTTAGCAGCTTATGACATTTTTGGGTGCCTGGAAGAATGAGTTTGTTTAGAAAAAGCCATCTGATTATTTTACATCTGTATCACTTATGGTCTTACAGCATGTCTTCGGCAATTGATTACTCCAGAATTGCTTTGGGTCCCAAACGAGGTCCATCTGTTGCTGAGAAAGAAGTTCTGACCTGTATTCTTTGTCAGGAAGAACAGGAAGTAAAGTTGGAAAGTGCTGCCATGGTATTATCTGCCTGTGTCCAGAAATCAACTGCCTTAACTCAGAGGAGGAGCAGAATTCCTGAACTCTCAGGGGGTATGCGATTTTTCTTCTTTTATAGTACGAGCAATTCTGTACTTAGAGCTCATACCCTTTGAACCTAATTAAACTCTGCATTTATTTATATTTGCTCTACAGCTTACCCTACCTAGTAAAAAGAAAGTGAAAATTATTAAATTGTTCTAAAATCTATACTTTAAAACTTAAAAATGAGAAGTGTATGAAGATCTTGATTTGTCCCTGGGAAATCAGGAAAAGTTTTAATCTCGCAAGATTTTATAACATTTAGAGATTTGGTAGGAGTGGTCACTCCGGAAAAAAAATCCAAGGATGTTAACAGTTTCTGTTTATTCAAGTACAGCATCAAATTTTTCTGATATGGAGGAAGTACATGAACATTATCAGAGGCCAATATGGCAGACTCAGGAGGGTTTGGGTTTTTTTGTTGGTTTTTGTTTTGTTTTTTTCTCATGTCCGGGAAGTAGTAAAAACAGCAACATAAAAAAATAGAAAAGTGTAAGGAAGTATCATATGATATCATCGGATGAATGAAAAAAAAAAATGAACACAAGAGAATAATACAAACACAAATGTTAAGTTACATAATAGCATATTGGTAGCAGGAAACAGAAAGGCCAACCAGAATTTTTTTGTAAGTAACAGTTGATTAAACATGAGAAAGATTTTGGTCAGTTACTTTAGGGAAAGAAAGAAAATAAATAGAAGGGAAAGAGAAAACTGAAGTACTCACTTTTTTGTTCTCTTTTTAGAAAAGAAAATTAATGATAATACAAGATGAGATGCTTGATGGCCGTTAATTTTAACAAGAGAGAAATACAGTCCAGAATAGGATAAGAAAAGTTGAAACAGTATCTAGATAATTTCAGTGTATTCACCTTGGTAATTACTACAGTAATATTTAAAGTACTATCAGAACTATTTATTGTCTTAAGTATAATCTTTAATTATTTTTTAAAATACATGGAAGGTAGTTGACATCTCAGAAGGCTAAGAAGGGCCAACAAGTATTTGTCTAAAAAAGCCACCAAAAAAACAGAAGTGAAATGAGAAAGTACTAAAAGTTTTAGTATTCCATCCAGCCTGGATGCCCAGAAGTATGTTGGATGATAGTAATTATTACTAGTTTCTAAGGCAATATAAAAAATACAGACAGACAGTAAAGCAATAAGAAATTTCAAAAATGGATTTATCAATAAAGGAACTTAGTAAGCCATCCTAATTCTTTGACCAAGATAACTGGTTTTATGGGTAAGGAGAAGGTAAGGTAATATATTCTGATGTTTATTAGAATTTTTGGCTCTGTCCTGCTTGATACACAGCCTAGGCAAATGTTGTTTAGGTGAAATCACCCCAAGGTGGATATGCATCTCATCATAAAACTACTAGTTGGATTCAAGCACACAATAATATTAAATAATAATTAAAAGTTAAAAGTGATAATTTTTCCCTGTAAATTGAATTATATTTATTTTAACACAGATAAAAATTTAAATAGCTGTTATCTATTGAATATTTATTAATTAATATACATTCTCTGTGTAACTGCCCATATCTTATTGTAAAGCTGAGTCAATTTTTTGAAATCCTGCTTATTCAAGCTAGCTAATATGTAAGGAATAAGGATGCAGTGTTGAAAGATACTAAAATTGGAGGTCTGCAAGGGCTCTCAAGATGTTTTCTAGTTTGTTGCCTTTAAATTCCTACTTATTTTCAAATATGTTTTTTTCTATTTTGTAACAGGGTATTGTTGATTTGTGGACAGCTCATACAGCAAAATTAACCTTATGTCCGATGCTTTTTAATGACACTACTGTCTAGGGAATAACTTTAAATTCCGTGTTTGTGCAGTTCATTATTCCTGCTTTAGTTTAGAAGTACACTCTTAAACGTTACTGAATAGAATTCTAAAGCAAAGGGAAGTTCAGCATTGTTCCTTATTTCTCCAGGGTATTACCCTATTCTCTATCATGCTTGCAAACCTTTACCAGCTTGTTTCACTTAATAACAAGTTTTATGTTTCCTCCTCTGGGTCATTAACAAATACTGAATAGTCTTAGACCCAGGACAGACTCCTACAGAATCCTGTTTGATCCGTTTTTCTTTTTAACAGTGAATTAGTGATAATGGCAATTTTGAGCCAGCTGTATAGAACTTTTATCTAGGTCATGTGCTAATTGCGCGCGTTTTTTTTTTTTTCTTCTCTGCTCTGTGGTACTCTGAAGTGCAAATTAAATCCTGTGCTCTTGTAATCAGATACACTTGTAAGCTTTCTGCAGTGACATGTTGGGCTATTGAAATAATTGAAAAAAGGGAATGAAGTTCCTTTTCCTAAAGCCACTTCTGGATGTTATTTATAGCACTTACACTCTAGTGCATGGTCCTCTGCAGCTCATCAGTTAGAAGGCGGCCTGTAAGAGCTCTTTGCTTTGAAGAATTAAATAACTGGAAAAATGCTTGTTCCCACAGCAGAACTGCAGACAGTGGCAAATTAGTGTTATACCAAGGTTCACTTTCTTATTTCAGTCTCCGTCTGATTTAGAGCAGCTTCAGCTGCTGTCAGATAGAATTATATTTTCTATGCAATTTGGGTGCTAGGGTTTTTGTGGGTTTTTTTTCTTTTTCATTTTGTCAAAATCAGTGTATCTGTTCAAAATAATAAGCAGTCCACCAGATGAGGTTTGGAGGACTGCTGTTGTTTAGTTCAGTATTATCTAAATCTCTTTAAGGGGAAAATGGAATCTTGCTTTGAGTTCATATGAAGCACAAAGACACCATTACATTCTCATAATGCTTTTGCTGTTAAGAATTATGCAAGATTAGTAAAAGATAAGCTTGACTTTGTTGTTCAGGAGTACTGTTCATCAGTGATTTGAAAATATAGGGGATTAGCTGGAGAAAAGCCTATTCTTTCTTGTCCTTAGTAGTTTAATTTTCTTTCACTTAAAAATACAATAACAAATACATTACAAACTTCAGTGTTAGTGAATCCAACCACAGAGCTATTCCAGTACTGAAGAACCCTCTTCTATTTTCCTTTAGCCAATTTACTATTGCTTTTTAATTTTTGTCATCTTTTTCTTCCTAATTAGTGAAAAGCCTTCAATAGTTTAACTGGGCTCTGTCCTGTGATTACTTCGCTGGAGTATTGGTAATGGAAAAGCTAACCAAATGGGATTTTTATGTGACTGTGTGAACTGTGGGAAAATAAAATCTTAAAGCTTGTGTTCTGTATATACTGTTGTTCATTTTTGTTCATACTGATGGGGAGTTATGTTATTGTTCTTCAAATAATGTCTTTCTGCTGTGTCTTTCTAGATACCCTAGATCCTCTCTTCATGCACCCTGACTTACCTTGTGGGACGCACACAGGAAGCTGTGGTCATGTGATGCATGCAGCCTGCTGGCAGAAGTAAGGATGTGTCTTTGCAGCCTTTTATGTTTGTTTTTTTTTATTATTAATCTGTTTTCCAAAACATCTAAGTGTACACTGAAAACACAGTACATAAGTGGATATGTAATTAAGGAGTCAAAACTACTTACACTCATCTAAAAATTAATATGGCACAAGAGAAGTTTTGATCTGATGAAGAAAATCACCATCAAAAGTTTTTAGTGCCTTCTGTTGACACAAAGAAGAATCTCTAAGGAGTTACTAATTTATGCAAATAAAACTAATGGGGTAAAATTGGTCAAGAATAAGAAACCATATCTAGTGGGTTTATTTTTAGCAATCCAGTGAGAACCAGTATAAATCTACCAGGTGAACATTCTGTAGCAACAGTACTTTGACTCTGAAAGTCTGTCACCAGGTCTGTACCGAAAGGATGAAGCTGACTTATTCCAGTGAGTCTTTAGATGAGAATTTGACATTTAGATTAGAATGTGAATGTTTGCATATAGCAGTATTTCTTCCCCAACCTCCATGCCTCCCTTATCAGAGGGAAGAATTGATGCGGTGCTTAAAAACTGTCCTAGATTTCTGTTGTTTGGGGAAGCCCACAATTTAGACTTAGTGTGTTGGATTAGAATACAACCTGAAATATTAAAAGACCAAGTTACTTCTCTTGCAGAATATAGTCATCTTGGATGTAGTTATATTGGTAGGATTACAGAGAGCAAAGCTAATGCTTTCTGCATTTGACTCCACATAGGTCTGGCAAGTCTAAACAAGATAGTGTGAAATAATAATAGAAATAATCCCACTGAAGTATTATCAGCAGATAAAGAGAGTTGGGTCATGCAATTGCAAGCTACTTTATATTGTTGTATGATATAAAAATTCCCTTGAAATTTATTGCTTGTACTTGTGCCATTTTACTTTAAAAAATCTGGCTTCTAGTGCTTATCATTTACTTTTCTCCATGTGTGTATACATATATTTTTAGAGTTTTTTTGGTTTTTTTTACAATAAAACATGAGTACATAAAAAATAGGTGCACACACTTAAAGTGATACAGAAGTGTATGTTCCTTGAGTATAATACACCTGCTCTTGGCAGATCCATCTACATCTGCGTAGATCTAAGTAGTACAACATTGGAGCTCAGTTCCCTTGCTCTTTTTAAGAAAAGATGACTTGCTGTATGGGTAAATGGGATTAAAATGGACAACAGGCTCTTCTCATACGGGATGGCACAGAAGGTTTGAGTATAGTCTTTTATTTATTACGTAACAGACATTCTAACTTACTAATATTCCTCCAAACAATGCCTGCCACACCTTTCTAGAGTATCTGTGCAGCCTAAAAATACTGCAAAATACCCTAAAACAGTATGAGTTCAAATGAATGGAATACCTTTGTGGTTGCCATGTATGAGGAAGAGGAATTACTTGCAAAAGCATAGGTGTTTGAATGTGGGAAAGTAAATGTGCTTTTGTTGATTGTAATAGAATACTTTCCTAAATATTAGAACTTCTACAGATGCCTCCACATGCACGCTTTCTCTTATTACATAAGTGGGATTTTATTTTTTCCCTTAAGGTGTATGATTTAAAGCAAAAAAGAAAATACAGTTATTACCTTAGTGCAGAAGTTAGATAATTTCATACCTGTCTTCAAGATCCTATGTACCCAGTCTCAACATTAGGACAGAATTTGGTCGCTTATATCTGGGCAAGAAGATTAGAATCTTGGATCTTTTTGTTCCTAATAAAACCACTGAGACATTAATGGAATTTGAAGGATTGCTGCATCCACTGAGGGGGCAGAATTATAATGAAACCTGTAAAAGATCATAGTTATTCCTTAGTTTCCTTTTGAGTTTAAAATAGCTCAAGGTGATATTGTAATATAATTTATCCTCCCTTCCTGTTAAAAGAAGGCTGTAGTTTCATTGTCTAGTCATGAACCTCAGTCATTGCCATGAAAAGCTGATTATTCATTCATGAAATGTTACCAGTAGTTTTTCCTAAAATTAAATAAAAATATGTACGATCCCTGTTCAAACTTCCTGTAATGAATTGCGTATGAGAGATATTAGATACAATGTTTCATTGTGTTGGTAAGAAAATTCAAGGACTGCTAGTCTGTAAAAATGTTAATGAAATTTAAAAAGATCTTAAAAGCAAGGAAAAGTTGCCGTCACTTTTGCATGAGTGGTATACCATGCATTTTTGCATGAGCTCATCTGTGTGCTCAAAGGTTTTATTTTATTTCACTTGCTTGTATGTGAAAAGAATTATAAATCGAAGGAGAATACTTGCTTGTTGGCTTGGATAGGTATTTACTAGATAGTAACACTTTTAATTACTTGTTCAACATCTGTTTTCATGTCACATTTGAGCCATTCCACTTTCTAGTAATTTCCTTTTCAATGTTGTAGGTACTTTGAAGCCATGCAGCTGAACTTCCGACAACGTCTGCATGTTGAGCAGATATTTGACTTGGAGAATGGAGAGTATCTTTGTCCACTTTGCAAATCCCTGTGCAATACTGTGATTCCCGTTGTTCCATTGCAAGCTCAAAAAATAAACAGGTGAGTTACCAGATTGCATAGCCTTTAATTTAAATAAAAAGTAACAATTACTTTAGGGCTGGATGGCTTTTCAAATTTTTGGAAAAAAACTTTGACTGACCTTCCTAATCTGTATAAAAGACTGCATATCTCCTTATTGACTGTTCAGCCAAATATAGTGCCTTGGACAGTCAATTTTATTTCTAAAGCATTTCTGGATGGGCTGTTTTTTGGAGTGACATGAAATGAGAAAGTACCTAGATCTAGTGTTTAGCCTAACACTTCATTTTGTACTGTTTGCTCAGAATTTACAAAGCCAGCAGAACTGTGCATGTACTGAGTTAATGTGTTTTGATCCAAATGTGTGCTCTGTTTTTAAAGATAAGGTGATTCTTTGAGTGTTACAGTAAAACCTGCTTTCCATTTCTGTTTTCAGTGAGGATGCAGAGGCAGTAGCTCAGATTCTGTCCCTGGCTAGGTGGCTGGAGATTATCATAGTCAGAATATCAGGCTACAGTGTGAAAAATGCTAAAGGTTTGTTATCTTAATTTTGGAGCTATTCTGTGGGATATCTAATATGCCAGCACATGTTTTAACTAATATGAACAGAAAACTTTAAATAAAGAATACATTTTGCTATCAATCCAGACAGTATCAAATAAAGCTGGGGATATAGTCATGGCCATTTCTGAGCTGATTTCTTGATTTTATAGTGCCCTCACGAATTTTCTGATTTCTGTTACATTCTTTCCATTTTCCCTGTAGAAGAAAATTACATACACTTGGACAGGGTAGCCGTCAACTAACACTCAGAGTTAATGACACTTATGTGTTGACTGTGATGTATTAAAAAAAGAGAAAAATTAAATTAAATGGGCCAAAATAGAAGCATGTATGAGTGTTTAGAAAACAGGTGGTACAGAGAATCAACATATTCCTTGCACTCTTATAATGCAGGAAAGTTCTTTTTCCTCACCAGCAAAGCACTACTTCTAATCCTTATGTTTCTGGGAATAGAAGAAAATGGTACTTAAGAAAAAGGGTTAGAAGACATTCTGGCTGGTGAGGTCTGTTTACAAATATTTTCAAACCAGTTTAAAATAAAAAGAAATCTCACTTCTGTTAGCCTACTGTAAAACTGTAACAACTTCTTTGTTTGTTAATGTGGATTTTTTTTTTTTTTTTTTCTTCTGGAAGGAGAGAAACAAAATCTTCTAGCTTTTGCCAACAAGGGAATGGGGAACTCTGCTTTGGAATTCCATTCCATCCTTAGTTTTGGAGTTCAGTCCTCGTAAGTGTTACTGGAAGTGCTCTCTGCATTATGTTAATTCTCCCTAAAATAACCTGAGTATACTTCAGGATTTGTATGGAAGGAAAAGCATATGATTTGTTTGGTCTGAGTATGGGCTTGTTTATACTTTTCCTTAAGCGTTCACTGAATGTCAGATCTATACAGAGCTAGATGGACCTCTTGGCCAAATCCAGTCTGGTAGTTCTTACATTCCTGGTACAAAGCTTGGAGCCTGGAATCTTCTAATACACAATTCAAGTGATTTGGGTCACTTCCTGTGCCTCTAGGCAAGTTATTTAATGTCTATCTGCCTTAGTTATCCTGCTATATGTCTGTTTCAGGGATAGATTTCACTTGGTTTTGGATGCAATAATGCAATATAGGTTACTCAAAGAAACAGGGCGGTGTTGTCTGTTTTGGTTCCAGTGGGCAAAAGCACTCAGCTGTTAAAATGGAATGAACAGATACTTTTCACGTGTACTCAGCTGTCTTCTCTTTAGATCACACTATAAATACTGTACTTATGACTAACATCTTAGTTATGCAAAGTACTTCTCTGTATCTCCTGTTTGTAAAAATGCCATCAGAAAGTTTGATCAAAGTCTTTCTTGCTAAGTGATCTCCGTGGGAAAGATTCTATAGTTTGCACTTAAACAATGTGGTGTTTAGGAGCCTGGCTAAAGCCCAGATTTCAGGGTACAATTGTTTTGGCTATAGAGATTCGGAGAATTAATATGAATATCATGTGCTGCTGTTAAGAAGTTCTGTGTATAACTTTTAAAAAATAGAAGCCATTAAAGCTGCATATTTTTGCCTAGGCACTTTTCTGCATGTAACTGCATTTACATAAACTAACCTGATGTCAATTGAAAGGAGCTTAAATGCTAAAAATGTGGTTTAAAACACATTTGAAATGTCTGTCTTTCCATTTTTAGTGCTTTATGAGATGGGATGTATTTTCACCCCAACACTTAAAATGACACTCGTTTTCTTGCATTTCTTTTTTTTCATTGTATTTTACTTCGATTTAAACGTTTGCATCTTTTGAATGTAGATTATAATACAATATACAGAAATACAGACTCCTTCCAGCCTGGCAGCTCTTAATCTTTCAATTTGTAGAACCTGTTGTGTCAAGGTACTTGTTTACTAATGGAAACTAGTAAATTTTTTTCTCCTCTCTACAAAGTGCCTTTGTATTCAAGAATTCTTTCATAAATAACTTAGACTTTGTTAGTGATTGATTGACTGCTAAATAAAAAACACTATTAAGAATTCAGACTGAAATTATCTTGGCTTGCTTTTGCAGAGCCAAGTACTCAAGCAGTATCAAGGAGATGCTTATTCTCTTTGCCACCACCATTTATAGAGTTGGACTAAAAGTTGCTCCAAATGAAGCTGATCACCGGATTCCTATGATGACCTGGAGCACATGTGCTTTTACCATCCAGTGTATAGGTAAAGCATAATTTGGGTTTATTCTTCTTATGAATTGAAAATCTTATCGTTGTTTAATTGTATAATTTTATACAATCTGATTGCATAAATAATAATAGTTCTACATAAATAGGAGCAGTATGTGATAGAATAAAATATATGTACATATTATATATAATTACATACATAAATAATAGAATGATAATCTGCAATCCAATACAAATAACAGGATGTTTTTGTTAGATGATAGTTTATAAAATAAGGTGTGGAATGCCAACGTGGATGTGTTTTATCTGAGAGAGCAGGGAGTGATCATGTTCCATGTTATTAATTCTAACATTGTGTTCAAATAATACCTTCAGGCTGCCAGAGATCACTGACCTGGAGGCATCTCCTACAGAGCTAAATATCAAACAGCTATGAAACAGTACTTCCTCTCTCATAATTTCTTTGTCTCTATTCTCAAAGAATTCTCATGGAATTTATGGAAGTAATATGGTCTTTTGTATTCTGAAGTTGCTAAGGAGATACCTGGTAAAAACCAACTAAATAAAAAAGAACAAACAAAATCCCCCAAACATTCTCTGGCATGAATCTCTCTTTGAAGGCAAAATAATTGCCATAAAACTGATTGCATTTTTGGGGATAATTACCTGTTAACAGTCAGTCTCATTTCACTTCTGTACTACATACATAAAGAAGTTTTTGTAATAAAAATGAAGCTGTAGATAAACCTGTAGTGGCTTCCAGACAGGGAGAGAGGCAAGAAGTAAGTCTGAAATGAATGCTGAAGGAATTGAGGATATAATTGTACATCTCCATAAATATAATTTGTCAGGTATGCCATTTTTCTTGATGAAGCTGTTGAGGTAAAAGTGTAGTCTACCTTAAATCTATAGTGGACTCGACCAAGCTGGGGTATCAAGAGTTCAGAAGGATTTTAGGAGAATTGTGAGTTACCTGTTAAATTAGGAATAGTCATGAAAACTGTGTTGGATTTTATCAGAGTTTTCAAATGGACGAGGAGAGGACTGCAAGCCACTCGGTTCTATTAACATTAATGTACTTAATGCTGTGCAGATTGTTTTCATTTAATATTTTAAAAAAGACCTTGGTGGCTGTCAAGGATGACTTTGCCATCAAGTGTGTAAATGCAATAACTGTTACCACAGATGAGATATCAAAGGCATATGTCAGAAGCAGAAAATTCATATGCCTTACCAGGCTGAGATTATAAAACCAGAGGGACCACTGCAACTGTCTGACCTATCTTAGACCGTGCCACTTCCTTGGATTCCTTTTTGTTCACAAACAGCCCAGGCTTCCATGAAATTGTAAAGCAAAACTGCCTACACAGCTTCTAGTATGCTAGTTTTGAATCTAGTCATATGGTTCATTATTAAAACCATTTAACAGGCCTGTAGCCAAGCTGCCTAGAAAAGGAGCCATGGCTACCTGTATTGGTGGAGTCTCTAGAGGATGTTCAAAGCATCATTTACCAAAGGGATGTGAATTGCTTCTACTGCCTAAAGCCAGACACTTAAAAAAATACAAATCTGATTTTTCCCATGTTTCCTCAGCAGTTCCACATGTTGTATGTTAAACTGATGTATGGAACTAGTGAGGTAAAACGCTTTCATTTGCTGCTAGAGGTGGTTTAAAAAAACAACCAACCAAAACAAAACCAAAAACCCCCAACAAAAACGACAAGAAGAATTCCAAGATATTGACGTGTACTGATTCATGTCTGAAGAGTGACTAAAGCACAAGAACATTTGAATTCATACCTTTTTACTCAATTGAATTAATTTGGTTTCATATTTTTATTGGCTTATTTATTCTCTATTATCCCTCCAGAATCAATGAACTAAGGGAGGAAAGCTGAATTGTATTCCAGCTTGGGAGTTTGGTTTTCAAAACATTCTTGTTAAACTAGTCAAATGGAGTAGTGCAAATCTGAGGGGAAGATGGCTGTATAGCATCCCTGTAAACATTGAGCATTGTATAAGGGTAACTGAAAATACAACTAAGTATATAGAATGTCTTATCATCATTCATGTGAAACAGTGTTCCTTGAAATCCCAAGTTAGCAAGACCTGAAAACCAAATGTTTTTAAAAAGCTTGTTACAGCCATTTATATGGGAAACATTTAGTACCATTTAAGAGAATTCTCTTGAAAAATTTATCTTATCAAAACAAAGTTGAGCTTTAAAAAGAATTACATATACTAAGGATAAAATAATCTTGGACTAAGTGTATTCTAACAGAAATGTTATGCTAGTTCCTGTAGAACAAAGCAACTTAATTTTCTCTGTGTTTAATTTTAAGAAAACCTCTTGGAAACAGAGGGCAAGCCTTTATTTGGATCTCTGCAAAATAGACAGGTATGGTCGAGTAAGATATGAGATACATTTTAAACAAAAAAGTTTATATATATATACATATATGTATAAAAAAAATACACACACATATATAAAAAACTTACTGTTGAAACTGCCAACATAAAGATCATTATCTGTTGAAGGATAACTCTCAAAATGTTTAAATTGACAACAAAGAGCATTTTGGAAGAGTAATTTTTCTACTTACACACGGAAGTTTATATTACATTCACTTATAAATGTGTTTTATGTTTGTAGAAGTAGATATGTTTTTAGAGCTTTATTTCACTATTATATCTTTCCTTTTTCTTATCCAACCATTTTCTCTTGCGCTCTAGCACAGTGGCCTTAAAGCATTAGTGCAGTTTGCAGCTGCTCAGAGAACAACATCACCACAGGTCCTGATTCAGAAACATCTGATTCGTCTTCTAGGAGGTATTATAATCCTTTTCTTTAATATCTTTTGTGTGCAGAAGTTTCTGTTGCAAAATGGCACACACATTAATACAGCATAGACGCAAAGATTAGAGTACTGACAACAGTGCTAACTTCAATTTCTCTAATGTTGCCTGAAATCATGGAGTATTGCTTGAATTTAAGGAATCAACAATGCTGTTAACCCAGCCTTGTATCACTGAAATCCCCCCAAAATCCTCTATCCCAGATTACCTAGGCCTGGAGATACTCACATCTGGAATATTTACAGATGGTTAACAATCTATTTCTGGCAGTGTTAAAAATTACTCAAATTTTGTGCTAAACAGGTGGATAAAGCCACAGAACAGGTATTCCTCTCTCTTAATTGTGAGACTTCATGTTTTTAGTACTTTCAAAAGGCTGCTTGCAGTCTAGTTTAAGATATTTTAGTCTCGGGGAGAGATAGTTTAAGACACATAGATATCCTCCATGTTTCTTACTGATTTAGGTTATCATGGTGGCCTTTGTGAATCCTACTCTGACTTGCCTTCTGTTCGATAGGATTCTTAGGTGTGGTACAGGCTTTTGTAATTGGGGTAGGTTGTGAGGCATCTAGTGTTGCAGTGCCTAAGTACATTTATGGACTTCACCCTTAACACTGTGTGTACTTTATTAGGGCTGGAGAAATAAATCACAGATCTTTATCTCATTATTTTGAAGATGTCATTAAAACTGTGAGCTGGTTCGCCATGTAGAAATAGTTAAACATTGTCATAATCAATTAAATAGGTATTAAGCAGTTAATTAAATAGATTGATACTTCTTAGTTCAGAGACTTGGACAGTTTTTTGGTGAAAACACAGAAATGATAGAGGCCCTAAAATCTGCTTCTGATATTGCAGTTCAACCCAAAGGAAGAAAATACATATCAAATGCATAATGGATATCTTTATTTTGTAGTTCTTCTACCAAACTTTAAAGTGGAGGACACTCCATCCCTCTTAGAAGTAGATATGTTCCACATTTTGGTAAGCAAGTTCATTTTATTCTTCATATTAATACTTTTTTTTTTGTTAGCATGGATTTCTGTGTGCTTTACCCTGTCGATAGTCCTTCATTATTTGTTCACTTGCATGAGTCAAATGATTATACATGAGCACCTCAAACAAGCAAATGATTACATATGGTTGCTATGCACAAGTGTTTAGTTTTAGTTCTCCTTGTCTTCTAGCTTTCAAGCCATTGCTGTCCTATGCTTATTGAATTTCATGCTTGCAATCTCAGTCATCTTTTTACTACTTCCATTGCTATCAAACCTCCAAAAAAAATTGAGACACGCACCCACTCAGATTGTTTCCCTCACTTTCCCTTTGTCTCAGTAGGCCTCTTGTACCTTCTCATTCCTTCACTTTCACTCTCATTACCTTCTTTACTCTTCTTAGCCTCTTCTTTCTGTTCTTAATACAAATCTGTGTTACAGGTTCTTCTACTGTTAAAAAGACCCCACAAAGCCACACAACAAAAAACAAACGACAGAAAACCAAACACGCCAAAATAAAACCTGTTTTGCCCTGGTTGCCTGTCTAACTAATCCTTGGTCTTGCTTCTCACTTTTTTCAGTGTGCTTTGTCTTCCATCAAAACCCAGAAATTAAGCTTTCTAGGAATTGGACGAGCTTTCTTGCTGTATCTCTAAACTGGCAATTACAATGGAACTATATACGAGTTTCCTACATGCTAGAGGGGCACAAATGGTTAATATTTTCCAATGAGTTTTTGCTACACATTGTGAACTAAAGCTAGCAAGATAAATGAACACATTTAAATTGACTACAGAAATTACATATAAATGTATAGTGAGATTATAATCTCTATTACCCATGTAGCTATTACCAAATTTCTGTTACTTTAATATTTGCTCCTTCCCTTTCACTGTAGGTGGGAGTTGTGTTATCCTTTCCATCTTTGTACTGGGAGGATGCTGTAGACTTGCAACCTTCATCAATTAGTTCAGCCTATAACCACCTCTACCTCTTCCATCTGACAACACTGGCACATATAACACAAATCGTCATCTCTTCAGCAACAGGTAGAGGTGTATTTGGGTTGGATTATTATTTTTACCAATTTCTTAAAAATAATGGATGAACACCATTAGTGTTTTGCAGGTATAAACTTTCTCATAATAAATGACACTACTAGGTAGTAATAACTGTTTTCTGTTAAAAAATCAGTATCACTGCATCATTTTCAGAGCATTTTACTACATCACTTCTATTGTGCTTAGCCTAAGAAAACAAAATAGTTATTGATATATCAGTACTTGCTCAAGTCAGTCATTCCACAGTGGTGACTTTCCCTTCTTCATGCCTCGTAGGAGAAGCAAAGCTCTGCCCAGCAGCAATACTGTGAGCTGTACAGTGATAGTTAGTAGGGATTTGGGAAATAAACTTCTCTTTACCCCTCAACCTAGTAAATACCCAGAACCAAACTACGGAATCCTATAAACTGCTAGAAGAGATTTTCACTTTTCTCTGTATTTCGTAGTACTGTTAAAAACTGTCAGTAACCTACAGGCTTCCTAGCTACTACTTTCCTTTTTCTTCAGCATGATGGGAATATAAAAAAAAAAAAAAATCCTGTAGCTTAATCTGTATAGTACAAGAACTTCAAAAGTTCAAGGGAAGGAAGCAGTTTTTACACGAGGATGGGCAATGATGCAGTAATTCTGATTCTTCTTTATAGCATGTGGTTTTAGGAGAACATTTGTTAGGTTTAAAAACAGCAAATAGAAAAGAATTAAGCAAAATAAAGTGAAAATATTTCTGTAATACAATTAAAAAAAAAGAGCTCAGTATATGTAAAAAAAGAGAAGTGTGCATTTACAGTGGGACTCATCTTTTTGTGTGCAGAATCCCTTACTGCTCAAACATCTGACAACAGTGAGGAGGCACGGTCTGCACAGTCTTTCTGTAGAGAGGTTTGTCAGTACACCAGTGGGTAAGTAGCAGTTCAGTTAGTGTTGCATTTTCCTAGAAAGATGGCAGTCCGCAGGGTTTGACCTGAACAACACAAAAAACAGGAAAAAAAATATCCATTTTGTGTGGGGAGTTAGTACAATGCCTTGTGCCTTCTTCCCATACTCCTGAACACTGAAGAAAAAGAAACTGGTGTAAGGAACACTTTTGGTCAAAATGGCTACTTCTGTGGACAACAGAGTGAATTCTTACTCTAAGGATGAAAGAAGACCTATATCCATTCTGGAGAGAAATACAACCAGTAACTACAGTAGTTATTTTTTTCTTTGCCTTGTTTGGTTGGTTGTTTTTTTTTTTTTTTAGATCTCTCAATTATAGATGGAAGCCAAAAAGAAGGAAATGGTTCTATTATAAAAGGGGTATTTGTTTGAGCCTTAGTGCCCATTTTTTCAGAGTTTTTTGATAGGTATAGCTACAGACTCTTTACTATTTTAGTATCTTTGTGTGAAATAAACTAGAAAATATGGATGCATGCTCTGAAAATTCTGCTTTGTTTTATCTTCACCAAGACTAGTTGCAAAATTATGTTTCTCAAGGATTGACAATTCTACCCACTTGTCTAAAAGATTTATGTCTGGATTTCTAAATATTGAAAATATGGTATTTAAATAATAGGACTAATTTTTCTGAGGCATTAACTTAGAATCGTAGGTGCTGTGCATTTTGGACAATCAAGTCACTATACCGAGATGCCTAGGTACAGAATTAAATGCCAAAGTTTAGGCAATCCAGTTCTGAAACTTTTAGTGTTTTAATTTCTGTGTATTTATTGTTCTCGTCTAACTCTGACCTATATGTGCTTAAACAGCACAATCTGCATAATAAATTTGTGGTGGTCTATGATGTTATAATACAGTTTTATTCCTGCTCCTCAGCAGGTCCTGGTCAACAATTTAATTAGGTTTAAAATTTTTAGAGAACAGGAACACTGTAAGTAACTTAAATTTACTATGAAATACGGACTAAATGCTCATACCACACAAACTACAAGAATAATTACTGAGATGAGTATCATTCCAGTATTTTTTGTAAAAAATGTGATTTTAAACAATTTGAGTGTTACTCTTGTGACTTCTATAATAAGTATGAGGTATTAATTTTTTAATTCTGTTGGTTTTGTTGTTCCTGAAGAGTATTTGTGTGTGTTGGTGAGTTTTTTTTCTCATTTTTAGAATTGCATTAAAAGCACAAACTGAATGAAAAACTTCCACCATTTAAAAAAATGGCTGGCTTTCAGTAACACAAAAGTGTAATGATCAATTGTTGATTGTTTGTCAATGTGTGATGCTGTATTGCACAGTTTATCAAGTTATCTTGAGTTACACAGAGACGGACAGTTGTGTATTTGTTGTTTATTTTTTTATAATTCTGAAAAATATGATAATTTGAAGGCTTAATGTAAATGTTGTACATAAACTCAGGATTCATTCCTTAGGCAAAGGGGAAGTTGGGAGTTGGGTGCTGGTGTCTGCATTTCACAGAATTTGGGGTACATCAGTGTTCCTTCTACACAGCTGCCATTCTGTCAATGATAGGCAAAATGTGAAAGTTAGAAGGATTTGCACTGTGAATTACTGGAGCTATTTCTCATTTGTGTATTACAGTTGCTTTAGTCAGGATATTCCAGGCTGGCTTGTGTGGGATTGTGTTAAAAAAGGCATCATGCCTTACCTTCGTTGTGCTGCTTTATTTTTTCATTATTTGCTGGGAGTTTCTCCACCTGAGGAACTACTACAAGGTAAATATGAGAAAGTGAAAGTATCTATATTTTGACTTTGTTTACTGTTTTCTTGGAAGAATGGAATTTTTAAATGTTCAAACTAACTTAACAATAGTTAAGTTTTGAAAAGAAATAGTTAAGACTGGAAAAGAACAGGAAATACTAATTTGTATAGGAAGGGACAGGCATGAGAAGATGAGTTGCCTTGACCTTCTTTGCATGGAAAAGTACTTCTGAGTATGTGCAAATATGTGAATTATTAATGATGTACTGATAGTAAGTATTCTGGATACAAGATTTTGTGATTTAAGGATAATTCTAGGGGCATAGATTATATCACCTGAGAAATAGCCTGGAGTATATTTAAACCATAGAACCATAGAATGGTTTGAATTTGAAGGGACCTTTAAGATCATCCAGTCCCACCCCCCTGCCCCGGGCAGGGCCCCCTTCCCCCAGTCCAGGGTGCTCCCAGCCCCGTCCAACCTGGCCTTGAACCCTTCCAGGGAGGGGGCAGCCACAGCTGCTCTGGGCACCCTGGGCCAGCGCCTCACCACCCTCACAGGGAAGGATTCCTTCCTTATATCTAATTTAAATCTGCCCTCTTTCAGTTTAAAACTGTTAGCCCCTCATCCTATCCCCACACCGCTGATAAAGAGTCACTCCCCACCTTTCCTGTCCCCCCTTTAAGCCCTGGGAGGCCACTCTAAGGTCTCCCTGGAGCCTTCTCTTCTCCAGGCTGAACAACCCCAACTCTCTCAGCCTGGCCTCATAAAGGAGTTCCCTATCATCTTCATGGGTCTCCTCTGGACCTGCTCAGAAGGTCCATGTCTTTCTTACACTAGACATGAAGAGCTCGAGACAGCACTGCAGGTGGGGTCTCACGAAAGCAGAGTAGAGAGGGAGAATCCCCTCCCTTGACCTGCTGGCCACACTTCACTTTTGAACACGGTTGGCTTTCTGGGCTGCGAGTGCACATTGCTGGCTCGCAGTCAGTTTTCCATCCACTAAGTCCTTCTCCGCAGGGCTGCTCTCAGTCCACTCATCACCCAGCCTGTATTTGTGCTTGGGATTGCCCCGACCCATGTGCAGGACCTGGCACTTGGCCTTGTTGAACTCCATGAGGTTTGCACAGGCCCACCTCTCCAGCCTGTCCAGGTCCCTATGGATGGCATCCCTGCCCTCCAGTGTGTCACTGCCCCACACAGCTTGGTGTCATCAGCAAACTGGCTGAGGGTGCACTTGATCCCACTGCCCACGTCACCAACAAAGATGTTAAACAGCACCAGTCCCAGTACCAATCCCTGGTGAACACCACTCTTCACTGGTCTCTGCTTAGACAGAGCTGTTGACCACAACTCTTTGAGTCTGACCATCCAGCCAATTTCTTATCCACCAAGTGGTCCATCCATCAAATCTATGTCTCTCCAATTTAGAAACAAGGATGTCGTGTGGGACTGTGTCAAATGCTTTGCACAAGTCCAGGCAGATGACATCAGTCACTCTTCCCTTATCCACCAATGCTGTAACCCTGTTGTAGAAGGCCACCAGATTTGACAGGCACGATTTGCCTTTAGTGAAGCCATGCTGGCTGTCACAAATCACCTCCTTATTTTCCGTATGCCCCAGCATAGCTACCAGGAAGATCCACTCTGTGACCTTGCCCAGCACAAGAGGTGAGACTGACTGGCCTGTAGTCCCTCGGGTCTTTCTTTTTTCCCCTTTTTAAAAATGGGGGTTATGTTTCCCCTTTTCCAGTCAGCGGGAAGGAACTCCACTGGACTGCCATGACTTCTCAAATATGATGGACAGTGGCTTAGCCATTTCATCCACCAGTGGCCTCAGGACCCTCAGATGCATCTCATCAGGTCCCATGAACCTTCAGGTTCCTTAGGTGGTCTCAAACCTGATCTTCTCCTACAGTTGGTGGCTCTTCATTCTCCCAGTCCCTGCCTTTGCCTTCTGCCCCTTGGATGACATGGCTGGAGGCCTTGCCAGTGAAGACTGAGGCAAAAAATACATTGAGTACCTCAGCCTTCTCCATGTACTGGGTAACCAGGTCAAAACCAAACAAACACAAACCCAAACCTTTTTATGCTGTTGCTAATGTTGGTATGTGCTAAAGACAGAGGGATTCAGCAAAACAGAGCCAAGTGGAAATAAAGCACATTATAAAACTTAAACATCTTCCTTAAAGGATCCTAATGCATTACAGATACTAAACCCAAAAATAAATTTTTTGTCTTCAGTCAAAATGCAGTGAAACACAGAATCATCAACTATTTGGAAAGGAGAACCAAAATTGCTATAAACAACTGAGACAAAGTATAACATTTTAGTTCACTGTTTATATAAATCAATTTAAGTTTGAATTTGATGAGGATACACAAGTCAAGATCTCTGCACTTTGGGATACTGTCCTTACCATTAGTCTGTAACTTTGATTCTATAGGGAGGAGTCTTCCTGGTGAATCAGCAATGCAATTTTCTGTAGCAGAGCCAATAAATGACCACCCAGCAGACTAATAAATTAGCCCAACTTTATGTAAGTTGTTAGTATTGACTTGATCATAGCAAAATTTAATATCACTGCAGGCCAAAAGGGTACTGAAAAGCTAAATTGTGTTAAGTACAGAAATCTGCTGCACTAATGTGTTACATATTATGCAGTGAAATGGAATTTAAGCCAAGAATTCTGTTATTACAGTGACTTAAAAATTACTTAAAAATATCTGTCAGATTTGTTAAAGCAGATCCTCAGCTAATGCAAATTATTATAGCTCTGGTCAAGTTAGTGGAATTATATCCAATTGTACTAGGTAGGAGCTATGCTGAAGCTGTAGGGTACATAATATCCAGTGGAAAAGGGATCAGGAGATTTCTAGGTTTGAGTGAATTATTCAGCAGCTCTGAAGCATTTCAACAGTTGCTCGTGTTTTCTTTTTCTTTTGCAGTTTCTGAAGAAGGTCAATTCAAGGCACTTTGTGGTTACCTCTCTTTACCTTCTAATTTGTTCCTGCTCTTCCAGGAATATTGGGATACAGTAAATCCACTGCTTCAAAGGTACGAATTGGAAATGGACAGGCCATGTTTTTCTGTTGTGATGGCCCTATGGGAATTCTGGATCAAATTTGTTAATAAATGATTGAGCTCAAATTTATACTGGAGTTCTAAACATTTGTTTGATGTGCGCAGGTATACTGAATCTCTTAAAGCTCTTCGAAAACATAAAACATTCTGTGTTTTATGGTAATTCAAAAATTGAACCAATTATAGTTCAAGGGACTAGTGCTTGCAGACCTGCATGAACTCGTATGTGCAGAAAGCAGTTGTCCTAAACCTTTGCTTGCATGGTATGCCACTTATGTTCATTGTCCTATTTTTAATCTGTCTACAGCAAAAGTGCCGATGGAGAGAATATGGAAAATTATGTAGCTGGCAGGTTGAGGCTTTGTAGTATTTCTTCCCTGGATTTACAAAATAGACTGATGAATGTTCAAGTTAGTGTAATGGTTAAAAGGTACAATTTGACTATTACGTACATTGCAATCTAGAAGCAAAGAAACAATCGGTAAAATTCTCCATTCAAAACCACAAGTTAAAAATCAAGAGACAGCCCCAACCCCAACTCTGAGAATAATCCTGCTATATTGTGTTGGAGAATGTCTTCATGTATTTAATTGTGACCATCTGAGCACCTGGTTGCATTAATTATTATTCCTGGTTCTTGGCAGAATTCTCTGACTTACACTAGCTTTTCTGGTTTTGCTTTGTTTGTTGGTTTTGCTTTGTTGTTTTTTTGGTTTTGTTTTTTTTTTTTTAACTTCTGTTTTGTTGTCTAGGTTCCTTCAATTTAGGGACATTTTGAGTTGTTGACTCCAACCTAATGTCCATATAACTGACCTAAACAATTCCCCATATATAATTTTACTATAATTAATTGCATTATTATATATAATCACTTACTAATTAATCACATTTTCACAAGTAAATTATTAAATAAGTTTGTCTTATATGTTCTTATATGTTTGCTCAAAGATGTAATGGCACTTATAAGAGAACATAGAGGATAGGTGGTTGTGAACATTAGAAAATGATCACTAGTGGCAAAGCCAACAAATGCATCACAGTGCTCCCTCTCACAGAGGTTTCAAGTAGGAGGCTACATATTTAATGTAATAGTAACAGTTGTCAAATCATTGTGCACATTCCCATATGTTTTTTGAAATAACCTTATTTCAGAAGACTAAATTTGATGATTGTTGAGAGATGTGTTAAATGAAGGTTGCTAGATCGACCATCTGCTACAGTTCTCTCTCCCTTCTCCTTTTTGTAGAAATAACTTAAAAGATCTCTTGGACACACTAGTTCCTCTGTTTAGTAACTTGCCAATATCTACCCTTGTTTTGGTGGACACATTTGGCTATTCTAAGCAAGCATGCAACATGCAATAAACCATTCTAAATTAACCATTGGGTGATGATTATTACGTAAAAGCAATGAATATTTTCCTAGTAGAATGTATGATTTTCTTACACTGTGGCTTTCAGCAGATATATTCCAAAAGGAGCTGTGCGTTGTAGCCCACTTTGAGAACTTGAATAAGTCTGGAGACTGCTTGCATTTTTAAACTCTGTGTTAACTCTGTGTTTTCATGTGTGTGTTGATAATTTTAAGCATTGTTGTTTTTCACATAGGTTTTTCTCTGGTATGCAAACTTAAATTATTTTCCTGAAGCAAAACTGTAAAGGACAGCTATTTCTCCTTGTGAAGTTTTAACTAGAACTATCAAATGCTTTATCTGTGCTCTGTGTTTGCTTATTGCTTACTACTGTAGTTCAGTGATCTTAAATGTGTATTATTATCCAACACTGTCATCTGCAAATTACTGTCTGAAATAGGTGGTGTGCTGACCCGGTGGTGTTAAGTTGTTTGAAGGGCAAAAGCATTGCAGTAAGGTAAGCTTGGTTTTGTTGTTACTGTTGTGTTTTATTCTTATTGTTGTTGTTTTCTTCTTTGGACTTAAAACTGTTGAAAGAATTAAGTGCTTGTGTGGGCAAATTAGAGTGCTTGTATTTTCTTCCTTCTGCTTTACTACCAAAAGTACATTTCTCTGGTTGTGTATTATTCATCATGCAGTGACTCTTCATTGAGAATGTACAACATGGTTAGACAAGTTATCTAGCTTGCTCTACGTGTAAAAAGAAGCTAAGTGAAATGTGAAATGTCTTCATACACGTATGTTACATATGAAATTTAAGTTCATCACCTTTGCTGAAATATAGAAATGCTGAAGCTCCCATGTGGAGCCTCTGACTTGGGCTTCTGGGCCTGAAGAACTGCACTAGAACTGGAGAAGTTTGCAGAAAGCACTGAAAGCTTAGGAGGAATTTATAGCCATCCATTCTGTTCTTTGCTGTGATCTTTATTATTCTCATAATAGTTCTTTTTCACTTACCCAGGTATCCTAGGAAAAGGAATAGTTTAATAGAGCTTCCCGAAGACTATAGCTGCCTTCTGAACCAAGCCTCTCAGTTTAGGTAAGATGTGACATATTTAGTTGTCTTTCTAGATGTTTTGTCACTTTTGGATTCTTGTAGTTACTGTAATGGGTATTAAAACTACATACAGAAATTATTTTGCAGAAGTGAAGGCAATGTTATGGCTATACTGGCCAAAAGTAGTTCATTTTAAATCTGAAACACCACATCTTACTAAATTAAGTCACATGTGTTTGATAGGATAGCACATAAAATTATTATAGCTTAATCTGTTGGTCGTTTTTCACCAGTGCAATGTGCATTTGGTTGGCCATAAGCCTGAAAATTATTTTTACATTGGACACAAGAAGCCCAAAAGGTTGGCACAGTGTTATGCCAGGAAGAGTGAATCATAGGATAATTCAGGTTAGAAGGGACTTCAGCAGATCATCTAGTCCAACCCCTGCTGTAGGCAGATATCTCGCAGATAAAATATTGCAATCAGTGTAAAAACATAGCCAAAGGAAACAGATATGTGAAATATGATTCACATGAAGTAACTATGTCTTAGGTTTCTGTTTGTTTGTGTGTTGGGTTTTTTTGGTTTGAGTTTTTTTTGGTTGTTTTTTTAATGAACATTATCAACAGTTAACATTTCTTTTAAAGTTTTAATTCCTACGGTAACATTCTGGTTACACTTTTTCTAGATGCCCGCGGTCTTCTGATGATGAACAAAAACATCCAGTACTGTGTTTATTCTGTGGGGCTATGTTGTGTTCCCAGAATACTTGCTGTCAGGAGCTGGTGAATGGGGAGGAGTTAGGAGCCTGTACTTCTCATGCTCTTCAGTGTGGAGCTGGAGTCTGTATGTTTCTCAAGTAAGTAGTTAGCCAGAATTTAATGTGTTAAAGAGTAAAGGGAAATATTTGAAGGTCAAAATTCACAACATTGTTAAAGCACTTGATTCTTTTTGTCTGAGATAAAGAAACATTGCTTTGACCTAAAATATGGCTCACCAAAAAGTTAAGAACCTGCTGGCAATTGTCTTGTATTTTAAATGTAGCTATTTTTTCCTTAAGAATCCGGGAATGCAAAGTTGTCCTCATTGAAGGTAAAACCAGGGGCTGCTTATATCCTGCCCCCTACTTGGATGAATATGGAGAAACAGATCCAGGTCTGAAGTAAGTAGATGTTTGACTGACTTTCTTTATACATTTCCATTTTGGTGTATCTTTCTTTCTTATACCCATTAGACCACGTGCTAGCGTGTACAGCACTGTAATACGTATCTTGTCCTGGTGAACTTGTTTAACTTCAAATTCCTGATAGCAGTTTCCAGTAATGAATGAGTCATTCATAATGGAAAACCACACTTTTTTTGGCACTGTTAAACTTTCTTACTTTTCTCAAGAATACTTCGTATCCTTTTCATTAGAAACACCCTACGATTGCCATTGCTGAAATGTCATCTTGTGACAAGCCATGACTGCCATTTCCAAGTAGAATTTTTTTCATTTCCAGTAGACCTGTTGGAATTCATGTTTGTACAAGTATTTAATATTTTCCGGCTATCATGAAGAGTGTTAATGCTAGACTATTAATGGAACAGTTTGTCAGTTGCTATTCTGATATGCTTATTGGGTATTCTTTTTTCTTCTATGAAGAAGAGGCAATCCCCTGCACTTATGTCGGGAGCGTTACCGGAAGCTGCATCTGCTGTGGCAGCAACACTGCATCATAGAGGAGATTGCCAGAAGCCAAGAAACTAATCAGATCTTCTTTGGATTCAACTGGCAACTGCTCTGAGTCTCTTGGTTTTTAGTGAAAACTCATACCTTTGGCAGTGCTTTGAAAAAGGAAAGGGGGGTGGCAGTTGATAATCTACTCTCAAGTGGATTTTGTAGTTCAGACACAATTGATGGATTCTCTAGGTTGGATGTATTACGGATACATTGAAACAAAATCTCACATCATATGTTTTGCTCTTTTCCCCTGCCCATGACCATATTATATAATTATTACTGAGCATTCAGGTCCAGAAATATTCCCACTTTTTTGAGAAGTTGTAGTTGTTTCACATGTTTTGACGAGGACAGCTTCCCAAATGCTGTGCTTCAGGGCACATACTATATTTCTCTCTCTTCCATGCCTTGAGAATATACCTGAATGGTGTTGATGGAAAAGCCTCCTTTACTTCCTTTCTGGGTTCTTTTCCCAAGCTTAGTGAAGCTTTTAAATAGGTCAAGATCAGTGGCATAATATTGGAGTGGAAGTGGTGCTAGGCCTTTAGGAATCTGTAGCAACAGGTACACGAAACATTAAGTTGTACAGAAAAAGCCTGTGTTCAGCTATATCCTGGGGTTTAATGAAGAGTTTTCAATACTGAGCTCTTTAAAGAAGTGTGGGATAGAAAGTGCATGGGGGAATGACCATCTTGCTTGTTGCATCAAAAAAAATGAAGTCTGCGCTTTTTGCATTGCCAGAACTGCACTTTATCTAATGATTTTGTCCTATTAATGTTGTATATCCTAAGAGGTCTAGGGCTATACCATTTGGCTAATTTGTGGTTAGTTTTACTACTTCTACAGTTTGTCTTCTGAGGTTTTCCCCAAGAACTAAATGTAAAAATACTGTTAGGTAGTTATAGTGTAGCTCTGCAAATTATACAAGAGCCAGAGACTTCAAAGTAGACAACCTTCAAAGCTACCACTGGACTAAAATAAAAGCCCAAAAGCAGCAAGCTGTAGAATCAGAAATAACTTTGTCCATATCTGAGGAATTTTCTACTATCATCCTCTGTCGCTGTTTGGAGCCCTGCCTGCATAAATGAAATTGTGTGTTTTGGGGGCGTGTTTAGTGGATCAGTGCCAGTTAGAGCAGAAAAGGGAAAAAAGGGTGGCTGAGTCTGTCTCTTTGACCTTCAGTAGTTAATAGCCCATTGTGATTGAACTCTCTCTCAATGATACATGATTGTGCTTCAGTTCTAAATGTTTGTTGTTCTGTTTTCAGAATTTCAACCATAATACACATGAGAGAATTTGTAATGTGATGGGTAGAAATGCTCTCGCAGGAAATCCAATTTCTTTGTGAAAGTTTGAAGTTGTCAGTACTCTAAATTTCCCTACCCATTTGCTATTTGGACTATTTTGTGTCATTTTAATATGGCCTGCAAGGGGAGGTTTTTAAATTAATGTCTGAGAGGGTGTTTTTGCATGATTTCTTTTCGTTTTATGGTTGGTTGGTTGTTTTTCCCTACTGACTGTATGAGAGATAGTAGAATCACAAATAATGATTTAGATTTAAGTATCATTGTTCTCCTAGTTTTTAAAGTTTTTAGAGTACGTATGAGTGCACTGAACAGCACCATAACTCATTTAAAAATGGAATACCATTGAATTCAGATATTGTTCTGATTTCAAATACTTTTTTATAACTTTCACTATAATCCTTCTGCTGATATAAATAGTTGGATTTGGTATATTTTTCAGGTATTCTGTTTCTTGCAATCAAGACCATTCTCCATATTTTGATTCTTTCATATTTTAAACCTGAATATGAAACTCTTTTAAAGACAAACATTAATTCTGTTAGTCTTCTCAAAAATGTATTTGAAATGTGTACTGAATTTACAAGAACAGTTGTCATGAAAACTTGCATGCACTGGCGATTTCTAAGGTCATCAAAACACTTCTTACCAACAAAAATATTGGATTAAGACTAGCAAATGTATGCCTCATTGATACCAAAACTGTATTTGCTTACTGTTTCCCTCTGGTATTTATCTATTCATTTATCAGAAACTTTCAGTTACCTTGCATTTCACTGATACAAGAATTCCGTTATCATTTTATTTTATTTTCTGTCTGAACTGTAGTGTATAAGGACAGGAGCTGGTTTGAGCCAGGTGAGCTCATGTTTAAAGCTCTAGAAATCTCTTTGTAGCTGAAGAAGTGGGAGTGGAAAGTTGCATCTTTCTGTATGTTTACACATACTAATTTAGCAAACGGGCTCCCATATCATTCACCGACTAGTGTGGTCATCTTTCATTTCATAAATTACTATGCAGTTTTGTTCACTGTGAGTATAATCTGTATTTAGTGATTGCAGGATGCTTATGCCACTGATTTCTGTTCCATCCAAGCTGACAGAAGAAGTTATTTGATAATGCACATATTGGTATCTTTAATTGCAAAAATGTAAATTTGAAACTTGTATAATGTTCTTGTGCTTTTGAAATAAAATATCTTGTATATGTATATTTAAAAAAAGAAATAAAGTAACTTCTCATAGATTATTCAATTTTTATTTGGAGGCACTTTGAAACTGAAACCAGTTAATTTTACAAGAGCATTATAGCAGCGTCTGTCAGTATGGAAAAAGGGGGAAGTGTTAGTAAATGGTTGGTAAACAATGGCAGTTATCCCTGTAGTCCATGTCATCATTGTACCAGTCAGTAATGGTGGCACACTTATTTAAAGAAATACTCCATGTGAAACTTGTCCTAGTATTTTACAGATGCAAATTCCTGCAGTGTCTACCTCAATTTGTAAAAGAAGTCTTAGTACAGAATTTAATATTTAGATGTCATTAAGCTGATGAGTGATTTTGGTTTTGTAGCTTCTCAAAGAATGGGCTGTACTATCTGTCAGGGACTTAACCTCTAGAAAAGGAAAGTTTGTGGTGTTGGTCTAATGTGCTGTGATACGTATTTAAAAAAAAAAAAAAAAAGGTGTTTTATTACAGAGCTAAGCAAACAGCCAAGAAGTCTTTTACATGGAAATGGCCAGTACTTAGTGCCCTTTTTTATGTTACAGGCTGCTGGCTGTCATCACTTTCTCATTGCTTTCTTGTAGCTGTGGGTACCATTAAGCTTACAGAATTTGGGTATTAATGGTGTTGCTCTGTATGCTTATTCTTTTAAGAACCAATTCCTGAAAAGATAAAAGGTAATGGTACATAGATTAAAGTCTACTAGCAAAAATGTTCTGAAGAACATTAGAAGAAGCAGCCCATTCATTAGGGGAGGGGAAAAAAAAAAAAGAGAATAAGAGGGAAAAACCCACAGCACCATTTCTTGCGTAGTAAGAATTTCAGGGTGCCATGTACAAATGTACAAAATTATATAGAGGAGGATCTTGGCCATCATATGCTTTGCTTTATGGATGAAATCCACTTCATATTCTAGACAATATCCTTGAATAATCTCTATTGTAAACTAGTCAGATTTGTGTTACATCATCTGAGCTTTTAGATTCTTTTAACCTAATACTTGAAAAGATCTTCAAAGTTCTTTCTACAAAAATGAAAGTTGTTTAATTTCTCTGGCAGAATCTCTTTCATTTGTTTTTATCTGTGTTTTGCAGGTAGGCTAAATTTGGGGTTTGATACAGAAAACAAATGGGTAACTCTGAAAATCCACTCCTTTGCAAGTCTCTCAAATCCAGTTATGTCTAATCTCAGCTACATTTCTCTAAAGTTGCATTCAGTAGGGTCGAAAGGGTACATGAAAGAGAAGCTGTGTAAAGGAAATGTGTATTGAAGGAGAGCAAGCTGAAATTCAATTATAGACATTATTTCATGTAATGGTAAGAGGAGACCAGGTATAAAGTTGAACATGAAACATTAAAACTTGACCTGAGTTTTCTTATAACTTCTGTGTGGCTATTGTTCATGAGGTCAATGTCAAAAAAAGGAGGATAGTTTGTGTCTTCAAGTTACAGGTTGTCAAACAATTTAGAATCCATCAGACTTCATTTTAGGAAGTTTCTAGGCTTCATGCTGGAGTGAGTGAGCCTCAACAAAATGTTGTGAAGCGGGTAGTGGAGACTGTGGGCTTCATGATCATTTCAAGTCCTTGCTATATTTGTGAGGATCAGAGGAAGCCTGAGGAATAATCTACTCTAGATGGTAAAAAGCCTCCAGTGTTCTTTCATGCGGTTTTTCTTCCTGTGAATCATGCCAACCTTTACTAAAAGTGGGAAAAGCAATGTATCTCAATCTTGTGGTACTGCAAATGATCTAGCAACATTTATTTTCCCAATTCAGACTTTTACAGAACTTCATTGAGCGATTGGAGCTACATACTCCAGGCAGTCTGCCTCAGTTAATTGGCATGTAGGAGCATCATCCATGTAAGTGATGGTGTCCTCATAAATAAAGACTCCACCTGTGTTCTGTGAGCTTTACACCTTTGTGATTCTTTGCCAAACTACGGAGTATGCATGCAGAGCCAGAAGTGCTCCCATAGTGGGAAACTGATACAAAGCACATGTGTAGGAAATTATTTGTAAGATTTTAAATACCGTGAGTCTTGTGTCGGAGAGAACTGTATGATTGTATACAATTTAAAAAAACAAACAAACAAAAGTTTGCAGAAGGGAGGTTTCTAGCTTCTAAGGAAATGTTCTGTGTTCAATTTTTAATATAAATGAAACTAAATGTGCTGTATTAGTATATTTCTTATTTTTTCATTATCGTCAATATAGAGCAACTGTTTCAATATTAATGAGAAAGATTTAAAGAAAGAGCATCGTAATTGCAATTTCTACAGGAACTGTCATAGTGCCTTCATCGGAAACTGAACAAGAAAGTGTTTCAGGTTTTTCTATGAAGAACTTCATGTAGAAGATAGTTTTGTGCATAGGTGAGTTCCTTACTCCGGAAGTTGCTGTTGCACAAATGTATTGTTATTAATTCTGACTGGATTAAGCATTAATAACATGTAGGATAAGGAGCATCCCCCAAATCGTATTTATTTCTGTATCTGAGCAGATGCTCTGGCTTAAAGGCTTGGCTTGCTAATGCCATCTTTGTCTTTATAAATTACGAAGAATTAAAGATGGAGTCTGCTGCTACCTGAGTTTGTTTCCTTGATCCCATGGCTGTAATGTTAAATGCTCCTGGAAACCCAAACTATTGCAACACCTGCTGTAAAGCAAACTTTGCACGTGTATAGGGTGCACTTCCAGTCTGAGGAAACTAATACATACAAAGCAAAGAAGAAAACATTTAAAAAATATAAATTCTATCCTGCTTACTGTGAAATGAGTTGTCATCTTTTTGTAATGTATCTATATCAGTGGGGGCTCTGAAAGCCTGTGCGGGATACAAGTGAGCAATCTAATGACTAAGTAATTGCTGGTAATAGCCATGACGAGGACCGTCCCTGTGAAATGTATGCTGTTACTCAGTAGATTTCACGAGCGATCACATTACTAGCCACTGCTGCAGTTTTGGGCAGTTGGCTGAGTGACAAAGGGTTAACTTGCCAAATATTAACTTGTCTTTTATAGTAAAATGTGTTTTCTTCGTATGAAAGTGAGTGAGTTCAGTGGGGGCCAGGGAAAATGTGTAGCTGGACAGTTATACCTCTGCTCTTCATGGAAATTTCTGTGTCTTTACAGAGATGCTCAGCCTGGATGAACTCTTCCTTACAAATCTCTTTTCAGAGCAGATTCTTGGCAAATCCATCATACAGGGAGCTCAGCTAGAGAGTTATCAGAAGAGTAAGCTCACAGCTTTTATAATTCTGCAAGCTAAATAATTGACCTAGAGATATTTTTAAATGGTGCAAAATGTCAGGTTTTGTCTGCTTCTACAGTTAAATGCAGTTTGCCATTAGGAAGTATTTCCTAAAATACAGAGGAAGATTTCCTCCTTTTTTTTTTTTTTTTGAAATTATATTCTTATTTCTTGTTTTACAACCATTTTCGTCATGCTGAACCGTTCCTCACTTTTTTTATTTTTTAAAGCATTTTATTTTAAAAAAATTTGCATAGTATTAGTCCTCTTGATTCAATTTTTCCTAATGAAACATATCTACAGAAATAATTTCTGTTTTTCTCTGAGTTATTTCTGATTATCTTACACCCTTTGGTTACTGAGAAATCTAGAACTGTTTTTCCAAATGTAGACGGACTAAAATTGTGTTGAAGTGATTGCTGTTGACTGATGCATGTGGAACTTCGCATACTCATCTGAAAAAAATTAATTGCATTTTTTAAAAAAATAATGTTCTGTTGCAAAGTCTGATTAATTTGCAGTACATGACTGTCTTTCTCCTTGATCTCTCAAGATACTTCAACTTTCTGAGTTCATTCTTTTCCAGTACATATCAGATAATCTTAGTGCTGCTATAAGGCTCAGGACACTGTTACAGTCAGTGTTCGGCGATACCACCACAGCAGGCTGCGATGCAGAAGTAATATTTTTGACTCTCAGAAATATTTGAAGGAATTATACACCAGTTAAGTTTAATTCCACATTGGACAAAGTGCTTGAAATGAAGAACAGAAGTAGACATATAGACAAATGCAGTGCAAAGGGAAGAGTTGAGACAGTTCTTGTAAAGGGAGGTCCCATCTTATGAATCTAATTCTTTGGAGCAGTTTGATGAGAATGTTGAGCCGATCAGTAATAATGTAGGTTTCAAAATCTTTGAATATTGTCCTCCATCTAACTCACAGAAGAAGCTGTCATGAAATAAAAAGGAAGATACGGTTCAGCAACAAAAAAAAAGAATCAATAGTGTATTTTCACAATGGAAAAAGCTTAACAACTGGGATCCACATAAATCTGCTTGGTTTTTTTCACCATTTTCAGAACAGATCTGAAAAGGGGAATTTTAAAGTAGCAAATTCTGCCAATGATATAAAGATATTCCATAAAAAAGCTTATTTGGAATGTTTTCCAGAGGCTGTTGTGAAACTTAATGGCTGGATAATAGAATATTCAGTTTTGGTAAGTGAAAATTAATGCAGCTATGCAAAAACTAACATCTTGCAATAAATAGACTAGACTATTTCAGTTGCAGGGGACCTGCAACGATCATCCAGTCCAACTGCCTGACCACTTTGGGCCTGGCCAAGTCAAAGCACGTTATTAAGGGCATTGTCCAAATGCCTCTTAAACACTGACAGGCTTGGGCCATCGACCTCCTCTCTAGGAAGCCTGTGCCAGTGTCTGACCACCCTCTCGGTAAGGAAATGCTTCCTGACGTCCAGTCTGAACCTCCCCTGGTGCAGCTCTGAGCCATTCCCACGCGTGCTGGCACTGGGTCCCAGGGAGAAGAGCTCGGCACCCCCCTCTCCACGTCCCCTCCTCGGGCAGCTGCAGAGAGCCATGAGGTCTCCCCTCGGCCTCCTTTTCTCCAAGCTAGAGGAGCCCAAAGGGCTCATCTGCTCCTCACGGGACGTGCCTTCCAGCCCCCTCGCCCGCTTTGTTTCCCTCCTCTGGACACGCTCAAGGCCCGTCACACCCTCCTTAACTCGTGGGGCCCAGCCCTGCAGACAGGGCTCCAGGCGAGGCCGCCCCACCGCCGAGCACCGCGGGATGGTCACCGCTGGTGTCGGGCTGGCCGTGCTGGGTTTGCCCAGCCCAGGATGGGGTTTGCCCTCTGGGGCACGCGGCTGCCCCACGCTCAGCCTGCGGCCCACCAGCACCCCCAGATACGTTCGTAGCAAAGAATTTCTTAGTATTTTATGGATTGTTCTGTGAAAAAGTTATTTCAATGGTCAGAAACAGTCGAAAGGGGAATCAATAGGAATTCTTAGGAAAAGGACAGAAGATCTATTCAGTGCATGATGTCTTCAGCTCTACACAGTGTTGTTTGTTTAAAATTAATAAATGGAAGAGTGATGGAAATTATCAAAGGTGTGAAACAACTTCTACAGAAAAAAAGGTTAAATATCAACTTCTTCAGCTTGGAAAGATAGGAGCAAGAGACATTATGGTAGAGGACTGTAAAATCAGGAATGAATAAATAATAATATAATAAAATCTGGGAATAAATAAGAACTGACCATCGGCTACATCTTACAGCAAGAATTAGGGGATACCTGATTAAGCTGTCAGGGAGTCAACAAGCAAAGAGAAGCAGTTTTCCAAACAATGCAGAATTGAATTGTGAGAAATTAAAATCTGAAGTCCATTGTTGTAAGTGGTTTGGGTATCATAAACATGAACAGGCTTAAAAAAACTACTATCCAAATCCACAGCTAAAAATGTCCACTGCGATTTATTAAAACACAGTGGTACAAATACCCACTTTGTCATACCCAAACTGCTGTTCCCTGGAAGTTGGGAGGCTTTGTCAGGGCAAGAACTATTTCTTAATGGTCTTGTCTCTAATGTGCCTTTTGTAAAACATCTGCTACAGTCTACTATTGCAGACAGACCCCATCTGTCCATTTTTATTTTTAACATACTTATGTATAGGCCTAAAATTTTAAGCAGTGAAGCAATTGCATTTGAAATTATGATCGTGCATATAGTCTGCTTGAATTACAGTACAGATTTTTACATCACACACTTCATTTACAATATATTGTTACAGTATAATTCTTGCTTATTCTAATGTTACAGAAAACGACGTTGTTTAGACAGGTAAAGGAATTTTTACTGTTATTTTTACACCATTTCAAAAGCAGGAATAGTTCTGCTTTGAATATCCCAGTGACAGAACTTTTACTTGATTATACACAAAGAATGCACAAGCTGTCCAAAGTTATATTCAAACTATGTGTTACTCAGAACAGTAACAAGTGAAGTATTTTATTTGATCTTTTATCATCTATATTGGTATCTTTTTCCTGCCTACTATTAATGATGAGTTACAGTCTTAGGGCCCCCTGTCGTGGGTGTAGCAGGCTTTCACTCCGTGTATTGACGCTGTCCCTGAGCGCTGTGCTAGGAATGTGATGGGAGCTCTGTCAGTCTACATTTGCCTTCAGTGGTTCCATATAATCCCTGATCTTCCAGCTGCTAGATCTATGTAAGTACTTTTGAAATTAGAAGCTTTTAAATGTCAGGATCATCAGCATTTGTTTTATGGGATGTTTATGTTTTTAAACTTGGGCTATCACATGCTACTTTGAATTTTAAATATCCTGGCATGAGGTGTCTGTTAGTTTTCTTGAGCAGAAAACTCCTTCCAGCAGTACCCATTGACTTCCAGGGAGGTATGGCAGCTGGCTTTCTCTAAACTATGGAGGAGGAGAAACAAAGAGATACTTCAGACTATTTGGGAAAGAAAAAAAAAAAAAAAAAAATTAGTTAAATACATTATGCTAACTTTCATTGCCTTCAGCTCAATTTCACCTAGCTCATAGGCTCTTTTCGAAGGGCTGCAATATATGTATAATTGGGCTAGAATTTCCCCTGTCCTAATCTGGACTAACAGAGTTTTCATTTCACAGCTTTTATCTTTTTTTAAAGAATCATTTTGTCCACTGTAATAATTTCTTTTGGGATTTCTATAGATGTAAAGGCAGTAATGACAAACTTTGTTGGTATAAAGTAGACCAATCTGTATGTTAGTAGATGTAGACCTATCCTATCTGGAACATTTTTTTGTGCATAGTGATTATTCTGATGCATTCAGACCATGACAGAAGTATTTAAGCAAGGGAGAGAAAGTGGGGAAAATTCCAAAAGTTTGTTTTGTGCAGTGTTGAAAGTCAGGGATTTCACAAGGACGAGTGACAATACATCCAGCAAAAGAAACATCATTATTATTGGAGCTGTCACCAGTCTGTGGTTTGTTCAGTTATTTGTTTTCCTACTCATTTTTTCCCACCAGTGGAAAATCTGGTAACTGTAAGACTGTAATGTATCGAAGCTACACTTGTGATGTCATTTCTTTGGAGACTCGCCTAGCTAGACTGGGATAGATTTTGCTTTACTCTGGGTTTTGCCACAGTTTGTGTTTTGAACATTGATGTTGGGGTTGTTCATGCCCGAGACAGTGGAGATCTGGTTGGCTTTGCCAAGGTTCTTGATGATACTGATCTTGTATTTGGCAGTTTCCACAAAGCTGTTTTCTAGTAGCCAACCGTCCGATTCACCCTCCAGATCTCCTAGCAGAAGGACATTCTTCATTGCTGTTTGTAGGTACCGAACACCAGTAAGTACAGAGAGCTGTAAAAAACAGTTAATGGTTAAAGAGAGGGTTTAAACTACAGCCTCAATCCTACCACTAAATCAGCTTTCTGACTTATTTACAGGCCTGATAATTAATATTGAGTAAAGCAGACAAATTCTTTATCCCAGCAGTATATCTAACTGCTCTCTCAATTAATTACATTTTTTAGAAAGAAAAATACCAGGGAGAGATTGATTGATTGTCTCTCCGTTCTTCAGGTAGCATTCCCATGTGCATGTTGTTAGCACATAAATCCCTAGAATTACTCAGGAACATTGCAGCCCTGGAGACTACAAGTAACTGATGTAGCATGGATGGTCAGTTAATGGAACCAGTTAATCAGTCACTGGGAAAAAAAAAAAAATTAATTGTAGTCTGTTAATTTCTATGGATTTTTTTCCACTGACCTTAGTTAAATCAGTGTTTTCTCCAAGGAGTTTAATCATTCATATGTAAGCCATATCTCAAACCCAGGACAGTGTCCTATGTGCCCATGTGTTAAAATTAAGAAGGATGATCTATAGTAGAGCCTCAAGTGTATGTTTAGGAAAAAGCCCCAGTTTCACAGTTCTGTTGGAATGGAGATCAGCGTGCCCCATCTGTCAGCATTTAAGGGAGCACAGAGAGCAGGCTCACTGCTTTTTCATGGGCTGCCACAGGCCTGTTCTTTCTGACACCACCACCCCATCCAGCATTGCTCGAGGACTGCTGTCAACTATTTTAATTATAGTGATAATATTTATGCAATAGAGCAATAATCAGAAAACTAAAACTTGTTAAAAAGGGAAGAAAACCGTATTTTAGCCTATGCCATTGGGGGGGTCCTTTACCTCTGGATGACAACATCCAGACAACTTTCTTGACAGATGCCAGCAGCAAGACTGCTTCTTGGCAGGTGTGTATGCTTGCCTGCAATATACTTAATTTGGTTGCATAATACACAGTCTAAGCTACAACTACAAAGGTATGTCATGTTTGCAAGTACTGCCTATATGGTAAAGCTGTGTAATATAAAAAGGAGGCTTTGAGATATTAATATTTATGCTCAATTTTTACTATAAATAAAATTAATGTTTTCAGCCAAAGGCCTGCTCACATTTTGTATATTGTTAAAACTGACTTAAAACAATCCTCAGACCTTCTCACTAATTTCCTTGCAGTCATGTCACTGCATGTATCACCCTGTATCTGGTCCCATAAATCCTTCAGGGAAGGGAATATGCCATAGTATATTGGAAAACTTCTGTAAATATACAGAACTATATACATCATATCTAATAGTTCTCATCTTCATTGAGATTTGCTTCTGCTCTGGGGACTTCGAGAAAGTTGTCTGTACTAATGGGAGTTCTGCAACATTCTTGAAGTGCTTGTGGACTTTATATTAGATACTAGGGCACTTCTCATATGTTACACATCCTGGAGAGCAGGAAGACTCCGATAAATCTGACACAGACCATTTTTATGAGACTTACCTCAAAGAACCAAATAAGCAATGCTGCAATACCAACAGATCTCATAATAGCTGTGTAGTACTCCAGCAAAGCCTCTCGGCACCCCTTCACCCAGATATTGAGCTCCTCGGTCAGAAAATCGTAGTGGTAGTGAGCGCTGTTGTTTGTCAGCTGGTACTGGATGCAGGGCCGCGGGGAGCTTGGGTTGCAGCAGCTGAAGGGCACTCCATCCACCAAGAACTTCCCGTCAACGTTGCTCTTCAGACGGCTGCAACAGGACAAAGTTTGGGTATTACAAATCTGGTCTCAGAAGCATAGTGCCTGTGGTTTTTATAAAAGGATATAACGCAAGTGTGCTGTGATGTAGGCCTCTCCAATGTAACAAAAGGAAAATGGGAATATATTTTCAACTGGAAAAGTTGCTTACTGTGGGAAAACTAAATTTTTCATTTGCTGCATTTAAGTGTGGTATTGGCACAGTATCTCGTGTGGTTCTTGGTACTGTGTGTGCAAGATGTGGATTTAGTGTTCACAGAGATGTTGCCCTTTTAGGTACCTTTGCACTGAAAATAAACAAGTCCAGAAATTGTCTATAGTATCTTGGTGGAACTCTGATGGAAGTTATGACCCTAGAAATCCTGTGGTTCACTATTTCTGGATTGATTTTCAAGACAAGAACAACTTTGCATGCCACGGGAGCCACTGGAAATTGTCCTCTGGCATTTCATCATTGTACCCATGTGCGACAGCTGGTTCGGCATATGTTTTGAGACTAATTCACAAGGGAGTTTCTACTTCTTGTAACTATACTTTTTGTAACTTTTGTAACTATTTGTATTTATTGCTAAAAATTACTCCTTTTCCTCCTTTATAAGATCAGGAGAAAAACAAGTGGGAAAAGGAGAAAGATAAAGAAATAGGAGGGAGGAAAAAAAAATGATAGGGTGGAAAGAGAAAAGTCTCAAATTAATCAAGAGTTTCTGGAACAGTTAAATGAATGCTTGACATCCATTTTCCTTGTATTACCTGCTCTTGAGCTAGTGCATCCTTGTAAGGATTTCTGTTTCTAAGCAAGGTCTCCAGAGAAATAGATTTTCCAGAAACTGGATAGTATGTAAGATGCTGAGAGATGGTCTTACACTTTGGGGAAGTAGCCCCTAAGGATGTATCTATTTTCGTGCTCATTGCAAATGTCTTATATCCTGAGACAGCCCTGCAGGTGAGAACTGTGGCTTGTTTAATGAAGTCCATGCCCTTTAGCCTTTGTTATGTACCCAGAATAATTGGGAGACAACTTTATCTTAGCTATCCAGCTTTCACCATTTGCTAATTGTAGAATTTTTAATATTTTCCAAAACTTATCCTCATATATTAACGTTTATAGATCATATTTTCCTGTTCCACTACAGATGATCTAAATTAAAGGGAAGGAAGTCATCGCAAGAAACTCATCAGGTGAACAGAAGCAGCAGAAACTCTGTGGTCCAGTGTTCTTCTGGCATTTTGGGACTAAATACGTCCTTCAAAAGAAACATGAGCTACTAGGAAGCTCAGTATTTGTGGCTGTGCTGGGACGGCAGAATAATTCTCTTTACTTTATTACTGTGGACCTGCTAAAAACATCCTTTTTTCTTTCTTTCTTTCTTTCTTTCTGGGATTGGTGGTGTGTTTTGCCTAACATTCCATCAAAAATGTCTTCCTCAAAGATATTTCCAAGTCAGTCAGGAAGTTCATTTGACATTTTCCACCTATGAGTGGGCTAGGCATGAATTCCTCTCCATTTTAAACTCTAGCTCTTCACTTTGTCACCATCATGTTCCTGGTAATGGCAATAGAATTAAACCAATGCAAAAGAACGCAGGTAATCTCCTGAAACCAGACTTAAGTGTGCAAGCAGTATAACGGGCATTGGCAAAACCATGCACTGGGAGGGAAACAAGAAGGGGAGCCAGAGAAGTGCCAAATGGAAGGCTGCAATGTGGGAGGAGAAAAGGAGCCTCACAGAGGGAGGAGAAGGCGGCTGGCACATTGCAAAAGGGAAGCTTTTGCTTGGGCCAGTGTACTGGGTTTGCATGCCAAGGTTTTGGGAGTGGGGGGTTACAGGGCTGGCTTCTGTGAGGAGCTGCTCAAAGCTTCCCTCGTGTCCGACAGAGCTGATGCAGCTGACTCGAAGAAGCACCTGCTGCTGGCCAAGGCCGAGCCCATCAGCGACAGTGGTAGCACCTCTGGGATACCTGTTTAAGAAGTGGGGAAAATCCCTGCACAACAGCAACTGCAGCCAGAGAGAGGAGCGAGAATATGTGAGAGCAACAACCCTGCAGCCACCCAGGTCAGTGAAGGAGGAGGGGAGGAGGTGCTCCAGGCCCGGGGGCAGAGGTTCCCCTGCAGCCCCTGGTGAAGGCCCTGGTGAGGTGGGCCGTGCCCTGCACCCATGGAGGTCCACAGTGGAGCATATCTCCACCTGCGGCCCATGGAGGACCCCACGCCAGAGCAGGGGGGTACCCCAAGGAGGCTGTGAGCTAGTGGGAAGCCCTCGCTGGAGCAGGCTCCTGGCAGGAGGTCCCGTGGAGAGAGGAGCCCATGCTGGAGCAGGTTTGCTGGCAGGACTTGTGACTCTGTGGAAGGGACCCACGCTGGAGCAGTTTGTGGAGGACTGTCTGCTGTGGACCCCACACTGGAGCTGAGCAAGAGTGTGAGGAGTCCTCCCCCTGAGGAGGAAGGAGCAGCAGAGACAGTGGGTGATGAACTGACCGCAGCACCCATTCCCAGTCCCCCTGTGCCACTGGGAGAGAGGAGGTAGAGACATTGGGAGTAAAGATAAGCCCGGGAAGAAGGGAGGGGTGAGGGCAGGTGTTTTAAGATTTGGTTTTATTTCTCATTATCCTACTCTGATTTGATTGGTAATAGATTAAGCTAATTTCCCCAAGTTGAGTTTGGTTTGCCCATGACGGTAATTGTTGAGTGAACTCCCTGTCCTTATCTTGACCCATAGGCTTTTTCTTATATTTTCTCTCCCCTGTCCAGCTGAGGAGGGGAGTGACAGAGCAGCTTTGGTGAGTGCCTGGCATCCAGCCCAGGTCAACCCACTCCAGCCAGCAAAATGCCCTATATATTTCAGTGACATGACCCAAATACAGTACATCATCTAAAATGATTAAAATACAACCTCTTAAACTAGGTCTTAAGCTTTTCTTTTGATTCCAGGCATCAATTTATTTATTTTTTTTTTTCTTCCTGCCATATTATAAAAGGACTCTTCTTTCTACTGCCAACAATAGCAGTTTCCAGGCTTGGGTTGTGTCCTCCTGTCATTGTGTTTCCTCTACCAGTGGCAAATTAAAGAATGATGTATCTTGGTACTGTTAGAAGGAGCAAGACATTCACTGCTATTTGTCATTGCAATTCAAAGTTGTTATGGTATTGTAAAGCAATAGTTGCTTTTGAGGCTATTAAAGGTTTTTACCCAACCAAAATAATGATAGGACTGTACCGCTGTAACCTCCCTCATCCTCCTGCTGTTCCCTTTGAGTCTCCATTCCTTGTCACATTGTGGTGTTGACAATGGAGATAGAGAAGAGGATTATGTAGGCGAAAAGTTTAGTTTTGCAAGGGTTACATGTGACTTGACAGTATATCAGTTCTCACCTGCTTTGTCTGTTATCTACCAAGTACTAACTGACATACAGTACAATATGAAACCAAGAAAAATATTTGGTTCCTTCTCCATCCTTTCTGAACCTTATCAGCTGGACTTTGCTTCCAGTGGTTTCATATCGAATGTTTTACTGCCAGTTTTTTGGAAATCATAGTATAACTTGGTTATACAGCACCAACTTGGAGTCTAGCAATCAAGATGGAAGTAGCCAATTTATATGCAGTAAAAGAAATTCTGCAGTGTAATTACTTCCCTCAGACACATTTAACTGGCATCTGCCTACATAGGGCAAAAATTAACTGACAGTATATTTTCACAATAATGGCAGAGCACAGGTGACCCTACAGAAGAAAATGGTGTTTAGCTAAGCCTCTCAGTAAAACATTGCTGTTTCAGCATGTTCTGCACAGAAATAGAAGGCAGTATCCTTTTATCCTCACAATAAGACACTACTCTCAAGTTCCTGTGGACTGTCTTTGTTGTCATGTCACTTTTCAGTGTAGAACCAGGGTTTAAAACACCTCTTGTGTCAGTCTGCTTTGTGTCACTGTTGCTTTCCAACTTCTCTCTTGAGACCACTTGTTCTAAAGCTTTATTTCCACCGCCAAGTGCTGTACGCATGTTGATGCCCTCTTGTCCATATTCTCGTAGGTCCTGTCCTCCGTTATATTTGCAGCTCTGTACATATGCTTTGCTATAATGGCAGTTTTAACTTGCAGATTCTGTGAAAATAAGATCTCTGGCCTCCCTTCCTCTGGCTTTATTGTCACTGATTTTTGAGTTCAACAAAACAGAACACTTGACAAATGCCAGTCAAGATTTTTGTGTTTATCTTTCCAAGGAATATATAGCTACTACGCTCTCATCAGTAAAGACTTTTTTTTCAGCTTTGGAAGAATTATTATGTATTGGATTGACTACTGTTAAAAATCTTTTTACTGTTACCTTTTCTATTGTCTGTAAGAATTACCAGACTTCTTTCTGAGCATCTAACTTCACAATTGCTACATCATATGAAGCACCACTGTCACCAACAAAAAATTTCAAGGGTTTTTCTCCTCCTTTTTTATGCAGAGCACATGGTGTTGGCAGTTTCTCACATGTGAACATACAGATTTGAACCTGGGTTTGCAAAGTCTAATATCTTGAAGGAGAAAGATTTTTCAGTGTTTGGGGTTGATTGTGCAATGTATTGCTAGCACAATCCTTTTTTTTTTTGTTCCATTATCATCTCACTATAATTGAAATTTTGAAGTACTTAATTCACCACATTAAAAGAGGAAAAATACATCTTTGCTTGCTTAGCATCCCTAAAAAGTTAACAAATGGCAACTTTTGATCGTGCATGTAGTTAGTATCTTTTGTGAGTAATGTGCTCATTCTACAGTTTTTTGATTAAGAGACAACGGTCCAGTAAAAACTAGTATCTACTTTGCCTTCTTGAATGAGTTCTTCTAGAATTTTTTGTTATGATCAGTAAATACTTACTCCAGAACTTCTTTGGAAGCCATATTCAGATAACGAGCAGATACCCACTGAATTTCAAACCAGTCTCTAAAGCCATTGTTTCCACAGCATTTGAATCCAATTTGTAACATATCCACTGTTTTCTTTAAGAAACATCGTCCAGGTATGTCCGTGTCCTTATAGAACTTAATAGCATCTCTCAGTCCCAGATAGAGAGACTCTTCCAGCTCACTCCTCATGGTATAGCACATGAGAGCACCCACCAGGATGCAGAAGGTAAAACAGAAGGTACATACGATGTATGGGAGCATAACTAGTTTCCATCGAGAGAACTTGTTGGCATCTGGGCAGTCATAGCAGATTTTGCCACCCAGAAAGTTGATGATACATGCTATGACCCCTACGGAGATCAGCATGTTGGGGACAGAGTTAACGTCCCCTCTTGCCATCACTTCATTGCGCTTCTTGATCTCTATTTTCAGAAAGAGTCCAAGACTGAAGAGAATGATCCCGCTTACTACAGAAACCCAGTTAAGGACCCATAAGATCTGAGCCAATTTGTCCCTCTTAGTTTTGGTGAATTTTACTTTGAGGACAGCCATAGTCAGATCAGTGTTAAGAAGTGCAGGTCAAGGAAAGCTCATAAGCTCATTAGGAGCATGTATCCAAGGCATGCAGTAGAAATCTGAAGGAGAGAGAGAGAAAGAGAGAGAGAGAGATTACTGTCTGTTTGATGAGGTATTTATAGAGGCTACAGAAATCTTCCTGTACAGCCTCACACACTCTGAGTCCTGCCAAAGGAGTGCCCCAGTGAAATTTATTGCTTAAATATCATACAACGTGAATCAGTTAAAAAAAAAAAAATTCTAAGGACTGACTAGAGTAATTAAAAACAAGCTAACAGTAGAACCAATGAACTCTGGATTCCTATGGATTTTTGGCAAGAGCAATTTTCTGTGCAGATTTACTGATGTCTAGAAGTGAGATGATCTGTTGTCTTTCCCTCCAGAAGACTCACAATGCCTTTTCCTTCTACTTATTACTCGTATTTATAATTCTTAGTTTACTGTGCCATGGTCAGATTTGCATTCAGAAGTTGAACAAGCTGTACAAGCAAGCAGATATATACAGCATAATCACATAAGCCTTTTTTCCATATGGAAAACAAATATAAAAATAGCATCAGAAATACAGTATCGTATGGGGATTTTTAGTCATTTCATCTATTATGTGCAGGAAAACATGATTTTGCATGAAAAGCTGTTTTATTCCTACACTTATACTAAGATATGATCACTTTGGCAAAAACTGCATGAGGAACTGACTGTGGATATCCACAGACACAAGATGTTCAACAAATAGGTAAACTATCAATGACCATGTCAGTTTTCTAGAAAATATTATCAAAATTTTATTAAGTGCTATGACCTGAATATATTACGGGTGAACAAACTATCTTCCACTGCATTTTCCACTTGATCTGGCATAAAAGCACTACCATTTTTGTGTGATGTAACATATCACCCTGCACAAAAAAAGCAGAACATCTTCACACCTAAAGAAAAAAATCAGCAGTTTAAGATGCTCTATTTCTTTCTCTACATCATTGCCCTTCCTTCCTTTCTGAAAGTTTTTATTAAAAATCAGTTTCTGGAATATCATGATGTATTAAATGTGGCCTATTTAATCCTTAGGGAATCACCATTAAGCCTAACCTCTGTTCCTGCAGCTGAAGTTGCTTGTTCTTTCCTTTTGTCCTGAGAATTGTGACACTCACACCTTATTCCAGCCCTCCTACCACCTGCAGACTGGATTTCTTTTCAAGTCCCCCATATTCCAGTCAGAATCCTAAACTTCATTCCTGGTTGCACTTTTTGCAATAACCTTGACTTGTTCATTGTCCATTGGAGCTGCTTCCATTCTCCTGTCTGAAGGAGGCTCTGCAGCCCAAGGGACACCACAGTATTTTTTTGAAGGGGAAGCATTTGAAAAGTGGCAGGAAACTACTCATGTGTCTAGTAACTTATATCTTGTATATTTTATTAGCTTGTTTTTGATACACCTAATATTATGTTATTAACAGTCCTTTAATAACTTGCCCGTGTGATCTACAGACTCTTCTATTTTTTTCTCCTATGATCACAACGATGGACATAAAATATATTCAGAGAGACTCCCCTCCACCCCGAGTTTCAAATCTGATATTTCAGAGTTTCACAGGTAAAGGAGGACTCTGTGTTTCAAGATCTGGGTTCTTTCCCCCAGCTATTAGTAGATCTAAGAAAAGATACCACCTTTCCCAGCACTTTTAACCTTGCTTCTCTGCAACACTACTAATAACTTCTCCTTTGCATCTCTCCAGTTATATCAGAGGCAGAAAGCTGCTATTAACACCCAAGATCTAAAACCTGTTAGAGGTGGAGACATTGTGTTTTTGGTGTATGTGATGGGGATGTAGAACTATGCTGCAGTACCTTGGGATCAAACCATGAACTTTTACCCTTCTTCAGTGCTTCCATTGCTTTGTGTTTGCCTTTCCTCAACACATACAAGATATAGGGAGTTGTTCTATCTCTCTTTCCTCCTCAGAAAGCCTGCTCTCACCATGGTCTTGTACTAAATCAGTAATTTTCATGAGTGATTTTATACTATACAACTATGTATTTATATGATTATACAGTCATCTAATTCCACTAACACAGTAGCATTTATAAACAGTAAAACATAGTCATATAAATTTGGGGCAAATAGAGAAGTATAAGCAGCATTATTCTTCTATAATATTTTTAAGCTAGTGGACTCTACTATTTGACTTCATCTGAATAAAACTTGTGTCAGCTAAAACAGCATGAAAACCACCTCCAGACAAGCTGTACAGGAGTAGGGCTACTCCTAGCCACCACAGGATCCACAGCTGCAATGAAGTGTAACATTGGGTAAGCAGATTGTTGTACAGTTTAAAAATGTAATGGTACCCCAGCATCTTCATCTGTGCATGTCGGAAGGAATCAATTCTATTTGTACAGGCGAGGAATAAGTTGTTCCATTCATATTAGGATATGGTTAGATATCTTCATGCATTTGAGTATTAAAACATTTTAATGCCTGTGAGATCTAATTCATTCATGTTGCATTTATTTTCATTTACAGGGGAAACTAATTCCCCTCAAAACTATTCATGTCTGTGTATCTTTTGTACAATACACAGAATAGTGTGCAAAATGCACAGTATTTTTCCTCAGTGTTCTTACTTCCAAAGGTGTTGAGGCCAGCAGCTCTCTGACTTTAAAAACAGGGTCCTAATTTTAATGATTGTTATGACTGTTTATCAGCTAGGTTTGAATATTGATTGTGACCATGTTGTGATAATCATATTGATTATCATGACAAAATACTGGTTATTGATAGACAGCTCTGTACAAACAAGTCCAGAGAACAGTCATTTTTAAAATGACAACTCTTCTTGCTTCTAAAACCATTCTTTTACAGTATTCTTCAGACCTCATTTAAAAGGATCGTGCTCTGCTGGCACAAAATTAAGCTGACAGCCTGTCTGCTAAGCCTGGAGGCAGTGCCTTTGTTGCTTCACCTGTTCAGCAGTTCATGACATGAACTTAAATAGCTGTAGATGGCTGCAGCAAATAGGCTTATTTGCCCCCGATACTCAAGTCTCTGAGCTCACAATAGAGAGAATCTGCTGTGAAATTTCCTAACTGCTGGTATGCAGTTCATTTCAACCGCCAGCCTATATGACCACATCACTCACCATACATTTCTATGAAATACATGGATGTATTTGCAAAATGCCTCTAAACTGTTAGGCACACGTATAGTTACAGTGTCACTGAGAACACCCTACTTGCCAAGCATCTTTTGCTTTACCATTTGAACAAAAGTTGTAAACAGTTCTATCTTTACTTAAAATTCATCTACTCAAGAGGCATTGTTGATTTTGGAAGATGTGAATTTGAGACTTTCTGTCGTATGCTAGTCATAAAGAAATTTGAAGCTAAATTCCATAATCAAGGACACATTCAATCTTGTGTAGCTATTCTGATATTGCACCCTCCCCCTTTTCCGATGCCTAAATTTAAAAAAAATATTGTGCAAGAGCAATTCTCCTAGTAAGTCTTTGCCTCCAGTAATTATCATGTGGTATTTCCAGCTGTCTTGGTGCAATTTTAGTATTCTTATAAGACCAGATTTCATGGAATATTCACATTCATCTAACAGAGGTACCCACACCACAGTCCTCCAGCACTGTAAGATCTGCTATTTGGTACGAGCCACACTGCCAGAGGAGAGGATGGGGATGTCTGGTGGTTGTAAGGCAGTGACCACTCATCGACTGACCCTGGATGCCACTGATACACCTGGCATTGCACAAAGGATCTCTGGGACAACTGTGGTTCTCCTGAAATTTTGAGTGCATCGAGTCTGGGACAGAAGAACAACTTACCTTCTCTGTTCCTGTATTCCCAGCTTCTACATGGATATTTCTCCTGAGATTAGTTTTTCCTATGTTAACAGTTTACCAAATTTATTTTAGATAATGAGAATAATCTCTTTCCATCATAATGAATTTTGTAAATACACCGTAACTTCATTCTTTCCCTAACTGTTCAATGAAGTAGTGAATGTATTTATTAGCGTAAAATGTGTTGTAACGCGCATACTGCTGCATAGTAGCATTTTTTGAGCATCATGAAGAAAGTTCTTCCAGCTGAAAGAACTGAAGTGCAGTTATGAGCTAGAAGCGTCATTGCCTTGCTCTGCAATATGTATCTGTTCTTCTCCAAGTGATATTTGGAAGTAAGCTACTGTAAAACCACAAACGTTCCTGGTAGTTCAGTGGAACTCACATCTCTGTCAAAGATCTTAGATACACACTTCACCATTGCACAGGAGCCACTCCAGAGTTATGAAGCATATACACACATTTTTTTCCCACCTATGGGGGAGAAAGCTGGATTTTATTGTGTAAAGCAAGAAATATTTCCTTCAACAGAAGCAGCCCAATAAATGTGGAAATCTCTTCTGTATTATTGATGCTGTTCTCAAGCTTTTCTTGTCTATCTCACTTGAAACACAGCTTCCATCAGCATACGGTAGCTTTTTGCTTCCAAGATGCCACCTACCTGTTCTTTTGCTATCAATTTCCCCTAACTACATAGAACAAGACATAGCACAGCTGTTTATTTGTTTATAACATTTACTTATTAGATACAAATTGTCCAAAGAAATCTGGTTTGCAATTTTGTCATAAACAAACCGTATCTTATCTTACCCATTTCACTAAAATCTGCCATTTTAGCTAAACACACATTCCTATCTGTGACTTACTGTAAAAGAAACCACTCACCTGCTTCAGAGGACTGAACAGGATCTCAAAACTGGTAACTTGCTGAGTACAGGGGAGAAAAAGTCCTGGATCAGGCATCCCAAGGAAGACTGTAGTACTGATTTCCTGATGTCTGCATAGTTCTTGTCTTTACACTGCCTCACCAGTGGAGATGGAGAAAAAGACTTCGACTCTCCAGCCCATGCTAATCTCTCATCTCTAATCGTAGCTAAGAGATTTATTTCAAGGTTCTTATGCCACCAGATTGATTCCTGCAAAACAGGCCAATTAACTGAGTGTGCACTGAGATCTCACCAACAAAATGGATTTATAGGAACTTCTTTTACCTTTTTACCCCCCAGAGGTTTGAGCTAGTAAGCATCAGAGACTGTTCTTCAGTACCTGCAATGTCTTTGTGAGTTCTTAATTTGTTCTTAACAATAAATATAGGTGAAAGAGAGAGAAGAATGAGAATAATGAAACTTTGTGCTTCTGCGGGAAGGGAAAATCTATCTTAGGAAATCATCATTTACATTCACTATTATGTGCTTTATCCATCATTCCGTATTTTGTTGCTTTGGACGAAATTGTCTGTCCTCTTGTGTATTGACTGTGACTGTCTATTCAAGTAACCAAGAGCAATTGGATCATCCTGTGTGACTCTCAGTAGGTTCTGGTTTGGGAAGCCTTCCAGGTTCAAGAACAATCTAGTAGACTCTTAGAAGCTTTATCCCAAGCCAGAAGCGAAAGCGTCTTGTTCTCTGGCATTTCTGAGCCCAGCATGTGGCCATTTGTGGGATGGACATGGCTGGGTTGAACTGGCAACCGTAACGGCAACAAGCTGAGCCTGCAGCAGTGCTTGATCAAGTTAGCGGTGATGTTAGTACCAGAACTGAATCGATAAGCAGGTCCAGGTTTGGTTTATCGGGTCCACAGTACATCAGCACAGCTCTGAGAGTTCAGTGAGCACACAGGGCTGACTGCAGGGGACCCTGCACCAGGGATTGTAATGCATGTGAATATTGTCAGAAGCATGAACTGTCCTCTCCCAGCTAATGATGAGCAATAAACCGATACCATGATATTACTGTGACTCTAACTCTGTTGTTGTCTGGGAATACGCCTGCTTATCTCATTTATGGTCTCGTGTTTTCATAAAGATAGATACCCCTCTGCATGCATCAGTATTATTACACTTATTATCAGTGAAAGTTGAAAGATTAGTTATCGGTGCAACTCAGTCTGTCAAAATCCCAAGTAAAGCAGAGACTGGAATATCAAACTACAATGTTCTAGGAAGAGAAAACAATTAAGACTTCTTCACTTGCCAGAAATCATTCCATACATTACTGCGTGCAAGAGGGAAGCTCTTGATTTCCAGTATCACTCTGTGCCTCCACAGGGTGAAGAACCCCAAGGACATGTCCCAACAGGATGAAGTCTTACAGTGAAATTCTCTCCCTTTACAGTTCTTCTGATACAATCAAACTCATAACTAATGTTTGTGCTGGAAGGTCTGCCCAAAAATGCATCGTCTAGTACCATAGAGCAAACTTATACAGAGGCACTTCTTGACATGTGGGGAGTCCCTGGAGCCATACAGGCTCAATGTGCCTTTTGCTGGCAACTTCAGTTCAGAAAAATATTATGTACCATACCCTTTTAAAGAAAATATCTGAAGTGGGGCTTCCAGCTTTCTATCTTGCTTATGGGCTGATGTACAGCATATCCAGGAAACTTCCGAGCAAGAGCATATGTGATACATCTGGGACCTGTTGGACCTGTTGCCTATGGGCCACACAAATGCTTGCATATGATCAAATATGCCGCAACTGCATTGAATTAGTCCTACGTCCATGGATCATTCATGCTTTGGACTTGCACAAGTGCACTAATGTACACATTTGCCTGGGATTTTTGAGCTATTGCTCTGGCTGGGATGTGATATATTAGAAATCCTAAAGAAATCTCTGGAGTCCTTTTCTGTGCCCAAAGGAAGTTCACATGTGAAAACCCTCCACATCTGTGGAAGTCCAGACTTATGTTATCCCTGAGCATTAGAAAATATTATTGCCTCAGTTACCTACTATTAGAAAAATGCACCTTCCTTGTTGCTTTGCAATATATACCTAGTACTTGCATGCACGGAAGAAAGCAAGCAGAAGATGGCAGTGCTGCTGTATGTAGTTTTTTTCTACAATGCAAAGAACCTTTCTTTTGTTTGTGTTAGAGAGATTAAAGGTCACTCACACAGCTAGTGGAAGCTCAGGAATGCATCACAGTAAGAAGTAACTTCAATCCAATCTTGATGCAATTAGAGGTAAATGCTACCTGTATTTTTTTGTTCCGTCTCATACTGGGAAATTGTTTCAGCTGCAAAGTTAATATGAAAAGTTGAATTATTCAGAAATCAGTTCTGTTTTATGGTAATCTATAACTAACCACGATGCACTTTCTTACAGACCTGCTGGGAAACCTGGACACCAAGACCATAATGATAGAGTAGCATTTTGTAACTCAGCAGGAGTGGTTGTACCTGTGGGTCTGTCATCTATCACCCAGTGGTGTAAAAAGAAAACACACACTTTCCTGCCAGCAGTGAAGATTGCTGTGCTGTGGCTTTGGATCTGAAAGAGGTAAATTTAATAAATGTTTGGCCAATTACCTATCTGTTTAGTACCATTCATATATAAGTCCACGAGCAAGGACAGACGTGTTATGAATTAGCATAATTAAATAGCTATTTGGGATGATGCATGCTGCAAAATTTAATTTTTACACCTAGTTTCCAAAAGTTAATGTTTTATTTTTATATTTGGATAGCTTTCCTTTTCATCTTGTATTTAATGTAAATGATAACTAATTACAAGAGATTTTGGAGTAATGTACTAAAGCTGGAGGCTCTTGGTAAGGCTGACACAAGCAGGTACCATACAACTTTTCTTTAACACGTCAGCGCTTCAGAGGGAGAGTCCATATTCAGGAAGAGATCCACTGATATGTGTTAATGGGGAGAGGGTATGGGAAAGGGAGTGCAGACCATCTGCTTTTTTTGGCTTTTGTAAAGTTGTGAACCACATTGTAAATACTGAGACGCCTAAGTTATTAGGCAAATAGAAGCAATTGGGTTTTTGCAGATTATTCATCTCTCAATTACATTTTTGAACTTTCGGGAAGGAAGTATAGCAGTATCTAGGTGATTATGGTTGCTTTAGTTAGATGAAGATACCTAAGCTAAATCACAGTTCTTAACGGAATTGCAGAGTTGGCAAGAGGGAACGTCAAAACTCAAAGGCAAAAGGTAATGGGGATGGACAGTACTTTAAAAGAATCCAGTTTGTACATTAGATTGCCAAAAAGCTTATTGCAAGCTAAGTCAATTCTACATTTTTACAACTACAGCTGTACTCTGTACTACAGTTGTACCAGAAAACCCGCTGTACTATGTTCCATGCAAAATACAAATACTGTAACTGTAGCTCATTTAATTGCCTGAAGAACATCACATATTCAACAAATCAGAAAAAGAAGTATTGTCATTTTCATTTTTTCAGACATTTAAAGGTTATAACAACATGGATGCTGGAGCCTGTCTCAGGCAAAAAGGAAATTAGAGCAGACTTGCATGAACTGCACTGCACATGTACTGCTAGTCTTTGGGGCTCATGTATATTCTGGGAAACAAACATGCAGGTATCTGTCAAGTTGGCTCTGATTTCAATCCATAGGAGCTGTACTGCCCATAACCTCTGAGTCATCCACTCCTGACTCATGGTGAGTCATTACAAATGGAAAACTAAGGCACAGAAATAGTGTATTCACCTTAAAATCTGACCAGCAGTCTATGGTAAAGCTGGAAAGTGAACCTGTATTTTAAATTGTTTGATAAGCTAAAGTTTCCATCTTGGCTCTAACTTTTTTATTAAGACTACAATCCATTTTTATGACCTTATTCGTAATCAGACCTGCAGCAATCCTGCTTTTCATCTTCATAACTTCTTCACTATGGATCGTACCATCACAAGCCAGTCATCTGAAAGCTTTTTGCAGAATGGAATTACACACGTATTATGAGGGCTCCCTCCCAACAAAATTCCCCTTATATAATGAGGTAAAATTTCCTTTTTCTATTCCATATCTCATAGCATCAATACTTTGGTGCACTATACTGCCAATTGACCCTTCTTCCCCTAGCAAAGTAGTTAAACATACACCCTCACATTTCTTCTTGAAGAGACCTCCTATAGACCTTCTATACTAATCAGGAAGTCTCCCTGTTCTCAACTTATTATAAACCCGATTCTGATGCTGTTTTTCACCCTCTGGACACCATTTGAACTGAGCTATATTACTCAGAGCATCTTTTAGTGAATCTGAGATTCTTTTAGAAAGAAAAGAGACAGTTTAAAAAAAAAAAATAAAAAAACCTCATTGAGTTTCTGAAGCTGTCAAATAGACAAAAAACAGCACCTAGACACGGTGCTCTTAGAACTCTTCTGAAAAAGATCCAAGATCCCTCTGTCCCTTCAGCGGTGACTTCATGCTTATTAACACTTTGTATCTAGAAATCATGATATATGAAAAAAAAGACTGAAGGAACTCGGTTTTCTTAGTGTAGAGAAGACTGATGGTGAGAGGTAAAAATAGTGTTCAAGAATTTTACGGTAGTTGCACAGAGGAAGGGAATAAATTCCTTTGGTGATAGGAGAAATAATGGGTGGAATCTTTCTTTTAGTGAGAATAGTGAGAAACAGCCCATGAGAAGGCTTGATTTCCATCAACAGAGTACTTTTAGAAGAGGCTGACAAATACTGTCCAGGAATGTTGTAGGGACAGTTGGTCCTTCCTTGGGAAAAAGGTTGAACTAGATGTCTCAAGGTCTGTGATATTTCATTTGCTATGAACTGGATATCCATTTAAACATTTTACAAAACTTCTTAAGTTCTATCCTGTCTTTGGTCAATACTTTCTTTGCTCATTGATGGACTTTTGCCTGAAATGTGAGCTTATAAAATGCATTTACCTTTCTACTCTTCAGTGAGAGCATTGTTTCCACCTCCATTTATATATTCATTTTTTAGTTACAATTTTCAACAAATTCTAGGATTTGGTGGATGTTCATTTACTGACTAACCAAACCTATGAATTTTACATCTCTTGGGAATGAATACTTGAGAAGTCTGTGCATCTTCTATCTATTCCCTCCCTTTTATTTTTTTCTTTCTTTTTCTCTCTTCTCTTTTCTGAGAGTCATTTGATTTCTGACTCTCCAAAATTTTTTCTGGAGCTTTGTATTCTACTTCTGTGGTCAACTAAGAAGAAACATTATTCAGAACTTCTGAGTCATACAGAAAGAAATAAATAAGCCCAACACCCCAATGTCTATGCAACGACGTACCAGTTAAATTATTTGAAACTAAGGAGTCCATACCTCACAGTGTGAATCATCTACCATACACATTTATTTGAAGAAAATAACAGCAGAGTTCAGGAGGTCTTACACATTGTTCATCATGTCACCCTTCTCCACCAGCAGATATATGAATATGTTTGTGCATAGGTGTGGTTTTTAATTTTTAAAAGAGTCCTTGAAGAAACATTAGATCATTCCTTTCAGACAAGAAACACTGATGAAAATTCTCACACCTTCCTCATCCCACAGGGAAGAAGACTTCTGGGAGAGCAAACTTATTTTTCCATAATTATCCATTATGAAACCTAAGAAAGCTGAAGTTGAAGCACTAGAAGGTTGTGTTCCATCTGCAGACAATCCTGGAAGTTCTGGTCTAGTTCTTTAAACAGGAAAGAAAGATATTAGGAGTTTATATGTGGGTATATTCTCACTCTCTCTTCTAAATAAAAAATCATAAAAGCTAGAGATGTGTCCAGTTGTGTCCAGAAATAGTTTGCTGTCACTTTGGTCTTTACGTGCTTCTTTCTACATTTTTTAAATTCAGACCAGTTCTATTTATTGCCTCATTAGGTGATTTAATACTTATTATTAAATATTGAAGCTATATTAGACATGTAAGAACATATTTACAGGACTCTGAATTATTTTTTACACAGTCAAACTTATCAGCAAATTGTATTGCCATGCACATTCCAGTACAATTGAATTTTTATCTTTGTTTGTTTGTTTGTTCGCAGCTTTCCATAGCAACTACTCAGTTATAATAAAGTTTGGTCAGGTAAGCCTTTGGAATGTGGAGTAAGTTCTGACAGTAATCCTCCAGCTCTCCGACTTCAGAGTTCTGGTCTGCAGTACTTCTCTTTTGTCTCCTTGCAGTCTGCAGCCAAGTTAAACATTTAGGATTGAATTAAGACAACACAGTCTGCTTTACTGATTTACTTTGCACTACCTGAGATATTTAAAAATCTTTAGAACAACTGCAGAGGTGTCCATTTGCAGTGGTTTACAGCTGTTGACTAACTTTGCTAAGTAACTTAATTTTCCCTGTATTTTGGAGATAACAGACTAAAGTTTCTGCTGATATAATCATTCTGACTTCAGAAAAGTTAAACCAGCAGACAGTTGTTTCCAATACTTGTTCTTCTCCATTCCAAGGTGAAATTCACCTCTTGGCAAGATCTGAACCTTTGTTGATGCAAATAATGATTTTCTCCTTCCTGCGATTTTAATAATTTATTTATAAAAGTAACATTTTTCATATAATTTATGATAAAAATGTTAAATTAATTTCAGTGGGTTTCTTGGGAATAATGAAAGCAATGTAATAGTTTCAAGAAGAAATATTTAGGTATAGTGCTTACATGCACAGACAAGTAAAATGTGCATATGAGAATTCATCTTCCAGAGAATATTCATAGCAGGAATAGACTCAGACACCTGCAACAGATCAGAGTGAGAAGCTCTTCTTCTTTCCCCTGTTTTATCTACATAAATACTAGTAAACTAAAATGACCAGACTACTTCACAGTCACATCAGAGTTAGATGTTTATCCATGCTGGCCTGCAGCACTTGAATATGCCTGCAAGAGACTTCTAGTTTTATAGGAGGACCTAGGACGCTGATTATCATTCCATGCAGATTCAGAGGTGGCTCTTCACTCATATATGTTTGATATATTGACTCAAAGGCTGCATGATAAACTCCCATACAGAAAAAAAAAAAAAAAAATATATATATAGTTATATCAGAACACAGGAAATACCCTACAGGGTCGGGCCAGTTATCTACCTGGCCCTCTACTCTGCCTCTAACAGTAGCAAGAATAGATACTATTTAGAGGCGCTTTTTACAGTTAATCCCCCTTTCACTCCCCTTGCATCCAAAACTGTTGTTAATGGGATGTTATGGGATACCAGATGATTACCAGACAAAGCCAGATACAGCAACAAAATACAACTGGTTAAAGGGTATGAACAAGGTTATAGTTACACTGCAAAAAGAGGCACATTTTTACATTGAGATAGCCAATTAGAATGAACGATGTAAAAGGACACAGGATAGTTTTTGGCTCAGGGTAAATTTCCAGGCCCAAATGACATTATGCATCTAAGCTTAACTACCTGTACTACCACAAAAAAGCCACAGTCGCTTGATTCCATATTTACATGAAGACAGAGATTTTAATGTGTTGGATTTGTGTGTGTGTGTGTGTTTGTGGTGGAGATATTCTGCAAGTTTGTCCTGACAGAGGAAACGCTGGTATCTGTTATATTTACCATCATCTTTGAACCAAAAATAGTAGAACAGAAAGCCTTGAAGAACCTCTTGGTATATTTCTGGAGCAGTGAATTAAAAAAGATTAGATCTTTTCTGTAAAGACCTCCTGCACTTAAGTGGAAACAGATTTTCCTTTTGAGAAGACTCAGTTTTACTTTATTTTTTTCTCTGCCTGACTTTTATTTGAACTATTCAGGCTTTGTCTACTAATGAAGAGTTCACGGTAATTTGAAAACTAACAGATCAGTATAACTAAACTGACTGTTGACAAAGGGAAAGGCTATTTGGTCTTTTAAAGATTGCAGTGTACATGCTGACTTACAGCCTGCTAAGAAGACATGCGGTCATGATGGGATTTCCATGATATTGTGCATGACAATGTGGTTATATTAGATAATGAATGAACTTGTGAAGTTACAAAGTGATGAGAGAAACTATGCCCCTTGGATTAACGACGATAAACAGGTAAACAGACAAACCAGATAAACAAGTTTGTTAAGGCCTTTCCATTCTCTTTAATTGAATCAGAAAATTTTTCTGAAGAATTGTACACCTCAGGCAATACGTCAGTTATTTGGGGAACAATAAAGTACTCTTCACTGATGGATTCATATTCATGAGCTCCGCATTACAACTAGCACACAGAAAGGTTTGTTGGCATTACTTAAAATGAAAGGGGGTTAAGACATTCATCTACCTTCAATTATGATTTGGGAGGATAAGTACTGTCTAATTTAGAGCATAAGAAGAGTAGGTATAAGGAGCAGGCCTATCCTAAAATAATTGTCACCTTTTCAATGCCTTTAAGACAGGTTTGGAAGAATATGTAACTCCAGTAGAATATCTTCCATCTGAGAATCTGTACATGTCCATCAAAGGTAAGCAAAACTCACAACTCCACTTTGGAATTGGGGAAAAGATGTACTAATGGGGGGGGGGGGGGCGGAGGGGAAGGAAAAAAAGCAACCCTCTCCACCTATTTCAATCAAGATTGGTTCGTTTCCATTCACAAAATGAACATTTCTTCCTAATACCAGCTTTCTTATTAACTGCTTCAGTTGTTAGTTTGGAGACATTATACACACACGTCTTCTCTCTGTATAGCGGAACACAGGCTCAGCACCGGCGCTCATCCACGCTACGGCTGGTGGGCCACTGCTCGAGGTAGTTCACTTGTCAGTGAGGCCGAAGCTGGCACTGAGCAAGCCACAGCTCCGTGGGCTCCCTGTCAGGTTAGGTGCCCAGCTCCCGCTGCTGGGTAACTCCTTTGTAAACTACCGGAGCCACGATCTCCCTCCTCACAAAGCAGCAGCAGGAGATCCTGTTTTCTAACCTTACTCTTTGACTGCGATCTCCTCGTGACGAAGGAAGAGCGGGCTTACATTCACGCTATCATCATCTCATCCGACAGTAGGGAAAAATCCCTCAGGCGACGCGAGGGAGCGGCCTCCCCCCCTCACGGCCACCCCGCCTCTCCTTCCCCCCGCCCCACCGCGGCGCGGCGGGGCCCGAGCAGCGGCGGGTCCCGGGGCACCCCCACCTCCAGGTGCGGGCAAGCTTCACCGGCGGGGCCCGGGGATGGCGAAGCCCGGGTTGCTGAGGCGGAGACCGGTAGCGCAGCGAGGACGCAGCTCCCCGCCCGCCCTCCTTCCTGGAGCAGAGCGGGCGCTGCAGCGGGGAGCGGCCCTGCGGCGGCGAGCTCAGCCTGGAGCTCCCCGCCCCCAGCCCTTCGGCGGGGAGCGGTGGGTGGCGGCCCCGGCCGGCCCGGCCCCGCGGCGGGGACTACAGCGCCCAGCGCGCCCGGCGAGGGGGGGGGGGGGTGGCCGGTAACGGGGCTCGCCGGCTCCCAACCAACCCCGCACGCAGTGCCCTTTCCCCCAGGCGCCCGCCTCCCCGCTCCTAAATTGATCGCGCCACCAGCCAATCGCCCGGGAGGAATCTCCGCGGCTGTCCAATCGCCGCTGCGGAACGAGAAGGGAAGGGGGGGGGAGGCGGGCGAGGCGCTGGAGGACAGCGGGCTCGGTGGCGCCGCGGCTGAGAGAAGGGTGAGCGAGGGGGAGCCGCGGCCGCGGGTGCCGCAGGGATGGCGGCGGCGAGGGGGTTAACCCCTGAGGGGAGGCCCGCGGGCCCCTCCGGCCCCCGCTGAGCGCTCCTCCGCGCTGCGCGCAGCCGTCACGCCCCTTCCCCCGCGGGCGGGCCGGCGCCGTCCCGGCACTGCAGTCGCCATAGAGACCGCGCTGCACGCCATGGGGCGGAGGCTGGGCCGGGGGGCGCCGCGTTAGCCCATCCCCCGCGGCGGCCGGGCTCCGCAGGGACTCGCCCCGAGGAGCCGCCGCCGCCGCCGCCGCCTCGGCCCCGTTCCAGGTGAGGAGACGCGGCGTTACCCCGGCAGCCGGTGTCTGTCCCCCGGGAAAAGGGGGGCGGGGGGGCCGCGGCCCTCAGGCTCCGGCGGCCGAGCCCCCGGTGGCTGCGGGGGAGCCGCGTCGCGGTTTGTCTCCCCGCGGGAGAAGGAGTTTGAGGGGCGCGGGGGCTCCGCGGGGAGGGGCGTATTGCAGCGCGGGGGGTGCGCAGGCAGGACCCCGGGGGAGGCCCTTTTGGGGGAGTTAAGGTCAGCAGGTCTGGCGGGCTCCGGCAGCCGTCATCGCCGCCCCGGCCTCTATCAAATCAAATTTATCGGCACCAGATTTATTTTTTTTATTTATTTTTTTTTTTTTTTTTTGTCCCTCCCACTTTGCTGCAAGAAGGCAAACGGTACGGGCACTTACGTGTTGTGATGGCGAAACATCCCCCCGCTTTCAAATAGCTGCGGCTGTGCTTCCAGGGCTGAATCGTGGCGTGCGTGTCGCGGACGCGCGTGTGGGCAAGGCGGGCCGGGGCAGCGCGGCCGCCGGGCGCCCGGAGCGCCGGAGCCATTAACAGCAGTTGCATCGGTACGTGAATACAGATCTGCCTGGCTAGGCCGCGGATGCACCCACTACGGTGATAACAGGAAGCATAGGAAGCGCATATGGAAGAAATCGAGTAAACCAGTATTATCCATACTTATAGCTGAACAAAAAAAAAAAAGGAAGCGGGGGAACTACCTTGTTCCTAAGTCTACGGATGATCTCCGGAGCTGCAGCTGCATCCTTGCACTTCTGTTGTCACTCTAGAGCACAAGCAATGGGAGGACAAAGATGGGTACGAGGTGTCTGACCTCTGGGGTGAGCCCGAGCGGTTGGGGTAGTGTCAGCAGGGGTGGATTTGCGACTGTTAATGTATTATCCTGGAGGGGGGAGGTGGGGGAGATGGACACAAAGGAAAGCCCCCTGACTAGCACAGCCTTTTGAGAACCTTCTACTGTATTTATAGTTAAGCTGGAAAGGGCTATAGAAAATTAGTTATAAAATAGGTTGTAATGGCTTTCTTAGTCAGACTGTACGTGCAGAGCCAGCTGAATTTCAGTTCAAATGTTCAGAATTAGTAAGCTGTATTCACAGGGAGATTAAGAGCTCTAAAATAAAACATACTCTCATTTAATTTTAAATCGCGTTAGCCCTGAAGTGAATGATTAGTTTCTATGTTGTGGCTCTGGAAAAAATGAGTAGAATTTTTATATGTTCTGCATAGTTAATGCCATGTCTCTGTTGAACACATGCAGTGCTTGTAGGTATGTTAGTTCCTTTTAGCTGTTGTATCTGAGAAAACAAAATATTAGAGCTTATTTTGCTGCTCTTGTTTGATTTTGGAAGTTTTTTATCGGGTCTAAACTATGTGAATTCATGGTACAAAGATATCAAACGTTTTTATTCTGTGTTAAATTGCACAGAATATTGATGATGATTCCTTTGTTTTACCGTGCAAATTTAATTTAACAAAATAATAAAACTTTATTTTTAAACTAGAAGTATGCTTATTAACAGTTGTTTGGCTTGTCAAAAAAATTATATATAGGAAAGTTTGACTACAGTAGTATGGTCAAAAGTTATTTTGAAAATAGTGTATCAAGATAGAGTGTAAAGACTGAATCAATTATCTCGGACAAATACTTTGTTCTCTTTGATATATTTCCAATGTACCGTTATGCTCTTGAAGTTCAGCATCTTTTTAAGCTTCCTATTTTGGAAATGATGGCATTAGAATGAGAAGAGCAAATTGAGCAACTGGAATATCATGATGTTGGTTAGGTTTTGTGTAGTCACTGTATTGCTGCTGCGTGCTGCAGGCTCTGTTCGCTCTAACATCACATATTTCAGAGAGGTTTTTCTAATGTGACTGATTAAATCAAGAAAGATTTTTTGAGTATGACAAAAGAGAGAAGTGAGTAGAGTTTTCCCTGTTTGATTTCCAAACAATCAGCATCTATCGGTTCTAGGTATATGTGTACAGAAGGTTAAACATTTGCTTAGCCTGTGAAGTTGCACTATACCCTGTGCTAATATACTACTGTGTTTTCTGTGCTAGCTAAGACTTGTTTATCTAGTGGGAATGAATTGATGCTCCACAACAGGAGACTGACAGTTTCTCTGTATTCCTGTGTCTTGCATTGTCTCTTTTTCCTGCTCTGGGAGAGCACTACATAAAGCCTTTGTGTTTGCCCAGAGGGGAGGAGAAACAGCTGCCTTTTCGGTACAAGACACCAGGATTCGTAGTGGTCTCACAGGGATGTGTCCTTGTACATGGACCAGCCACTGTCCTTGCTCCCTCATTCTGTTAAAGCACTCTCTCCTCACAGCAGAGAAACTCGAGCTTCATTTGATTGATCTCACAGAGCAGCGCGTTGCGTCATGGATCTAGCAGATCAATCTGACGGGCCAGTTTTTGAAGCATAGATGGGCAAGAATTAAAACATGCAAAATTGACTAAATGCAAGGTGTACATTAAGGAATCCAAGAGCTACAGATCATGTTGCATTTAAAAATGACTTAGTATCACCTCGATTTCTTGTCCATGGTTGGGATGAAAGAAAATTACTCAAATGGTTAATCTTTTATTTGTTTTTCTTTCTTTTAACAGTTTAGTATCTAGGCGACTTAAATGGGAATTAAACATGTTAGCCTTAAGAGGAGGAAATAACAATTATTTCAGTTGGATGGGAGAGTGCAACTGAACAGAGCAGTTTCATTTTTCTGCTTTCCTAATAGAGCTTTAATGGTTGCACTGCATTCTGTGTCACATGGTGGTAGAATAAAAGTTAACTTCCTTCTCTTTGTTGGAAACATTGAATACTATATAATGTGGCTTTTAGTAACAGTATCTGGTATGTTCTTTCAAAGTTACTTACTGAAAATATCATCCAATCTTTTCCTTATCCTTTACAACTTTATTAAATTTATTAAAATGTTAGAGTTGAATTCTTTCTCCAGCGCTCCCTTTCCATGGTAGGTGTTAAATAGTATGCTTCTAAGGGAATCTGGTAACTCGGATTTTTTTTCAATCTGTTATGAAATTGAAGTGCCATTCTTAGCAGTTTAAATTTATAGTTATATTTTTTTTCTGTGTTAGCTTATAAGTCAGTAATCTTGAAACCTAAGTAGTGGAAAATTCAGACAATAAAATCTGACCTTTTGATGCTTCACCTCTTGATCTGGTCGTGTATCTGTTTCCCATTTTTGAGAAGCTGTGCAAGTCCTATATTTCAGTAACTTTTTCTTCAAACTTGTTTCTCAATTAATGGAGGCAAATCTTTGAAAACCTTGAGGAATTTTTGGGGGAGAAGGGAAAGATTGCATTTGAGAGGAGGGAGAAAAAGGAGGGCAAACTGGGAAACTGAAGAAGTCTTTAGTGTTTTTTAACAAAACAATCTTGTTAAGAATTCAAAAATGTGTTCATTGTTGAGTTCAGGCATGTTTTTCTGAGGTTCTTGTACTGCACTGTTGAGAACAATTCTGTGATGAAAAGCATTGCTCAAATGCTATTTCATGCTGTTGCTTTGTCTCTGAAGAAATTAATCAATTATTGAGAATTAGGTTATTTGCACTGATGAGGAGCACCATCCGGTAATTCTTTATTTTGGAGAAATGTGTGTATGTTGCTTAGCTTTGCATTTGAGTGCATGAGAAGCTTCTGAGTAGTTGGAAGAGTTGAAGGCCAGCTGGGTTTTCATGGATTAAGTTAACCAGCTTACTGATGGTGTGGATGAGGAAAGTAATTTTTTTCCAATACAAAGCTGTCTGATATATAAAGAAAGGGTAAAATTTGCTGAACTTGACTTGCTCTGTGCGCTTGTATGAGGTATGAAGTCTTTTTAATATGAGGCCATTTTTTATATCTGGGTATTGCGAAGGGATTTGTTACTTATTGGAGGGACAAGTTCCTATTTGGAGCTAACATGGGGAAAAACTGAAATGGTCAAGGTTGGTGTCCTCCTGGTCTGTTTAAATGGAAATAATTTTATTATGTTTCTGATGCACTTCCTTAAGAACTGAAGTTACACAGAAGTTGTATCCTCTGTTAATGGACTTGTTCCACTGGACTCATCCGCTGCTAGGAAAGATCTTGCCTTACAGAGTTTGCATCTTTTCAGTACTTGGGAATTGTCTCCAGTCAACAGCTGCTTATTGACTCTGAAAGAAGGGGCTGGTTGTGCTCTCTGTCACCTCCCAGATCATTCTTGGATAACGTTTGTCGTGCAGTATCTCAGGGTATTAGCGTTTTGTGAGGGTTTTAGCAACACTTACTTGATACCGTGTTCTTCGGCAATGTAGTGAGAATGAGATTGCTTTGATGTGTGGTGTATCAGCAGGATGTGTCTTGTTGCAGCTGTTAAGTTTACTGCTATAATAATGCTTCACATGCCACTCTTGGTGAGCTGTACGGCTTCGGAGCAAATTGAATATGTCTGTTTAGCTTCAGAGTGTTGAAGTATTTAAAAAAAAATAAAGGGGGGGTGACATAGATAGAGCATGCTTCTTTTCAGCATCAAACTGGTGACTTTTTAGAACATATTTATATTGTTATTTTGTTTTAAATAGTGTTATGTTATTTACTGTCTTGAAATAATTAATATTTTCCTGTCTTTCCATCTGTCAGCATCCTGAGACAAATAGATTCAGAATGGACATTATCTGATTGAAATTGTATTAGATGAGGAATGACTGTGCTACTCCGCAAGTTTCATTGAATGCCCTGCCTTCGTATGTGACACTTTGATTTTCCACTTCCAGTAGTCTATAAAATCAAAGTATGATTCCCTGAGATGAGTCAGCCTAGAAGAAATTGGCATGTTGTACTCTGAGAGCTGAAGGAGGGGAATTGATATTGGATCATGATTCTTTTTCTGCGTAAAGTTTATCTGCTGTTTTGTCAAGCTGTAGAGATTATTGTGATAATCTTGTTGATTTGGGTGAAATTACAGTTTTACAGTTTTGAACAAGATGGTGTTTCCAGTGGGGAAACCTGTTGAACAGTTCTTCTGGATGGAGAAAAATCATGAAAGAATCACAAGACGGATCAGTGTGAAGAAAGTATTATTGGTCTTGTGGGAGAAATGTGCTGGCTAACCCAGTCAGTTCTTGTCTTGACTAGGCAAGAACCAAGAAACTGATGCTGAAGATGAGAAGCAAGCTGTGAGTGTCCCACAGTAAAGCAGATGCACCCAGAAAAGGAGCTCCATTATTGACTGTCTGGTGCTGGTTGTCATTTATTTATAAATATATATACATATAATCATATTTTTCACATTAGCTGCTGTGGATGAAATTACACATTATTGTACACAGTCTAAGAGCTGGCTGCTGTTTTGAAGTGGATGGTGATGTCCTCTGCCTGTGCCTTTTCTAGTGCCCACTGATCTCTGAGCTGCACTGATTCAACTCACTAACTTGACAGAGAATGATTGTAAGAAGGGAGTTGTTTATATTGCTTTTTTG